TATTCAGATGAAAAATAATCTCAATGTAATACTAGGAGTTAACAAAACAAAAACAGGATGTTGTTTCATATCAATTTTTTGCCTTAAAAATTTATTTCGGTAGTGTCACCTTCGGAGTGTGAATAAGATCTTGAAAATTATGTTAATGTGACAACAAATACTGTTCGTTCACTATAACCATATATGTATGTAATTTTAACATATATGAAACAACTATTTGGGATATATAAACAATTTAAAAATAATCGATACAAAATTTTCTTATGCAACCAAAAACTAGGGCTTCCTTTATTCTTATGTTTTTTAAATTATTTCATGTCTAATATTAAACAAGGCAACACTGTCGTGCAGAATGTTTTAGAGCAAGTAATTTATACGTATTATAATAAGATACCACAGAACGGCCTCCTTGTATACACTATACAGTGTAATTTAATAACAATACCTTCAAATCGCGTCTACCGTATCAGATGGTGACGGATATCGTTACAATAACCGAAAAAATATTATAAAAACCGGTAAACAAAAATGTTATTTAATTTAAAGAGGTTTTATTCTAACGATACCGGTACCTATGTACCATCACTACATGTATTGTACAATTAAAATATATGTTTTATCTTATTTTTTTGAAGATGAAGGCTCACGTCTGGTAACTGGAGCAGAAAATGAATTTCACTTTTCAAGGTCTCCCGACGTATGTAATGTAAATGTAATGGGCAAAATATGTAAGTAGCTAATCGGGTTTTCATAAAATTATAGTTTGCACTTATAATAAAATGTAATATGGAGATAGTATACATAATATTAATTACGTAGCACAAAAACTTAGTATCCCTTTTAACAGAATGAATGAAACATTGTTGAAATTACAAAATTATATATTATGTAGAGAAATATGTAAATCGAATTTCTTATACAGGGTGACTGGTGAATTAGTATCGATATTTGAGGACGTGATATTTGACGATCATATATGACGAAATTAAAATTAATATAACATAAATATTAATAAACTTCTAAGTAAAGTTAACCAAAAGTTGTGTAATTAATTACGCATCGTATGACCACCCTACAGATTACACTACACACTCACACATACGCGCGCGGCGGCGTGTTGTTGTATCAGCACGCCGCCGCACGCGTCCACACTAGGAACACTTGAAACGTGTACACACTTTATTTATTTATACGGAAATTTGGTCAAAAATAAAGTACCTACTTTTTTTAGATAATTCGAATGAGAATCATGTACCGAGTATGCTCCTTAAATATTGATAGTAATTCACCAGTCACCCTGTATATATGTTTGAAATACATTTTACATAAAAAATAAACATCACACAATCCGTGAAGATTCCTTTGTGTATATTGTCCTTAACAAACGTAAATATCAAACATAATGACATTTCAATTTTACAATTGAACTTGAAATAACCAATCAATAATGCTCGAATATCATTCATACCGCGTAAAAAGTCAGTGGTGGCCTAGTGGTTAAAAGGCCCGCCTCTCATGCATGAGGGCGTGGGTTCGATCCTGGAAATTACCAATGTTATTTTTCCGAGTCATATGTACTTTCTGAGAGTATTTAGACATCACTGATTAATGCATTCCCAAGGAGGGTTGATGTCAGTCAGGCGGCCGCTCGTAAAAACAATTAGCCAAAACTATTCACAACATGTAAGGCAGACCCTGGCTAAAGCTGGGAAATTGCCAGGTAGAAGTAGAAGAAGATCATTCATACCGTCTAATATTAGCAAAATTATTCACATACAATTTTTCTAAGAAAAATCTCAATCGATTTATTTCTTTCAATATATGTTCCGTGTAACTGTCAAACTGTTTTAACCTGGGGTTAACGAACTAAGTATGGCACAGGATATACCAATGTGGTTTGACGAACATCCTGTATAGCATTAGGAATGTTAAAATGTATCAACAAAAATAACGTACACAAATGGACTGTTCTATAAGAATTATAAGAAAAAACCAATAATAATAATTGGTAAGTCATTAGTTCGACCCCTAAGGCATATAACATATAAACATACTACATAGCTTTCCACCTGCAGCTTCGCGAGTTCGGTTATATCGCGTTTCCAAGAGAACATTTCAAAAGTCTGTGATAAAAACTATCCTATGTTCTTTCTCAAGGTCAACTTCATCTCTGTACCAAATTTCATTAAAATCAGTTCAGTGGTTTAGGCGTGAAAGCGTAACAGACAGACAGACAGACAGAATTACTTTCCCATTTAAAATATTAGTAGGGATAACACTGGAATATTTAACATTATTTCCTAAACACGTAATAAGTACGGACATAATTTAATAATATTTATACGACAAACATATGTTTTTACGTAAATAATTTCCGTAAAACCTATAATCAAAATGGTCGTTAAATGGCTCAATAACTTTTATTATTATGACACATTCAGTACTTCAAACCTGATTGTTGAACGGGCCTCTGTAGAATTTAATTTACGTTCAAAAACATAATCTATCACATTAAACATAAGGTCTATATTGAGTACTATTCTTACTTATTTTAACATAAAAAAGTACGCCTGCTGTATTTAGACAAGCTTTCGTTTTCAATGGAACCGTTAGAGAGCACTCACTTTTCTGACACATATAAGAAAAACAAATATAATCTTTGTCTAAACCAGGTCATATATAAAAAATGTAAGTTAAAAATTTAATTACGTACACAATAGTCATTATTAATAGTATTTTAATAGCGGATGTGGCTGGGTTTGTACAGACTATAGATAGTAGGAAAAACAATCAAAGCTGATAGTCTGCTCTGTCCTTATCAGTGACCGACGTAATCTGTTATCAATGTATCGGAAGTCTGATACAATAAATATTGACGGAGATATTTTAGGCCGTTTATTGATCATAACTACTTTACTTTGCACTTAACATGACTTTAATAACATTATATTCTTAGGTTACTACATGCAAGTTTTTACCGCGACTATGTTCGCGTTTTTTGGATATATACAGCTTCACACATCATAACTACATATTTTCCAGTACGGGGCGTGATAAGGAATCCAAAAGTTTTTAATTAAAGTCGCAATAAATAGATAGAATTAGCAATTTAATTTTACGTATTTACGTGTAAGGGTATTAATTTGAAATGAGTGTCAGAGCTTCAGTTTAAAAATCTTGATGAATGGCCTGGCGATATATTCAAAATGACTCGGCCATTATTTGTAGCTTAAAAATACAAATTCATCCTTATTTATTTTAACTACATGAAAAATTTAAATAGGCTCAGTATTAAAATTGTTATAAATATAATTTATAACAATTATTAGTGGTTCGTATTTATGTAATAAATTTATTAATATGATCAACTCGAAAATAGTTCCAAAGGACTGCACATAATTCGATCAGCCACAAATCAGTTAAAGTTAAAACAATGTGACATTTAAATAAAACCTCTTTCCACTCTTCATTGTATTTAAAAACGCAATTTCTTTGTCATTTATTACAATAGGTAAATATGTATTGAAATGATGAAATACGTAGAAATTATGATAATTGAACGTATAAAAAACTCATAATCAACTCTTGTGATGTTTAAATTAATTGTTTTGCGTAATGCGTAGATCCCCAGCAATTTGACCTCAATGATATAACACGTCGAGGTTGAATTCCCTGACATTTCTACGGGATTCTTTTCGTTGAATGACAATTTAAATTGTACGGGTTTCACATTATTCTACAATCTACATGTCAATAGTGACAATCAAGATGGCGCCATTGTGTAAAAAACGATGTTTTCGTCGCTGAGAAACTTTGAGTAAATATTTAAAACTTTACGAAAAACTGGTGGCAAATAACATAACAGTTCAAAAATAGACATGCCAATCTGAATAAAAAACTATATAAGTAAAATACGCAATAGAAATATGTACATTTTTTTACATAATCTAACTCCGACTATTTCTTGTGGATTATTTTAAGATCTTTGTCGTTATAAGGCTAAGATAATAATCATTTTTAAAAAACAATAATTTCTGTCCAAAATACATTGCTTTTTAGTAAAATTCAGAAAACTAATAAACCTAAATGACAAATTGTTTAATAGTAATTAATGTTATCATTACATACTTAAGAAATTTTTCTTTAAAAACTATACTTATTTGCTAGTTAAATTTAATATATGTACCCTGTACATTTACATTATAATAAAATGTAATTGTCAGATATCTTAAAACATAAAAGTAATTGAGTAAATACAAACAAAATTTACCCTCAAAATGTAAAGTTTTCTTTGCACAACAATTCTATACCTACAATACTCAATTGTTCTAATGATAAAAAAAACAAATTAAAGCCATTATTTTAAATAAATAGCGTATATAACTGGTGTTGCCAGTGATAAATATATAGGTAAATTACATTATTATCGAGGATGATAACATTTTGACTACATTTAAATGCAAATTTTATGTTATTGCATTTCAATAAGGAGGAATATATAATGAATTATGTGTGCTTAAACATAAGTTAAATAGGTTTTTCATTACTTAAAACGTTGATCAATTTTATGGCATATAATTTAGAGAAGGGTGAAAATCTGCCACTGTTTTTTTTTATGTCCCAAATTTTACATCAAAAATAGTTTTGATTACTGATAATAATTTCACAGTTAAGAATCTTTCTTTTTCATAGTGATTGAAATAAATCTCAATTACTATTTCAGTATACAATATATACCTCGAGACAGTATTTTTGTCAATTAAACCTTCAATTTAATTATTAACAAGTTTAAATCATTGCTTTCATTGTCACAATTTGTTTAAAATAATACTTCTTTAAAAGTTAATCCTAAATCATGTCTCTTCCATTCTACATGAAACTGGCAGAATATACTGTACACTTTGCATGGATGAAAGCCATATTAAAAACAACCAACCAACTAAGTAATACCTCTTAAGAATACTACCTTCTATTGAATGAAAAAATATTATATGACTTACCCATCAGTAGTAACAGAGTTCACTGATAGTGTATCGGGGAATGTCATCTGTTGATCGGGTTCCTCTGGCGCCTCCTTGGGTATGTCTTGGATATCTGGAGGCTCATCTGCATGTAACTTTGTATCTTTTTCTTCAACTTCAGCAGATCTTTGGGAGACATTGTGCAAACCTGAGAGGTCAGGCTCAGTATTGACATCCTCTGTATGAAGGACCTCTGATACCACCAAGATAAAAAGTGCGCAACTGTAAAAACGATTAACAAACTTTATGTCACCTGTTCGAGAAAGGAAAGGCAGAGACAGTTTCTGAATACATTGAATGAAAATATTCACCTTGAGAGCACTGAGACGGTCAGTAGCGACGTGTAAATGATACACAGCCCACCCTTCATCTTAGTATGGAAATATCGACAGTCCAGTTCATTTTGTGCAACAAATTAAAACATATTCACTGTGTTTTTAACCGAAATTTACGTTTAATTAAAATTACTTTAACCACTTGTGCACTACACATATAATATATTTTTATTCATTATTTTCTATACAAAAAGAAATGTAATAGTATGACGAAAAAACGGGGACACGAAAAGTAAGTACCAACGAACATTTTCATTGAATCTATTTAATTTGACATTTACGAAATTCCAAGTGTTTTCATGCTCGAATAATTGAAAAAAATTGTAAATTTTCTATTGGACAATATCAGATGAAATAATTGATTATACAATTATCACCAATTACTATAAAACATTTAATACTAAAGCCTTTCTTTCATTGGCTATTTTTAAATGTTATTTATTTGTAGCGACGTTCCGATTTAGGCAGACAATCATTAAGGTTATCAGAAATCTTAACTACAATAAAAAAAACAAATAATTTAAAAAGACCTTTAAAACATGGTTAAATAGAAAACTATTATTCTTTACTCATTAAATTACTTCTAACTTAAAATATCATGTATTATAGTGATGGATCATAAATATTTTCATCTATGGTTAAGGTACAACTGACATCCGTACATCGGCATCGACGTCAACATTCAATAAAGTAACTGTCGGTAGCGGTTAGATTGTTTTTGCAAAAGTATATGTTAAACATGGAGGCATTATACGCTATCCCGTTTTCAGTGTTGGAAATTCCCAACATCAAAATAAAAAAGCCATCATGGCTTCAGGCCCCATCTGCAATGACGACATTTTCATTGGTTTTAGTTTCATACTTTCTGGTAACTGGAGGTTAGTTTTTATGTTCTTATAAATTAAATGTTACTATTAGAATCTTATAAGTAATAAGTTGTTTCTTTAAGGCATCATATACGATGTAATCGTGGAACCGCCGAGCGTGGGTTCTACAACTGACGAACACGGCCACAGCAGGCCGGTAGCGTTTATGCCGAACAGGGTTAATGGACAGTATATAATGGAAGGTTTAGCGTCAAGCTTTCTTTTCTCCCTCGGAGGACTTGGTTTCATTATATTGGACCGCACCCACAACCCTTCAACACCAAAACTGAACCGAATCCTGCTTATATCAGTGGCATTCCTGTGTATCCTTGTATCCTTCTTCACAACCTGGATTTTTATGAGGATGAAGTTGCCCGGCTATTTACAGAACTAATTTTAGTCTTATATATATTAATGGAAACAAAATTAATATAATTATTAAGTTGAAATATATTTTTATTAATAAGTGAGGTATTCTTTATTATTTTATAATTTTGCACCTTTAGAGGTTACTGTTGCTTTTAAAATACAGTGTAAACTCTATATAACGACACTGAAGGGACCGTGCATTTTAGTGCGTTATAGAGAGTTGCCGTTAAATAGAGGGAAGAAAAATCAGAATTAGAAAAGGACAAAGTTTGTTTCAGACTACTGTTAGTACTTATGTACATAAAAAAGAATGTTATAAAGTCTGTTGTTTTTGTTTGTCGTGTTTTGCTGCACCAGTAATGTTGTTGTATTTTTTACGTATTTTATTCATATCTTGCGATATTGAGGCATATTGGTGAAGAACGAATTTCTTAGAAAGTTTGGTATGCATGATTACGACAGTGGAGTTTATTGCGGGCTAGGATAACAAAGCGACAAAAAAACGTACACAGCTGCGCATTTTTTACTAATTTTAGCAACTTAAAGGGTACTTTTTATTACTTAATTTTGTCGTTATTGAGAGTGGCTGTGACGCTATATAGAGTGTATCATAGTATGGTAGACAAGCTAAACCAACCAAAGTCAAATGATTTCGACGCTTTAGAGAGTTTGTCGTTAAATCGAGTGTCGTTATATGGAGTTTACACTGTATATACACTGGGATGAAAAATAAAAAAAACTCTTTGTTGTCTTCATCAAATAAGTCATGTCATTGAAAACCTTGTAAACTTTCAGTTACTATTGAAGTTGCGAAGTTATATGAATTTTAATTTTATGTGACTTTAGAATAAGTCTCAATTTTCTTTTTAATTATTTTGAAACATCCTGTAATAATTTTTCAGTCATTATCATGATTAAAAGGATAACTTGTCATACAAACATGTTTTTAAGATAAATTATGTTGTCCAAGGATATTGTCAATTATCATGTTTGATATTAAATATTTTGATGATAATTCAATATTTAAGGTTGTGTTCATCTAAATTCTAAAGAAATTACTATTTATTTTTCCGAATGTGTTCTTACAAATAAAAGACTTTTTTGTATACACATTTTAATAATTAAAAAATTTGGCAGTATTATGTTGAGTATGTTATAATTCACTACATAAATTTTTCTAAATAAGGTAAATAAGGAAGACAATACAAAACAATATCAGTTAACAAAACTTACGCTAAGATTCATCAGTTACAATAAATTGAGATTTTCATTGAGATAATAAATCCTCTACTGTTATATATAGACTTCTTTAAAGTCTTATTCGAAAGGATCTGAAATATAAAAAAATTTGGTTAAAAAATTCACTAATATTAAAAACTGTAAATTTTAATAATCTTACTTACTGGCAGAAATCTGAACTTTTATCAATTATATGCTCAAACTCAGCAAAGGATAAGGCTCCGTCGTCATCAAGATCAGCTTCTTCAAGAACATTCTGCACCAACTGCTGTATCTCTGAGTCACTCAGCTTTAATTCGGTCCCACAGAGACGTTCAATCACCTCCCGTAAATCAGATACTCCAATCATGTCATCACCATCAAAATCTTGTAAAAAAGTTATTTAAAATGTAAACAAATACAGGGTGACTGGTGAATTACTATCAATATTTAAGGAGCATACTCGGTACATGATTCTCATTGGAATTATTTAAAAAAAATAGGTACTTAATTTTTGACCAAATTTCCGTATAAATAAATAAAGTGTGTACACGTTCCAAGTGTTCCAAGTGTGGACGCGTGCGGCGGCGTGCTGATACAACAACACGCCGCCGCGCGCGAGTGTGTGTGTGTGTGTGTGTGTATACCTAATCTGTAGGGTGTTCACACGATGCGTAATTAATTACATAACTTTTGGTTAACTTTACTTAGAAGTTTATTAATATTTATGTTATATTAATTTTTATTTTGTCATATATGATCGTCAAATATCACGTCCTCAAATATCGATAGTAATTCACCAGTCACCCTGTATATATGCAACTTTAGGTATTGTCAAGGATATTGCAAAACCGCATAACTAGCACTGGATAATTCCATGTGTCTGCATAGGAAGTAGATTATCAGAAGAAAGTGTGAGCTGAAATATTTTCTAAATTAACAACTTTTAAGGTAATTTATTCACAATAAGTAATAAATTAAACAGTTAATAATTAATGATCCAATGCAGATACATGGAATTATCCAATGCTAGTTACATGATTTTGCTCTATGCCTGATGATATGTAGTTTATATTATAAATTGTAAATCTTACCAAATATTCTAAATGCATGTTCAGCTTTGACAGCTTTTGGTGCATTGTCACAAAATACAGACATCATGTCAAGAAAATCTTCAAAAGTACAGTCACCATCATTGCTAGAACTAAATACTTTGCATATTCTGTCTTTGAAAGGATTGACTCTTAACTCTGGGTATTGTAATATCTTTGCCATCGGTAGCTTTGCATTTTTATTGTGGCCCACTTTTTCTGGGGCTAAGGACTTAAATTTTTGATGAGCACTGCAATTAAAATAGTAATTACATGTTTTGCTTATAACATTAATGACAAATGAAAAGATAATATACTTACTAAAGAACTTCTTTCTTGGTAAAGTATGTAAGATCCTGAAATATTTAAGCGTTAATTAGTGATTCATAGGGCGATTTGAACTACTAATACTGTTGTATTGATAGTTTTGTACTCACTTCATAATCTTGGAGCTCTTCTTCTGTGAACTGGCTTTTACCTTGACCCATAGTATCACTTATGAAATATTTAATAGACTAAGTTTAATTTTCAAATATTTTTAGACAAATCAATAAATAAACAAAGATCACAAAAGCTTATTTACACCTTCAGCTGTCAATTGTCATTAGCAATTCTGAAGTTTCGAGTCTTAAGACGTATACGTTCCGTTTTTCATAAAATGAAATTACATTGATTATTATAACAATCCAACCTTCCTATTTATTTCTTTAAAACTAGTTATTACGGATATGTCACGTGAATAATTATATTTAATTTTACCCGAATTTTTCGGTATTTTACAGTAACCATAATAACGGCAGACGAGGTGAAAGTTTCCATCAGTTATTTCTGCTTCTTTAACATGAACACGATATTTTAATTTTATAGTTCTTAAGTCTGTATGCACAAAAAATGTGCTAATTGTATCTTAAGCTCTGTTTGTGTGGTCATCAACATTTGATTTTGTATTTATGATGAAGGCATCACAGGTTTTACATAATTTTCAGCCATATTGTCTATAGCAATTAAAATGGTTTTAAATTTCATTTTTTTATTTAAACTCCCTATATATCTGTATGAGAGAAATTCTGAGGTATATCTAATCGGATGTAATGGATTTTCTTGTCCACTGTGTTTTCACACATTAAGGTGGATTCTCAAAGTTCGTCGAATGTGTGACAAACAACAATCGCAAACAAGTTTTGTTTGATGTAAGATGTTGCCGATTCTGTCACTTAAACTGTTTTTAGTTTTTACATGAGGTAATATGGAAAGGTAATATGGAAAGGAAAATATCAACTTCAAACGGTTTTTATAATGCTGGTCAGGTACGCCGCAAAGGCTTGTTGTCAATGGTACCTACATCATGCTTTATAATTTATATGATACGATTCAAATACAAAGGTTTATGGAATCTTTAAACAAAGACTTACTAACAGTAACCAACTGTTTAGGGTGGTGGTCCACGAAAATTGTCAGGATTCGCAATGCTAAGTACTTTACCAAGAAGAATTAAAGAATTAGGTACGTACTTGTTTCTTATGATATTGTGAAATTACTTTTAGTATTAGTAGAATTAAGGTGATTAAATTTAGAACATGCAATTAGATCCTGAGTAAGAAATATTAAAATATACTTTTATACTGTTAATGATTTCTATGTATGTTTGAATTAAATTTTAAATTATAATTTAACCCTGAAACATAATAGTAAATTTGGGAGTATAATAATATTAACAAATTTTATTAAAAAATACGACACCAGTTGATTTACTCAAGCAAGTGCTGAAATTATTTTTAATTTCTTGTAATAAATAAAAAAAAATATCTTTTTTTTTGTTAAACGTATTTTACGAAGTTAATAATTTTAGAGAGAGATTTAATGTTGACATAAAAAAATAACAGTTATTTTTTTATCAATTTCATATTTATTTCTTTTACTTATATTTAATTTCAAATTATTTCTTATAAGCCGTTTAAAATTGAGCGTTTGACAATGTGGTGTCTGTCTGAAATGTTAAAGTTTTGCAAATGTAATTGAATTGTAAAGAATTAAATAAGTGGATAGTTAAATCCAAAACTGATAAAAATTTATCAACGTAATAATGGCGTCTGACTTAGTCTCAAAAATATCTTAAATTAATGAACTGAAAACTTTAACTGAGTCATTGAAGTTGCGAGTTGAATTGTCATTTACCTTTGGGAAAATAGTTCCTTTTCTGTAAGGTCCACCAGGAAGTAATTCACAAAGAGCTGGATAACTCTTTCGACATAAAGTAGTTTTCCATGTGTGCTTTCTCGTGAGAACAACACACGACATGTTGAGGTTCCTTCTTGGATGACCTGGTGCCCAGGCTCTGTACGTGGTGCAATCCAGGGAATCACCTAAACATTGACCATAATAATACTGTATTATTTTTTAAGTATAACAAGTCATCTATGAATTAGTGATTGTCCTTAAATGATCATACTTGAATACATAAGGCAGTTAATCGAATATTCATAGGACAAAAATGCATCACAACGGATATAAACTAAACATAGCTGAAAATCACCGCAAATGGATAATCATATTGAAATTGGTTGATCCGTTTGAGAGTTACGCGGCCACAAACAGATAGAGTAGACACACATACGGATGTCGACTTCAAACTCAGAACACGCTTATCTTTTTAATATAAACATTATATGTACATAGGAAGATAAATAATCTAGTTAAAAGAAATTAAAGGGATCTCTTTTGATTATTACGAATCAACTGACCGTGAGTAGTTCGAAAGACACTGCCATTATTACTTCTCAATCCAACATAAGCTGCTTCAACGCCTGAAGACGCCAATACTTGCGCGAGTGTATCCGTGCGTTGTTCGTTAAACACACCAGCTAGCACAGAGCTCATGTTCCGACAGGATCTTTCTGCCTCGGTGTAATTATTTTTTTCGGATAACAAATAGAACATGCCGGCTAGAGGCACACAAGATGAATTGACGTTTGCTAAAAGAAAATTATTGTTATACACGAAAACCATTATTATTATTTATGTGATTATGATTTATAGGTATAATTTACTATTTGTGATTAATCTATTGTTAGTCGTTGTTTCATATCGACAAACTAAGTAGCGAATAAAAAAAAGACAGCCACATGAGACGGAACAAGCAAAAAAATATTTCTTTGATTGTTTATTCTTTTTAGTTATGTTTCTTTTTTATAAATCTATTTATTATGCTTTAAGTCGTTAAGTTTGAATAATAACTTACGTAAATGTTTCGCGTAGATGCTATAGTAATCATAATCGGTATCATTCTTTAAAGACAATCCACCTTCAGATTCTGCACACTTTAGAACTTCACACGTGTATTCTACGGGTTTCCTACTCATCTTTCCATATCCCGAGGGACTAAAATTTAACGCTAAAGCCTGTTTTTCTAGAGCAAGTCGTCGACAACTGTTGAGGGTCGAAAAGTTTGCTTTGAACGCTACACTAAGTTTAGATCTATGACATTTTTCTATAAGGTAATATTTAGGGACGACAGTTGAATCGCGGGACATACATTTAGTATTCGCGTCGACAGTAAGAACATTGTACAGAATTATAAATAACAACATGCTTGTTGAGATAAAGTTACTGAGAGAATTTGTTATCATGTATGTTGTAAATGAAGCTTCGTGCGTGACCCATTATCATGTCCATTGAGATGACACACTAATGAACGGATATTATTCCACATTGTATTGAAATGCCCTTGATCCTACTAAAATATTTTAGCGAAATATTTAGAATTAACAATTGGATTTTACAATATAAGTATTTCAGTTTCATTTAATTCAAGTAAGAGTTATGATTATATCTATCAATTTTGAATTTGTATTATTCGTTTTCAATACTTTTTTTTTATTTGGTACTGACCGAATAAAACACTCAATCGGAAGACGCCATTGTTCGAAAACCTTCATACATCTAGACGGGTCGTTTTCAAAAAATTGTCACTTATTTTGAAATGTCATTTTATTTCACAAACTTTATTGAGATTAATAATTAATTATACAGTAATAAAGGTTTATTGGTGTTGTATTTGTAAACGATATGGGCTGTTTTTATTCTAGACGCAGAGTCGAGGTAAGTCTGAGAGAATCCTTTCTAAATCACATTTAGTACGGAAGTGACTTCTCATTTATGTACATATATTGATATTATTTTGAAGTAACCACTACCTTCATTACTGGAGTGTTAAAATTGAGTATAATAATTATGGTCGTATAATATAATTTTTTTGTAAATTAACATCTCTTCATCCACAAAAACTATAAAAAATTGTTTTTCTTTTCAACTACCATAACACAAATATAATGTTATCTGAAATTAGCACATACAGGACACTTTCATATCAGAAATGTCGGGATTATTATCTGATAACCTAAGTTTCATCTATATAACACAAATATATTGTATTGTAGAAGGATTTTTAAAGTTTTTTCCACTCCATAAGTATTCTATTTTGCGAAAATACAAAAGAAATTTACGGTAGCAAGTTGTATTATTAGAATTCTGTTTGCAGGATGACATTATATATGACATGTCACCGATCAGACACCTGCCAGTTATCTTCGTGAATGGAGTGCCTGGTGCTGGGAAACAGACGGTCGCTCAGACGATATCCAACATTACGGGTTACACGATGATACGACCGGGGGAGCTGATTAGGGCGGAGGCAGAGAAGGACACGGCCAGGGGACGGTTAATAGCTGATAAGCTACAGGCCCAGGAACTTGTACCTGAGGTACGATTTAATATTATGGTCAGCAGGAACACGGGACATCTTGCTCAATTTGTAAAATGACAGTGCTTAATCTTATGCCTCAGTTGCAGAAAGATTCGAAACAGAAAAATTACTTTTTTTTGGAACGGATAAGTGAAATCTGCTGTTATTGATAGTTTTATTGTTTTCAAGGAAAAGATATTGGAAAATTATAATTTATATTTTTGAAAAATAGACTTGCATCAAAACTGTTCCACTAACTAGAATTAGAGTATAAATTCAATTTCGCTGTTTTCCAAGTTTACTTTTGTTTATATTAACAGGTTCTTGTATTGAACTTGTGATCTTACAGCAACTCACAGTCGACATGATCAAAGAAACGATGTTAATGCATCAAGATGCTAAAGGGTTCATCTTAGTGGGATTTCCAAAAAATCACAGAATGTCCTATATATTCAACCGTCAGGTGAAGTGGCCGGAAAAAGTTGTAGCATTGGAAGTTGACAATGAGGTAAAGTGGCATCCTCATATGTTTAGAATTTGATTGCTGTTAAATTTAATTATATATAATTATGGTATCGTATTAATACTACACTATTAACGATGTGTGTCATTTGTTGATAGACAATTATTGTATAATCCTTCATTTTCTTTTAACCCAACCTTTTGTATTGGACTTTTCTTTTTCTCTAAATTGACATAAAAACTATTGCCGCTTTTGATGACAGTAACCACTTATTGTAATATCAAACGTCGGGTTATGTGTAACCTTTATAACACATGTAAAGCTTATTGCATCATCAGGTTGCAGCGAGTCGGTTACAGAACAAATTATCAGAGCTTGGACGGCCGGAGTATGAAATAAACGCGGCGCGGCAGATCGTTAAGGAAGCTGCGCAAAAAGTCAAAAATGTACACAAACGATTTGGAGGACATGTTATCACGGTACGGATTGTCAAATTCAAGCTTCTACAATTATATATGTTGTTATAATTTCTCTTTATATTGAATACTACATATTTATTGTGGTGGCCTAATGGTTAAAGGGCAGGTGCTCTCGTTGCCGAGAGCGCGGGTTCGATCCTGGCCCGGGCAAGTACCAATGTGATTTTTCCGAGTCATATGTACTTTCTAAGAATATTTAGACATCACTGATTAATGCTGATTCCCAAAAGAGGATTGATGTCAGGCAGGCAGCCGGTCGTAAAAAACAATTAGCCAAAACTATTCACAACACGTAAGGCAGACCCTGGCTATAGCCGGGAAATTGCAAATTCTATTTACTGTGATTTTTCAAGTTAATCATAGCAATCTTTTCTAGGTGGATAGCAGCCGCAACCCTAAAGCACTGGCGTCTGCACTCCAGGAGATTCTGTCAGATACAGTAGAAAAAAACAAGAAGTCTGAAGACTCAGAGGAATTACCAGTTAATACATCTGCACCAGAAATCGTTGCCGAACCCCCCCTCCCCGTCCCCACTATTGATACCATAGACAATGAAGTAAAATGATTTTATAGTTTTATGTTACTTGTGATGATTTTTTTTTGTTATATTAAATGTTATTTTAGTAATCAATCTTTGAGTATGTTTATATCAGTCTTTCATTATTTTACATTAAGTTAGAAAGCAACTCACTTTAGGAATATATTTCTCAAGAATAAGGCTTAGGACAGTTTAAATAATGTTGGAATTTTCGAAGGAACAGTAAATTAAAAAAAAAAAATTAAGAATCTTTATTATTTGGCGTGAGATTTTACGTAAGTCGTAAACATAACAAGGAACGAGGAAAACAAAAATGAACAGAAATTATATTTTCAAAGAACATTTTTTTGTTGAAATAAAAAATTCTTAACTTGATAAAATACTTTGTTGATTGTTTCTTAAGCCAACAAATACTTCTATAGTGCGTTTACTTTTATCAATAGATATAACTTAACGCTTTCTTCCCACGTAATTGTTACTAAATATAATTTTTTGTAGCATAATATAAAGTAATTATAACATTGTGTAATGAAGATGTTTTCAGCAATGGCTACAACAAATGTATGGGTTTGTAGTTTTTATATGTTGATACTATGTTGATACATAAGATAATCAATATTTTGAACATATCTTCAGTACATGGACTGAGTTTAACCGTTTTAAATCTTCAGTTGTTCCGTAGAGGTCATCTGGAAAAGAGGTTCGTTCATATAGACTAACTACGTCCATATAATAAACAAGGAGCTTAGTTTATGAAATTATATTTAATTAATAATAAATGATAAATATGAGTCTCTCTAAGACTGATTAACATGTCTCATTTTATATACATGAAGCCATTTCTTGATTTATAACTATGAAGGCCAGCATGTGAGTTGTATCTTCAAATAGTAATTTGAATTTGGTGAACATGTTGAGTCAGGATTCTTCAGCCAGTCACCATGATTTTCCAATTTTTTGGGCTATTTTCAATCTATGTATACCGTCTTTTAAGAAAAATTTTTCAGCTTTTGAGTTACTTTAGGTCAAAGGATAAAGAGATTTGTAGTTTTAGTTTAGTTTTAGTTAGATAAATGGTTTACTAGTTATACGAAAAGTTTTTCTATTCATCACTATCAGTTCTTACCACGATTTTCGAGATCTTCCTTACATCTGTGTGCTACGAACGCATATAATATGTATAATTACGTTTTTAATACATTTTAGACTTATAATAGTTCTGCACTGTATGTCCAGTGCCCAGTAAGTGCCTTTAAAATTTTCATCTTCAAGTTACCAGTGTTCTTACAGGTTAAATCATATCCTTGGATATTAAATCCCTTGCTTGGAATTTTTAAATGCTCTTATTATTTTCTTTTTTTATCGTATTAAACTATTTTCCATTACCAATATGAATAGCATTTTGAAATCGTCTAATTTGTAAGGACTTTCGATTTGGCATCTGGTTAATTAGCTAAGCCCTAAGGAAATTCCTTAATTAATATAATTTAAATAATGATTCGTTTTCAAAAACTTTTGTGATACTAACACAGTACAAGAAAATAATTATTTGTCTGTGACGCTGGTATTAATGAAATAAAAAAAACATCGGCAAATTTAATTTAAGTACAAAATATCAGTTTGAGTGTTTATAATAAGAAATGGTTAATTTATAAGTTAATTTATTTCGGAATAAATTAAATAAACTTAAATTTTGTAGATGTTGAGTAGCTTTTCAAGGAAAATAAGTCATGTGACAATTGGGTCGAGGACTTTAACTATTTCGTCGAAGACTGCGTCCGGTGTGTCTTCAGCGTTTATCTGAAATATATGATATAATTCTAGCAGCATCTTAGAAAGTACCCATCGTGAATTACAATACATTTTGCAAAATACTAATATTTAATTGGCTCGTTTACATGATGATGCGATTTTTTATTTCGTATTTTTCTTTCTGCTATAGCGAATCTTATAAATGGGTTGCAAGAGTCGCTTCTCTTAATGTATTGTATAGCATGTGTGTGTATGTATGTAAGTATGTATGTGTGTGTGTGTGTGTGTATGTATGTATGTTTGTGTGTGTATGCATGTATGTAAGTATGTGTGTGTATGTATGTATGTACATATGTATGTTTGTAACTAACTCTGGTCAGTTTCTTGAGGTAATGTGCCAGCACCAAGTCCGTGTCCTCGAAGAAGGTCTTGAGTCGTTTATTGAGGGCGTACTCGTCTACTGCTCGAGCTTGGACTCTCTTTTTCAGAGTTTCAGCCGAAGCTTCGAGGTATAATATATGCTGGACATAATCATTTTATTAGTCTGAGATGGGAACTTTTTAATAAAACGGCACACGAACAATATTGATATTTTTTTATAACAAGCGATTTTAGTAATAAATTAATATGATGCTATTATAGTGAAATAGTGATTTTTTTTAACAAAAAGATCAGCTTCACTGAACGTAGACTACAGATATAATGCCGAGTGTTAGAACCATATGATTTATTTGTTTCTGAGAAAATATTTTCATGCCATTTTATATTTTTATAATGAGATATTATTCTTACATTCACTGGAGCAATGGCCTTTTCAAAGGCGATGCCTTGGGTTTTTTTTCTCGGATAATCAGCGATGAGAAAACCTTTAGCTCCGCCAACTTTAGAGATCATTGCTTCTTTAAGCAGATTTAACACTACATCGTTGGGAAACGGCTCACCTTAAACACGACAGACATACAAATTAAAATTAAAGGACAGTAAAAGCAATTATTATTTGTTTATCAAAACAGTTTCATCAAAATGTCTGAAATCGGAGCCATAGTTAGAATTTTGAAGGCACTTTCCACTCTTGCTCGATACGTTAAACATATTTCCATACCCCGCTTCATAATAGTAGCGAGACACTTTGATTTTTCAGAGTTATTCATCGCCGCTTCAGCTCGGAGTACGTCTCCTGTACAGAGATGTGTGAACCCATACTTGGCGATGATCTTCTGACATTGCGTTCTCTTACCAGACCCTGGACCTCCTATAACCCAGATTATTGGAGTCTTGCTGGAATCTATGGGAGGCTGTAAACATATATCAATGATATTTCTTTCCTTTAGCACGGGCTGTCCAAGTTAGGGTATACTTTATTTTTAAGTAAGAATTTGATTGTAACCTAATATTTATGTAGATCTTGACAAAATATGTTAATAATAAAGTGGATGAAATAATATTCTTTATAATGCAAACTATATAAAAACTAAAACAAAACTTATATTTTCGTATATATGTACGCGTTTTTTATTATTTTAAAAATTATATAGTCCCGACTACTCGGTTACTTTGCAACAACCGTTATCACGGGCAGAGGAGATAAAGATAAAAATATTTAAATGAATACTCGTGAGAGTTATAGATCTATTATACGAAAATTAAGTTTTCAGTAATATACAGGAGCAACATTATTCACCTCTTTATATGCTTTGCATTTGGGCGACATACATTGCAAGGGACAGGCGGGATACTTTTGAATGACCTCCTGCTCGCACGGATAACAAGACTTGTCTTCCATTACTAATATGTTATTTCTTTATGAATATGAGACTGTTAATTTTTAATATGGAGTTAAAATCTAATGTTATTGTACTATTTTAAGGTGTTGAGACATTTTGCTGTCATTGGCAGTGTGACAGAGACCTTTTTGTTGTATGAAAATAAACCGAAAGGTCGTATTGTATAGTAAAATATGATATTTATCTTATGTAATAAAAGTATTATTTTTTAATCAGTGAAATAAAACAGCTTGATAGTTTTATAGGTACATATTTACAAGTAAAAGTTGCAGAATTTATATTCAAACAAGTTGTAATTTGAATTCGAGAGCCATTCATCTAAATTCTTTAACTAAATCTTGGTTATTATCTATGAAGTTCAATATAGAAGATATTGAACAAAGGTTTGTATAGGAAGTTAGTATTAGAATAAGATGCTATATTTTGTTTTATTTGTAATTTGTAAATTTAAATTCATTATAAGTAGAATACTGTTTACTCATCCAAAGTGTTCTACATCATTTCTTTTAGATTATAAGTGTCACTGAAATTGTATTATTTGAGGGTTGTGAATAGAAGTATATAAGTGAACGAAAACTGTCCAACAATTAATCTCAAAGCAGTATAAGTTTATAAAATGAATCAATGCATCAACTAGAATAGTAAAAAGTAATGCTTTAGGAGCTTCCAAAAATAAGATACAGGGTCTTACACCAGGTCACTCCTATTACTTAATTATTCGTCTTATTAGTTATATTTAAATTACCTTAATTAAATTAAGATTATTACTTTTAATTTAAGATTATAACTTATAATTTAAGATTATTTCTTAGTTTCTTCCACTCAGTCAGCTAGATGTCATAGTATAAATGTTTCTAATAATCTAAATATATTATTCAAGGTGCGTGTTTCATATAGACTCAGCTATTCTTGTTCGTCTTAACATTGACCGCTTATCGTACGCTGATTCGTTCAACAGTCGCGGTGTTTGAGGACATACTCTTTTGTTCCGTTAAAACAGTTAGCTGATAAAAATTTTGTTTTACAGCACATTTTATTCACCATCTTTATATTATATAACAAAGGCTAAAATCTCGCCAAGTACCAAGTAGGTATATTTTTATAAAATATTTGTTAACTGACTTTTTATTATCTTATTTCTTTAAGAATATTTTATTGCTTTGATTGCTCTACTTTTCAGTTCTATAATTTATCTAAAGTTTTGAAAATTGATTTCGAATTAAAAATAAAGTGTTAACACAAATCACAGGACATTATACCGTGTGCCTTTGGTACATAAATATAGAAACAATTAAATAATGCAATGTCTGTAGTTTTCAAACTGAGACTAGAGTAATATGGACATGTTTTTACATCAGCAGTTGACTTACATTAACTCCAGGACTATAAAGTTATTCACGGTGAAACAAAAGACTTAACAGCAACCATTCCTGAAGGTAAGATTTATAAACAAGACTCATACTATCTGTCTGTTTTGCCGAAACTCCTTTACAGTACTGCATTATTCATGTAATTATTGAAATGTATGTACCGCTTAACAGCTATACGAGGGAGATTAAGTCGAGAACAGTAAAGTCATAGTTTAAAATAAAGTCTTTTTATAATAACAAAATAAATAATTGATCACGAGGCCATAGTGTGTATTAATCTAAGAGTTGTGTTGTGTTCAAGCCACCAGCGGGTCCAGGATCTCCACCACCTGGTTGAAGATCGCGTCCACTGAGTCTTCCGCGTTTATCTGAAACATATACAATCATATTTGAACCTAAAACTATCATAAAAATCCACTATTAGTACACAATCATTAATATTTTAGTGTCCCATTTGTAGCTCAACATTTTTTTCTAAATATATTCTATTTTGCCTACTATAAATATTAAATACTATGCCATTTGATTTTATTATTCAGTACCTATTGTAATGGACACTCAATTAAGCAGTCTTGTTATTTCACGCCTAAAATAAGATGCGATACAAAAAGCACAGTAAATTAAATGACATATTTATATAGAACACATACGTAATACAAAGCACAACGCACATAATACAAATACATGAAAAAGTCATAGCTATGTTCTGAATTCTTAACACTCACCCTTCTCAGTTTGTCAGGGTACTGCGCCAGTACCTGGTCGTTGTTTTCAAGGAAGGTCTTGAGTCGTAGCTTGATGGTGTCCTCGTTGTCATCAGCGCGGCCCGAGCTCACCGCGCGACCCAGCAGCCTCTTGGTCAAGGTCTCGGGGGACGCTTCGAAGTATATTATCACCTGGATCGAACCGTTTGTTGCTCAGAATTAATCGGGTATACTTAATATGTGTCAATAATTCGATAAGTGAGCGATTTGATTATTTCCTTCGAATGCATTTATTATAGTATCCTAACATAAACATCGTTTTTTTCCCAAACAGGGTTGATGTCAGGCAGGCGGCCGGTCTTAAAAACAAATAGTCAAAACTATTCATAATATGTAAGTCAAACCCTGGCTATAGCTGGGAAATTGCCAGGTAGAAAAAGACTAACATAAACATAGTATCTTTTATACTCAAATTAATATCAATAATATCTATTCTAAAATTGTGTGCTTGTGTTTTTTACTTACAGTAACAGGAGCGATGGCGCTTTCAAAGGCGATACCTTGAGACTTCTCTCTCGGGTAGCCGTCTATGAGGAAACCTTTAGCCTCTCCCGCCTTAGCGACCATCGCTTCCTTGAGCAAATCCAAGACTACATCATTTGGAACCAGCTCACCTGGAACAAACGATCAAATGACCTGAGGTAAAAATTATATCAAATTATTAAACTAAAAGTACTGATTGACGTGAAGGAAAACATCGTGAGGAAACCTGGAGTTATAATTTCAAATTATAAGTTTGAAATCACCAACCAAGAGCAAGCGTGGTGATTAATGCTCAAATCTTGTCCATGTGAGAAGAGGTCTTTGCTCATCAATGGGCTCTGATAAGCTGATGATAATTAGACTAAAGTACGTCCCAAATAAATTCATTCATCTCCTCACCCCGTTCCATAATAGCGGTGAGGGTCTTCGCTCTCTCTGAACCACTCTTCACCTCTGCCCGCAGAAGGTCGCCGGTGGAGAGGTGAGTGAAGCCGTACTTGGCGATGATCTTCTCGCATTGCGTTCCCTTCCCGGAACCTGGTCCCCCTAACACCCAGACTATCGGCGTCTTGTTTGAATCGATGGGAGGCTGTAGATCAAAGACAATAATTACATGAACATTCCTCATCCCTAAAAGGATACGGTCATTTGTGTCTTGTATGCATACATATTATATAAGTTAAGTGATACATATTATATAAATGCGTCCCTATTACTCTTGGAATGAGCAGTATTTTTAGATTAAAGGAAATTATATTAATTTTCTGACAAATCTATTCTCACATGTAACACATGGCACATGGACGGCGAACAGTACCAAGGGCAGGAAGCAATCTTCGTGATCGCCTCTGCCTGGCTCACATAATCCTCATTTTCTTCCATCACAGATGGTAATGTCCAAATATACAGTCTCACTTCACGCGACCATTAAATTGATGATAAAAAAATATGTTGATATTATTTGATTATTCAATTTGAATCTTTTTATTTGTTTCATAGTGGTTATGGCTTCGTAAGATTTATTTTTTTATAATTTTTCTCTCTCTCTATTCTATTTATTGGCATTCGTGCTCTCTTTCTTTTAGTAATTAGCGTTTTCTTTTACATTTCGCCATGACATGTGTGATAATTTTACTACAATGACAATTTAAAATATTTTGACTGCTACTAAACAAGTCATTACTTCGTAAAAATTGTATTACAGAAGTTCGTATAGGTTTATTCCCGATCAAAAACTATTTAAAATGTTCAATATTTCACGGAATCGAAACTTTCTTTTCAGTATTCAATAAAATTACATGTTAATTAGTTAATTTGAAGTTTCCTCTGTATAACTTTTTTATGAACTTCATGTCAGAATTATTCCGACTAATTAAAATGACAAATATATTTTTCTTTCGTTTTGGGTAATTCCAGGTACAAAAGGCGTTAATAGCGTTAAGTTAGGACGAATCTTAGATGAGGCGAGATGTCGCTAGTGGCCCCTTCGCGCTAGACTGAGGTGATGATAGTGAATTAGTAAACATGAGTTTTTGGCTTTATTAGGCTTTGCTGGTAAGCGCAGCACCATTCTCTAAGTCTCCCCTTGGGTTGTAGTAGTAGTAAAACAATTTTCCAACGATAAAAAGGCTGGTTAAGGAGCGCTTAGAATTATCTTTGGCTTTTATTAAAGTCATCTAGAAATAATTCCTTATATAAGATCATCTAAATATATTTTTCAAGGCACATGTTTTGTATAGTTTGTGCTATTCTTGTTCAAATGATATTGACCGTTTGCCGTCCGTTTGTTCGTTTACATAACAGCTGTAGTTTATTGTGGACCAAATCTTATATTTTCTTTTTTATTATATAATCCATGAGGTAGGTATAGTATTCAATAAATATATATTTCCATAAGAACTATTTTCCTATATCCGATAATTAATGTATTAAGTTTGTGAATCCTAATTACGTATCTTTGAATCCGGATTTATTTTCGGCACATTACATAGATTATGACCAAGGTTGTTGTCAATCAATACTTTGACATTTTGACGTTTCTAAAACGTCATATTTGTCACGCTACTACGATGATGCATGCTAATTTTTATTTTAGTACGTAGATAATGTATTTCCATTTAAGTGGGTAGTTTACTATTCTTTTCATCGTATGCGACAAGAATATTTTTAAAATTATTTATATTTTTAGTCGGTAAGTATTCAATGTATGAGATAATTGGAGAAGCGCCAGTAAAGCTAACTGTTTCTAAAGATAAAACTCATACGATTGTATGAAAATAATAATAAAGCGGACAATTTTATACGTATGTTTATACATTTATTTTAGTGTTTTGGTTCGTTTCAAATATCTTTTTTCTCATACTAATGCTTAAGGCAAAAAAATTAAGTAATATTATTCTGCATTTTCACCGATTTTTATTGATTTCGTACCTTTCTAGTCCAATATTTGCCGCACTTAATCTGCGGCCAGGCCACCGCTACGAACACTAACAACTGCAGTACTTTATATTTCACAAACTCATCGACCCTGTAGATTTTCATTTAACCGTGAAACTATAGACTATTTACAACACTCTTCAAAATACGAATGTATGTGGCCTTGGTGGATTTTTTTTATAAAATAATTGTACGCAAGCTATCTGGATGGCAGTTGGCAGCTCGAGTGTACCGCACCCTGCATCCAACTGGATATTTCAGCTAAAACAACATGTACGAGTACGTCATGTGAATGTTCCTCTTAACAGATTTATATGTTCAGACCATAAAATGATTATGAGAGAGCGACTTTCAGTTCTTGAGTCGTAAAACATACGCTTTAAATAAACAGTGTTACCAGTGTTTCAATGGCAAGATATTTTTTTTATTTTTTTAACACAGAACATTATAATATAATGATTTTTTTGGAATATTATTGGTCATGATTATTTGAAATTTCATCTTAAATAAACTAACGTCAATATTTGAACTTATCTTCATGCCGTGAATAGGAATGGTATTTTTTTTTTTGTCTATTATTTATATTTGTATAAAGGTGACATCGTCTATCAGTTTTTAATAACACAAATAATAACAAGTTATATTTTATATGTTCCTCTATCTTATATCGTATGAAGAATATTTTTAAAATAACCATTTAATTGATAAATATTGAGGGAAAAGAAGTATAGTTTTTCCAAATTTTATAAAATTTCGAAAAGCTTCGTAATTAATTTCAAGGATTAGATATGTTTGAATTTTTTTTAATCTCATTTATCGCCCTTTATAATATGACATATGTATATACCTATTATATATGTTTTACATAAAAATAATAAATGTATGAAATAAACATAAAGTTTATGGATAGAATATTAATATATTATGACCAACTAAATTATATGCACTTCTTTAAATAATTATTTTTAACTATATGTTCTATATCCTTTGTAACTTATTTGTGATATAAGACATTATTTAAAAATTATTTTTGCCACAAATTTATTTTTTTCTATTGGTTTGTAAGAATAACTTTGCTTTTGAGTGACGTTTCATCCATTTCCCTATCTGACCTTTTTATTTTTCGCTCTTGTTAAAACAATAAGATTTCTCCGTCACAGTATATACGAAGCTTTACCCATTTCTCGTACCCGGCGTTAATACTATGTATAATGCGCGAAGATTTATGAATGGGAAACACTTAACGCGCCGTATGTGGTGTGACGACGCGAACTTGTGTTAAACAAAAATAGACAGAACCACAGGAAAATATTAGTTAACTGAACTAACTATTCTTCTATATAAAATTATAAAAAATAAGCAAAATCTATAGAAAATAGACAGTATTTATATATAAAAACATTTAATGAATAACAATTACAAGTGTATTTGAATGTTTTATCGATAATTTGTACAGATATGGAAAGGAATCATTGATTTTTGAAGCAACGACAAGTCTTATCGTAAAAGTGATTTGCTTATCAAGGACTGTTTAAATTACTTTCTACGGTCCCTTCATACATGATGACTAGGCTTTAACAAAGAAAAACAAAACACGTAAGGATTCTATCTGATTTTCAATACCTATAGTAAATTTAGCAAAGGATTTTCCGACTAATACTTAATGCATATAAAACCTATTTGATAAAGTTTGTTTAAAAAATTAAGTGACGACAAAGCTGTACATATATTATAATATCAATCTTCTACTAAGTGATATCTGGCCATATCAGAAATAAAAAATATTACTCGATTAATATTTTCTTTGAAACAATGTTTATTTGATTCATAAAACCTTTTTATGTATAAAATGTAGCACTATTATTATCATACATGACGTAACTACAATCTATGTATTTATAATCGGTCATCGAGATTCGTGATGGATAAAATTAAAATAATAACAACAAAATTATTTGAAAGCCCATCATATATATGTTATGTAAGTGTATTATATCAACTCACCATATTTGAATCGAACGATCCCGGTTTTAATTGAACACAATCAACGTGTATCTGGCTCGAGCTCCGCGGGGCGACTGCGGATGGATGGAACGGTCAAGGCCACGGAAACTGTGCCAAGTCGAGCTGACAGCGCGGGAAAGTTTCAGCCGGACGGGAGGTAACAGATTATAAATATCAAAAAGCCAGCATTATAATTTTATCAATGATACGAAACTTGATAAATTTTATCTTATAAATTGATTAGTGTTAATGTGACAGTTGCAAAATGCAATTATCGTATATCTTGTTTTTTTTTTATCTTCCACAAATTGAAACATCTCGAAGTTTCTCGTTTATTTATTTTTATGAAACCTTTTTCTCTTGTGAATCTCTGTTAATCATTGTAGTTTCTGAAATGGCTAGTCAAAATAGTCAATATTGTAAATTTTCTGATGTTTTAGGAAATGTCTTTTCATATCTTTTTAAATTCGACTGTTTATAAGAATATAAAACACGAAATTCATTTGGATTGTACATGTATATATGTAAAAATATTGAGTATATATTGATTTTTAATTAAGAATTTGTTATATTGAATGTATGATGCACATTACAAAAAACAATGTTCCTAATTGATCATTAAAAGGAGACTATGCAGTTTTTTGGTGAATAGAAAAACTATAGTATGTTAGTAGCTCGGTGCCTCAATATTAATATTTATATTCCTAGTGTGAGATTATTTGATTATTTAGCAACGCTATTATTTAAAGTTGTAAATACATAAAAATATATTAATTTGAAGATATGCCGAGGATAAATGAATAACAAAAAAATCTTGTTTTTTTTTTTGTTATAAAAGTCGATTCTCATAAATTAAAAGCACTATTTTCGTTCTGGCAACACCACAAGAAAGAAAAACAACTCTTTATTAAAAAGTGCTTTATTAATATAACAAAAAAATACATACAACAAATGTGTTACCACTAAGTTGCGAGTGACGATACATAATATGTAGGTAACTTAAATTATCCATAATAAAGATGTTTGTTTTATAGTCTGTAGATTTTAGGATTTATTTTGACATCTTAAATATATTTGATCTTAAAACAAATGCTGCCGAATTCTTTGTTTATATTATAATTTTGAAGTATTTTATATTTTATTATTATGTAGTCATTGTAATCGTTGACCTAGGATTATTATTTATTATATATTAGTGCGTATATAACTGCTCTATAACTAACTTGGCCCCTGTGGTTGTCTACGTGATGTACTTAATGTACATAAAATTATGTGTGAATACATCTTATTATATAAAAATAATTAAATTAAAATAAATAAACATATGAACAATATTTTTTAAATGCCTAAAAAAAAGAAAAAAGGTAGTGTTATCTACGTTCGTATATAATAAAAAAATATTAAGTACATACTGAGTTCGAATAATTTTCTGAATAAATTCATATTATTCAATAATATTAAAATAACATTAAAATGTATAATAACCTTAAAACTATATATTAAATTCGTCACATAGTTTATATATTAATACATAATTGTTTAATATAAGGTTACGAGGAACGAAACGTAATTCAAAATAAATCTAGTATATATACAGGGTGACTGGTAAATTACTATCGATACTTAAGGACGTGATATTTGACGATCATATATGACAAAATAAAAATTAATATAACATAAATATTAATAAACTTCTAAGTAAAGTTAACCAAAAGTTATGTAATTAATTACGCATCGTGTGAACACCCTACAGATTAGGTATACACACGCACACACACACACACACACACATACGCGTGCGGCGGCGTGGTGTTGTATCAGCACGCCGCCGCACGCGTCCACACTTGGAACACTTGGAACGTGTCTACACTTTATTTATTTTTACGGAAATTGTGTCAAAAATTAAGTACCTATTTTTTTTACATAAATCGAATGACAATCATGCACCGAGTATTCTCCTTAAATATTGATAGTAATTCACCAGTCACCCTGTATAATTGGGATTTTTAATATATACATAGTTTTCGTTATCTTTGATAAATATAGGCTTAGTATACACAGTAAAGATGTTAGTGTAATATTGTCCTTATAAAACCAAATCATTGTTATAACCATTACGGAATATACTAATAAATGTACAAACTTGGACTGTAACCGCGTAGGACTGTAATTTAGATATTTATACATAAACATAATACAAAAATCCTAATTATAACGTAAATTTTCATCCAAATATATTTTGTTTATAAGTCAAGGCACAGATAAGGCTTGTACGGCTTCCTTAAAGTCGACTCGTTTCATAATAATTACTTCATCTATATAGTTATTATAATTCTTAATATTAACGTGCTTTAAGGCACTGTACGTCTGTGCGTATCACTTATATGCTAAAGATTATTTTTAATAAAATCTTATCATTTATTATACATAACACGAAATTATACTTTTTATGTTTTTATGCCATACCTTCATAACTTTTTAGTTTCGTTTGTCAATCTTAAAACTAAGTATTCCCAAAGTATTCCAGGATTTCTAGGAATCTTAAAACTGCATTTCAAACTGTCTAAAAAATTTGTTGTCTCTGGGTTATCGACCTCTTTATATTGACAAATGTAATGTTTCTTTAATAAAAATGTTTTGATTCCAGTATGCCTACCACAAGTCTGCATCATCAAACATACGAAGCTTTTAAACGAAAATAATATTTTCGGATTATTATTATTGTAAAAATGACATAAGGTACTCTTAAGGTGGTAGAGTCTAGCTGTGGTTTAGTTACTACAGGTCGAACATGGGTTGGCTCGACCGGGGAAGTACCACCCTCCCACAGAAGATCGGCGTGAAGTAGTCAGTAATGACTGCGTTCTGCCGATGAGTGAGAGAGCCGGTTGCCCTTTCCCTGTTCCCACCCTTTCCTGGTTTTTTCTTTTTCCCACCCCTCCCTTTTCCCCTACGATGTCCATGGGCGACGGTGTCTAGTGACCATCAAGTGGCCCGTCTGCTCGTTTGCCACTTTTAAAATAAAAAAAACATACTCCCGACGTTTCGGTTCCTTTTCAGCAACCGTGATCACGGGCAGACGAGATGTGAATGTTTGTGGACACTGTCGGAATTATGTGATTATAAAATAATAAAAAAACAAGTAGTATAATAAGAAAAATATTAGTTTCATTGACATGAATACTTGCGAAAGTCTTATATCTAGCGTTTCTCGTGTCTCGTTAAAAAGTCCACATTAATTATTAACGCTGCGTTTATCGTTTGATCATCCATACTTGTTGTAAGCGTACATATTTGTTATAATAGAAGTTGTGACCCTCTCGCCGTGTTTACGTCTGCGCATGTCAATCGTCAACCTACTTTCTTAGTACTTACACTCTGTTAATCAAAATATATTTCTTATTTAGAGGAACAGTTTAAATCTTTAGATTCTTCTCATCACATTTGACACTCGATCCTTTGACGAATTTTTAATCAATCCTTTGTATTGTTTAACTTAAACATTTTTTTATAGTAACGTCTTAATGTCCTAGTTATATAAGTATACATATGTTTTTCTAATTTGTACTTATAATATAATTCATTATAAAATTGTTTCTTTTGTATTAAAACTATCATATATCTAACTACGTGATTCATATATTTAATTCATGGCCCACATTATTAATTACTAAAAATATACATAAGTCATATGTTTATTTCACATTATTTCCATATATGTTAAAGTATAATGTCTGTTATATTAACTATCATCTATATCTATATATCTATGTATCTACATGTGCGTGTTCAGAGCTATCTCTCCAGAGCTCTGTTCGTACAGCCGTCGTACGTCATCGTGCGTCATTTGGGATACGCTGGGTATCTTTGACACGTTGTTTACCATCGGTTTTACCTGTGAAATATATAGAAAAATACATATGTCGTACATTATATGACGGATAATTGTATGTTAAGTTTAGTGCCACCAATTTTTAAGACGCGTTCTTTCTCACTTTAAAGTATAGTCCGGTTGATACCCTATCATCGTTCTCAAGTTAATGTTAGTCACCGTATTGATTGTCATTATCGTAATAAAATCTTATAATAATAAAATCTTTATATTCCAACGAAGATTTGATGACATCAATTGGGCTTAGGTCATAATGATACGTTGGATAGAAGAACATTACTCAATAACATTTTTCATTTGTGATATCGGCGGACAGATCACAAGATAATATATCGTGTGCGTCAGGATCATATATATTTTATATATGGGAACAATTAAATATCGTTGTATTGTTCGACCTTAGACAGAGTTATATTGACATGTTTTTATATCAGGAGTTGACTCACACTAGCACAAGGGCTACGAAATTCTCGTTTGTTTGAAAATACTTAGCACGACACGTTTCGTAGACACAATAACAAATGGTTAGTGAATTATTGCCATTGATAATGTCAGAGTTACTAGATATCATATCAAAATCTATGCCCCACCTTATTGGTGTGCATGCCAATAAATCCATTAACGCTCCCGTTGGCGGCTCCATTCCTGGCCGTACCGTTAGCGAGTGTTGTCCCCACTCGAGACACCACGTGCGCAAACTGTTGTACCGCGGTGCCGTCTGTGATAACATTGAAGAATATATTACAGAACATATTTATAAGAACAATAGAGAAGAAATCACGTTAGTAGAATTGTATCATTAGGGAACAATTTGAAAATTATATTGAAATTTTTAATGGGATTCATAAGTATAAAGTACTTCATACTTGTATATAATATTTCTGAAAAATTCGTTTAGTATTTTTTTTATATCAAGGCACATATATTTGCAATGGATTTAGATCTCTACAATACAAAGAACATATTTACATTATACCTCTTTATTTTATACTATATACAGGGTGACTGGTGAATTACTATCGATACTTGAGGACGTGATATTTGACGATCATATATGACAGAATAAAAATTTATATTACATAATTATTAATAATCTTCTAAGTAAAGTTAACCAAAAGTTATGTAATTAATTACGCATCGTGTGAACACCCTACAGATTAGGTATACACACACACACACACACTCGCGCGCGGCGGCGTGGTGTTGTATCAGCACGCCGCCGCACGCGTCCACACTTGGAACACTTGGAACGTATCAACACTTTATTTATTTATACGGAAATTTGCTAAAAAATTAAGTACCTATTTTTTTTACATAATTCGAATGAGAATCATGTACCGAGTATTCTCCTTAAATATTGATAGTAATTCACCAGTCACCCTGTATATTATTACTTTATACCTCTTCTATTAAAATGGTTCTGTTCCGTGCGCTGGTCGTAATCCGAGGGTATCTTGGAGATCTCTTCAGCTCGTTCCATCTCCTCCATCAGAACTCTCGTAAACTCCGCCTGAACGTCAGCGGAGTCCGTGTCACCGTCCACCTGAACAATGACATTTTACCAAATTTAAATAATATTTTTTCTAATTTACTTTTCAAAAATCATCACGGGCAGCCTAGATGAAAGTGTGTGTCAGTGATCACAAAATGTAGAATAATAAAATACTTGAAATAAATTAGAAAAAACATACATAGTTTTATATACTCGTGGACTTGAAAAATAATAAATATCATTATGTTACGAGTAGTTTTTGACAGAAACTTTAATCAGTCTGGATTTCGAAATTATACTCAGCGAGAAAAGTTCAAAGTGAATCCTGATGCTTTATCCCGTGAATCCAAAATCCATGACATTTTCTAATTTCTAAGTCACGATATTGTAGTGTTTTAATCAAAATCTCAGAAGTATTGCATGAAAATGCAACGTATTCATTCAACTATGCATCTATGACTACATGCATCCTCAAAAACTTTCGCATTCGTAATATTATTGGAATAGCAGTTAAAGTTTTGTGTCAAAAATCTTTCATTAAATGTCATGAGTCTCACTATAACGAGTCGATGTTGTTGGTCCAGGTTCTTCAACATGGGTAGACTCAGCTCCCGGAACACCTCCAGGCGTCTTCTGAAGGCGGCCACTGAGTCATCTCTTCGACCGCGGCCGAGCTGCAGCTTGGAACAGTCCAAGAGGACCATACGAGGAGTCACCTTGAACTGAAAGATAAAATAAAGATCCAGTTGAAATATACTCGCAAAATTATGTCCAAATGTCCATTATTAGGTATTTTTTTTGGCAATAATGTATCATCATCAGCCTATCAGAGCCCGCCGCTGAGCAAACGCCTCTTCTCACATGCAGAAGCTATGAGCATTAATCACCACGCTTGCTCAAGACGGGTTGGTGATTTTAAAGATAATTTGAAATTATAACTCCAAGTTTCCTCACGATGTTTTCCTTCATCTGTCAGTAGTGTCTTAATACTCTTAGTAAGTACATATGATTCGGTAAAATCACATTGGTACTTCGTCGCTGCGCGTGCGAAACCGCGTAAAAGCAATATGTAAATACCGCGTAACAGCAAAACTTCTAGCCAGGGGTCAATGTATAAGCCAATCTAACAATACCTTACTATACAGTTACATTTGTTTAATATCCTAACATATACTCTCTCACCTCACGTTCATAAAGTGTCATCTGTTCTAAGTCTCTCGGGTATCCATCAAGTACGATTCCATTCCCGGTTCTCGTGGCGTCCTGTACCGCTGTATGCACCAGCTTGGTGACCAGGTCGTGAGGCGCCAACTCGCCGCCAGTCACAGCTGTTCTTGCCAGAGCACCGTCTGACGCCAAGCCACCGCCGACATCTGCCAACGCTCGAAGACGTTGGCCAACACTGAAATAAACATATTCATGGGTTATTTATTGAGTTAGTACATACTAATTTTATTTCGTGATTTAGGAATTATTAGAAAGACATTTTATACAGGGTGACTGGTGAATTACTATCAATATTTAAGGAGCGTACTCGGTACATGAGTCTCATTCGAATTATGTAAAAAAAATAGGTACTTAATTTTTGACCAAATTTCCGTATAAATAAATAAAGTGTGTACACGTTCCAAGTGTTCCAAGTGTGGCCGCGTGCGGCGGCGTGCTGATACAACAACACGCCGCCGCGCGCGAGTGTGTGTGTGTGTGTGTGTATACCTAATCTGTAGGGTGTTCATACGATGCGTAATTAATTACGTAACTTTTGGTTAACTTTACTTAGAAGTTTATTCATATTTATGTTATATTAATTTTTATTTTGTCATATATGATCGTCAAATATCACGTCCTCAAATATCGATAGTAATTCACCAGTCACCCTGTATAATGGATATGTTCAATATGAAGATTTGATTTGATTCAGATTGAAAAATATATTGATATAAGAGACAGTTGATTTCATCCTTCCACTTCTGAAAACTCACTCTCCAGAAGTCTTATTCCAAAAATTTCAAGTTTCCTATTCAAGCCCTATTTCAAGTTTCCTATTCAAGCCCTATAGATATACATTATAGTTTTTGTTTGTAAATTTTAATATTTTCGTGTTACCTAATACTTCATTCTAATCATAACTGTAGTCACCTGAAATGCATCCATCCTTGCCGTTGTTCCACAGCCCGTTGGCAGAGCGCTGCTTTATTACTGCCCGGTCCTCCGACCACCCACAGGGTCGGTGTGGAGGTGGCTGCACCACGTACTCTGATAACTTCAGCCTAAAACACATTCATGACATTCCAGCACTGTAATGATTACTATAGATTTACTCTCAATTCAGTTCCCTACTACAAGTTCCATCGTCAAGCCAAAAACGCAGAACTTTCAGTTTCTACTCATGCATGTCGATACTATCATATGTGAAGATTTGTGAATGAAAAAGTAGGAATTCTTTGTATTTAGTTTGACGATCAAAACTTTTGGTAAGAGTAAATATAATAATGAATAAAACTTCAAATTACTTTTGGACTAACTATCCTCTCGCCATTTCCAATATTGCCATTGGGCACGTGTCTTGGCACTGGCGCGACTGTGACTGGCGCTTGTACTATAGTGACCGGTTCGTTTGGCATTGAATCATCAATATCGACATGCTGTGTGACTGGCCGAGGACTTTCCTGGTCTCTTGTCGGTGCTGGTTCCACACCAACTATTTCACCTTGAATTCCTAGAAATAAAACCACCTTAATTATGTTATGTTGAAATTAAACTAATATTTTTCGGATTTTTTACGCGTTTATAATTATTTCTAACAACATACTCTTACGGCTACTTTGCAACAAACGTGATGAGAATGTCTGACATAAATACGAAAAATATTAGTTTTAGTAAAATGAATACTCGCGAAAATCTAGATTTTATGATGTTATATTTACAGACAACTACTGTATTATACTGTAGCTAACTTTACTTAAGTCCTAGATTTTTGGCCATACAAAATAGTCAAATTCTAAGCGGAATATCTTCGTCTTTTTTGATACTTCTATATTTTTTCTACTTGAGTGCGACAAACACCTTTAGTGACCAGCTTATGAACTTTAACCAAATGGGATTTACGTGATTTTTCACTATTAAGTAATACTTTATTTCTACTGGAAAAAAATCCTTTTAACTTCAGAAAATAAAAAATATTTTATTTACGACTACATTTTAATATTATCAGATGTCTGTGTGATACAAACCTCTAGCACCCACACCTATTCCGTTGCTATTCTGATCTTCATAGGAGCCGAGGATCTGAAGGACCGCAGCCTTGAAGTCTCTGTATACTTCTTCCGGATTTCTTTCACCGTTTACCTGAAAAAAATAATTATAACGCCTGTAATACAATATGTCATCAATGACTGCTACTACTTTCCTTTATAAGGGACTAATTATCAAAAACAGTCTATCTCTGATCGAAACATCTACAACACTAAAATATAAAAAATCAATAAGTTATTCGATGAACAATTTCCAAAGAAAAATTCTCCTTATATTTTCTATCAAAATAAATTCTTGGATCTCGTTAAAAGTACATAATAATGTTTTATTCCTACGATTTAACGTTTATTACAACATCAAAAATTCCTTAAAACGCGATCATAAGTCGAAACACGTGTTCCAATTAATATTATATAAATGTCTGTTCTACTTTGATAACAATTTCTATTCATACCTTTATGAATTTAGAGGTAGAAAGGCCGAGCCCGGGCCCTGGTCACATTTAATTAACTTCCCATTATTATTTTAGGCGATTTGTTTTAAAATAAATAAGAAATAAGCATTGTTATAAATGTAAATATAAATTCATTATTCACTTCACCTAAATATATTTTAAAAGCAATAATACATATATTTATCAGTTTTAAATTTTAAATGACATTGAAAATTTGCCAATATTTAATTCGTATTATTGTTTTTCTTATAAGTAAAGTTTTATTACGAAGATTAAGATAGTTGAAACAGGTTTACAGTTTTTGAACAGCGTATAATCACCTTCATTTTATTTTTATATTTATCGCCACAAACCGTGCAAGCTGTATATTTGTATCCACCGCAACAGCAGTCGTGGCCGAGCGGTTAAGGCGTCTGACTAGAAATCAGATTCCCTCTGGGAGCGTAGGTTCGAATCCTACCGACTGCGGTAGACATATTTTGCTAATAAATATACTAATAATAACATTTTATTTTTTCATAAACTAGTTTTTACACGTGACTTCGTCTGCAATAGTTTCAAACTTAGAAATGTATAGCAGACCGGGAGAACTATTCGTCTTTAAAGACAGTAGATAAGAAAATTTTAGATTTGATAAACTTATTTTTTTTCTTTTTTAATCAAATGAAAAGTATCCTGTCTTTTCCCTTTTTCTAAGATTATCTCTCCGCCAATTTTTAGCTAAACCCGTACAGCCGTTCTTGGGTTATAAATAGTGTAACTAACACGACTCTCTTTTATATTTAAAGACACCTACAAAAATTTTTTGAAATTTAATAAAAAAAGTATATTATTTTATTGGAGATAACGTACAGATCCGTCACTTTTATAGTTTTTTGCACATTCAGACAAAACATACGTTTTGGTATATTACATTTACGGCCGAGGTATTCGTTTAAACATTCTTTTATCATATATTTCAAAAATTCATTTGAGAAAAAAGTAATGTGGCCCATGAGGGGATCGAACCCGCGACCTTCGCGTTATTAGCACGACGCTCTAACCAACTGAGCTAATGGGCCTTAAGCATTACAGTCGAAAAATCGGATTATTTTACAACAATTTATATAATTCCTTTCACTATTTTTATACATATTGTCGAGGATAGTGTAAATCCGCGTAACTACGTAACTAGATAGTGACTGCAGCGCCATCTGCCGGGATGATATGAAAATCTAAACCATCTGGGGGACCACCCAAATGCATAAAAAGTCATTCAAATCGGTCCAGCCGTTTAGGAGTTCAGTGAGTTAAATTTTTACAGTAGCATTATGTATATTGCACATTTTGTGTAAAGATTATTATTATTGATAAATGATTATTTATTTGAGCGTAAATTTAATATCAGTGTGTATATAATAATAAAGTGACAAAAATTTATTTTCTTTCATATTTAGTATTTTTGACAGTTTTCCACTTAACATAAACGAAAAACGTATGTCGTAGTGAAAACATACTAATGTTTCTATGAAGCGTCTGTTATTTACAAAAAAAAAAAAAAAAAATATTTAGACTTTAAAATATTTGTCAAAAAAAATATATATTAACCTTTAACTACCGACGTGGTATTTTTGCATCACTAGTACCGACGTGGGGCCTGAGAGGCCGCATATTAAACACTGAGTGGTATGGAAAATATGTACAATAGACATCTATTTTTTAAGTTTTATCGTTAATTTGGGATCTATAAATGAAAACAAAGACAATTATTATAATCAACTTTATTAAACTTTGAAATTATATGATCTTTAATCTTTGGCTCCGATTCTAAACTTAAAAATGGCACTTCCTGAAATAAAAATAATTAAAGAAATAATACTTCTTAGGAACCATGAAATAGACTTTTTTCTGAAACTTAAAGGTTATATCTATTCAAAAAAAATTAAAACTTAAATTGTTTTCATAAATTAAAAAAAATGTCCAACAACAAAGTTACTCACAATTAGGGCAGATTTGTTTAGCGCACTGTAAACAAACATGTTTTTTACATGAGTAACATTAGTATGTACATTTTCTATTTAATTTAGGCGGACAAGAGGCACATATTTTTCTAGTTTTTTCTTCTTTTGCTTGACCTTGCTCTGTGTTTGGCATATCGGGACCGAGTATTCTCTCTAAACTCATATGAAGTTAACGAGGCAAGCGTAACACCCTTCTCTTCATGTGGTCTAATACGAGTTGTCAAGCTAACTGCTTTATAAACACACCGCGATCAGTGCCTTTATTTAGATGCACATCATGCAGTATATGTGAATTAACTGAACTTATATCTAAGATCCTATATAAAAGTGTCAGAGGCCAACGTCTTGTTCGACGGCTGCAAGTGTATACCGAACACTTTCTGTCGATTTCATCTACTCCGCCTTTTGTGGAATTATAGAATTTTATTATTTTATTAATCTTCTCCGATATCATCTACTTCCGATCCGCTGGAGTCTTCTGCAAGCAAGGTCTCAATCAACGCCGCGTTATTTTCATCCGAGAGATTTATAGGACGCCGTGGTCTTTTGGAAAAACGTAATTCATCCGTAAATAAACTACGTTTACCCCCTGATGTCCCTGGTACATCCGTTCTTCAAATTATCCGATAGATTTCTGAAAACAAGCATTTAATTTCATTCATGACCCAAACAAAAAACTAACATTAGTACCGACGTCGGGCCTAAGAGGCCGCGTCGTAATTTCAAAACAACATAACTTACCGAAATTGTGTTCGCCGGCACTGCTACCACTCTTCAACGGCGTTGGCGCAATTAAACTCGCAGCTACTGACGAGCACGGGGCTCACGTGCGCGGGGAAGCGGTAAAACTAACAACTTGTCAACTCGCCGCGGCCTCTCAGGCCCCACGTCGGTACTTAAAGGTTAAGATATTTTATGATTTCTTGATCCTTTGGGACAGAAGTATGTACACAGCTTTAGTGAGACACGTGTAAAAGTACATAGTAGGTAGTGTATACCAGCCTTAAAGATTCGCATCACCTGTTTTTTCTCATGTTATACGACCCACTATAATATAAGCCTGTGTACACAAACCGTTTTATTCATCACCTACTTCACCTTTACACCGCATTACGTATTCATAACAGTACTTATTCCTGAACTCTGTACTATATACTTATAATATATGAATAAGTCAGCCTGAATTGTCAACCCCCATTATCAAGTTATCAAGGTTGTGAAATATTAAATAACGATTCATTGCCATCGATTATTTTCAGACGCCCTTACCGTTTGTTTCGTAGACTAACTAAAATAACAGATTTAACAGATTTCTGAACGGAATTTTTTGACGTATGATAATTTGACAGTTAGTAATAAATGCAATTTTTATTGATTAAATATTTTTTAAATAACTTAATTTTCAATGGTAACGTAGAAATAATTGTGTTAAATTGCAATTACATATATACAATATAATCTGTTTTATATGAATAATAATGTATCATACTGTTATATACAGAAGCATAAGTTATGATTGTACCGTACATCGATATAAAATCGATTAAATATATCGAGTTGTTCATAAATGATATTCAATAAATTGTGAAGGGACTCGTTAATTATAAAGGAGTGTGTTTAAGTTAATGTAATGTCTGAACCTCGACCTCGGCCGTATCTGGACGGAGCGGCGGCCGTCTCACTATTGACATATCGATGTTTCTAGAATTAAATTCTAAACCATTTATTTGCTCTGTCAAATATGTATGGGGGGCGGTAATTGTCAAACTTATACTACACTTCGAACGATATTATGTTTTATTACAACGCCATAAAAGTTTTTATCGTGTGCACTTGTTAATAAAAGTTATGTGATTGTTTTAAGCTCTGATGGTATCAATTCATTTGTGTTTTTATTTATAATAATGGGGAAGTAAGTAAAATGGGGGTTAAATTATCTAAAAAGTATCGTGGCCCATGAGGGGATCGAACCCGCGACCTTCGCGTTATTAGCACGACGCTCTAACCAACTGAGCTAATGGGCCTGTGTGCTCTACGGTACTATGAGCTCTACATGTAAAATGTGTATTTAATATGAAGAGATAAAAGTTTGTATATTATCATTATGTTATATCTAGTATATATTTATCTTAAAAGTAACTAAAATCATCCACTCGAACAATTATAATATATAGAAAGTAACATTTACTTCGTGTTTAAAGAAAAATATGGTCGTTATTCTGTATATAAAAAATTTTAACATTTTTTTCTCAGTCACAAGTTTCAACTTCAAGTTCATAAAGTAATTTAAATCTGTAAATAGTCCTGAAAATCTTGGAAATAAGTTTTACATACTTCAATTTATACACATATGTGTATATAGGTACTTTATTTGTTAATAACTTTGATAATTTCTATGTTAACAACTTGATTTAAATTTGAATATTAACAGCAAACTCCCAATAAAAGTTTCAAAGCTCTGACGAGTATTCATCTTTCTTTTAATTAGCGAAGAATTCATCTGGCAGAGCACTAGTTTTAAAAATGTTAAATTGACTTTGTGTTAATAAAGTATTAACTGCTTATATTTAAATATTGATGACAGTAAAAAATATATATTTAAATCATTTCATTCAGCCGAAATTAGTTTCAAACATCATTCAATGCATTCCATTCAGTTGTTATTTTCTCCTGTATATACTTACAAATGCCATTCATCCATTCACTACAGTTCTCGGGTCACGGCTTCGCGGAATCACTGTAAGGCCGGCCATCATTCCCAAGTTAATGACATTGTAAAATAATTGACATGCGATTTTATAATATTGATTTTCCTTTGACAATCACTTCATTTATATGGAGCATATTTAAACAAACTTCAGAATAGCTTAGTTTTTTATTCGATGGCATATTTATATATTTTTTTGTTAACCGATTATAACCGTTTTCTTTTTTAATCACTGAGGTGACATAATTTGAGTATCTAATTATATTTTTTCTGAATAATAAAAGCTTGCAGAATGAAAAGCTAGTAAAATTATACTAAATTTTATTTTGCTCACTTTGTACTTTTGGATTATCAATTAGATCTTAATATTAATATTAAAGTGTTCATTTAAATAATTTAAATGTAATAACTGAATTGTTTACTTCTTAAACTACGCTACGAGCTCAGAATCATTTTTACTTCCAGAAAAATGGCATTTTATATGGTAAAAAGGGGTTATTAAATTCCTCATACGAAAAATATTGTCATTTCTTTGGATTTGTTGGTAAAATAAGATTTCTTGGCCCATGAGGGGATCGAACCCGCGACCTTCGCGTTATTAGCACGACGCTCTAACCAACTGAGCTAATGGGCCGTTATGTATAGCTATAATAAAATAATTCAGTATAAACTTATTAGTTACTACTGGTTTCGATAATATTACGGATTAATAATGATAAGTAACACGTATCATGTATATTATAAGCCATTTAGAAACATAAAAAGGAAATAAAAAGATAACACGTGTAACTTAAAAAGGTGATACCTGAAATTTAGATCATCATCGTTTCCATTTAGAAGCAATTCTTTTTTCATTATTCCTTTATAAATTGAATTTTTCACTTTGCCACTTATTAACTGACATTAAATTTAACGAATGTAGTAAATGAAAATACTTTGTGGCTATGTATGTTAATGAGTCGTTTGAACTTAAATTACTGTGTCGATTTTAATGAAACCTTTCACAATCATAGTTTGCACATCAGAATATCACTTATGATTATTAAAATCAATTTGCAAATTTAGCAAAATAATGCTGTAACGAAAATCCACATATAAAACCAGTGCAATTACATATAATGATATTTTTCTTTTTAATCAAAAATATATATGTGGCCCATGAGGGGATCGAACCCGCGACCTTCGCGTTATTAGCACGACGCTCTAACCAACTGAGCTAATGGGCCTGTGTAAAACATTTTCGAACCAGCATATGTGTAGCACGTCATATTACTTTCACCTTGTACATGTTACGTAAAATACTTTAATTTATACGTAATAATCGCAAGTGCATTGCATTCACTGACATATGACATATATAACACATAGCCACTTAAACATATAACTTTGTAGTATAATACATAAGGCGCATCAATAATTAAAAAAACATTTACTTGTTACAGGAAAATTAACATCAAATGGAAATTATTTATAAAGACATACATGGTCAATGTTAAATTTAAATCAAGTAAATTTAACTTAATAAAAGGTCTCTGTCTCCTCGAACAAAAACAAAGATATGATACTATGTATTTTATTTAAATTTGAATTTCCATTAAAAATATGTGTATTGAGATACAGTTAGTGTTATTAAAATGAAAAATCATGTATTTAAACTTCTTGAAGTTTGTTATATTTTGGTTATGTTTCGAAGCTTTGAAGAGGAAATTTTTTAAAAGGTTAAACTACTACAACTCTTTAAAATGACTATTTGTCATGTAAGTGACTCTTAAAGTCTCTATATCTATACCTTATGAGTCTAATTTGATTAACAACTAGAGAAGGGTATGGGTATTTTCTTTCTGTATACCCATTTGCTATAATCAAATGTATTCAGAGGTCAATGAACTGATGGTTACTCTGAATTGACGCCATAGTCTAAAGAAACTTACGGCAATGAGCATGTTGCTCTGGTCGAAGTAATCAGCGACGGGCATCACGTGCTTGTAGAAGTTGGCGAGCTCCATCTTGGCCAGACTGAGCACGACCTGCCCCAGGCGAGCGCCGTACTCTATCTGACGCTCCAGGACTCGTTGGCGCCAACTGACCAGCACCACGCCACTTATGGTCTGGATCTGGGAAGGAAGACTCATCAGGGTTTTTGGTACTGATATAATCATGGTAATTTGTTCTAAATGAAACTAATATTTTCGGATTATTACGCGTATTTTGTCTTGGATTTGTACGCAGTAGAAATGGGAGCGAGAGGTATAACAGCTAAATCTCTCTACAACCTACTAAAGATTTGGACCTGTCAAGAACTGATATCAATTCATTCTTGGAACCTATTTCAAAGGCAGCCCTATAAGGTTCTTTTTTAATTTGGTTAGGTAGAGAGAGGAGATTTGACGGTGAAGGTGATCGTTTAACGCGCGTTAAATAGGGGCCCCTTAAACCTACACCTGGGTCGCAAGTCCCAGGCACTGTTGCAGCTCTTCTCCCTGCAACGCGATATACCCAGCACCCACACCGTGAATACCTATATTAAATGCTTTATGCTAAGAGCCTAAGAAGTTTCGTCTCTTTTTTAAGACTTAATTTTTGTGATGTTTCATACCTAGTCTGCCCGTGATCATGGTTGCTGCAAATTAACCGAAACCTAGTTATTAAAGTAGTATGTACTTCGTAGTTATTAAAACTAATAAAATACGTTTAATAATCCGAAAATATTAATTTCATTTAAAGTAATACTTGTGAAAGTCTTAGATCTCATTAAATTTTAATCTTATATCTCATGTTTGTAAGATAAACTATAAACGAATTATTACTTTGAGTTGACGGTCGGACTCTGCCTTATAAATGTTGTTATAGTTTCTTGTCATCATTGTAAAGTCGAAAAGCCTTGTTTTCATTTATTTTGTAATGATAAACTATTTATTTTATTGTGATATAAACCTAATATTGCTACATAAAGATTCAGTAGATAATTTGAGACTTAACTAGTAAGGTTTATTTTATCTGTTCGTCAGAAGTATTATAAAACTAATAGATAAACTTTTACAATAGCAAGAATAAACATAATTTTTATTTAATTTATTTATCAATATCTAAGTTATAATTATTTGACAAATACCTCAACTTCAAATTCCTTTCACGATACATCATCATTATATTCGATTTTATTAAGTTCAAAAATCAAATATAATTTGTCAGAAATGTATTTAAATTCGCTTTCAAATTTACGTGGAAAATATACAGCTAACAATTTTATTATAAACATATAGTTATAATATGTTAGAAAGACGTAACATGGTAGGTACACTTTTAAACTAATAACTAATTCGTTCCATACATTTATTACAAGTAATCTTGAATTTTATAGCGCACATATCTTTTTACTTATCACTATCAAAATAGCTAAAATAGAGGCGTTTAAGTTTCAACTGTCGGTTAAATATTTTAAATAAAAAAACTAGACTAGATTTTGACTAAATAGTAGAGTGAGAAAATTAAAGTTATATATGTAATAAATCAATTAATTCAGAATCCTTATTTAGTAAAAAATAATATTACATACTACTCATATAATTGGTCATGAGTAATAACATCGAGGATTATTCTGGAACGAATAGAAAGCATTCATAATGAATCTGTTTCATGACATTACACGTTCTGAACCACGATCGCGTGCAATTAATATATTTATCCATAAATGAGACTAGATTTTATCACAACTTTTACTGTCATGGACACTAGTTCAATGTTAGAGTAATTATACTGCTCCTACTTATACTAGTTCTTGCTACTGGTTTTGTTTTGCATGCACCTAGATCTTTAACAAACATCACCCATGGTAATTCTTTTAGCAAAATTACTGAACTGTTTAATGGGTTATTCCAAATTGATCATATGTACGCAAAGACAGATTTAATAGGTTGAAATTTGAAGGCTATTCGATTAAATTTAACAAGCAAATCGTATAAAAAATTAATTTGTTCCAGTAACTTCTGTGGTAGCGTCCATAACTCTCTAGTCCCCGTGGAACAATAATCATTACGTTACAATACTGATAGTACATTCCATCTCTTTAAAGAAACGAGAAAATATACTTTTAACAAATTGGTATATAAATTACACGATCATATTTTTGAGGAACCCAAAAGGGCGTACAAAAAAAGTTTCTTTTTTTCTTTTCAAACAAATTAAAACTTAAAATTTTTGACAATATCATAAGTGTTGATACGCTTCTTAATAGCTCAGTCCATTTGCACTTAAAGCAAATAATGAAATAAAATTTCAACTAAAACCTGCCACCTTTTTTGAGTCGTCGAATAATTTATTCCAATTTAATGCTTGGTATAAAAAAAACTTATATCCAAAACAATCAATATAAAGACAAGTAAATCTTAAATTAATTATTAATATTGAAGAAACTAAAAGAATATTGTATTAACGTATGTATCTTTGTACATACGTTAATGCCTGTACCTATTTGGTCCTTGACACACTGCCGACGATTTTTGTCAGTCCCTCGATCGATTTGTTAATTATATGATACTTCATAGCCTATAGTATTCTCTTTAATATATTATTAGCAATTATAATTAGAAACATTTTCTTTTTGTCGAAACGATTTTCATAATAAACGTGAAATAAAAATTATATCATTAGTTATGCATTACACTTTTATTATTTTTCTGAAAATATTGAAAACAACCGTTGATAATTTCTTTTTTTGGAATTAAATTATATTAATTTAATTGGCTTGTATTGTTTATATATAATAATTAAAGTTAACTAAGGTATTTCTATTAAATTTCAGAGCTACAGTCGTCAAGGTTTCATGTGTCTTAAAATGGTTCGATATTTTGTAAAATAAAACTATATACATCGGTAAAATCTTCACAGTTCTGAGACAATAAGGCTCTAAACAGAAGACCATTTGTACTTTGTGTTACAGAAAAATAGCATTGAGAGCATTGATAAATAAATGTACAACCTTTTATATAGAATCTTCAGCTATTAATTATTTCAACTGTTAATTTAAAAAAAATTGTATCACACCTAATACCCGACTGACCTTTCTATAAACATATACCTAGGTAAGAAAAATTTATAATAGGTATGTACATTTTTGTTACACACAACCTGATTACATACTTTTCAGAGTACTTCATGCTTTAATGCATTTAATATGTTAATCTTGGCGCGTTCATCATAAATAAAGTATAATTAAGTGCAAAAATTTTGCATAAAATAAATTATTGACCAGTTTACTTAAATAGTTATTTCAAGTTTTACACCCATACAAGACCCAGATTTAGTTTTTTTGTGTCAAAGGTGGCAAACGAGCAGACGGCCTGCTAGATGAAGTCAGTCCCATAGATCCCATGGATATCCGCATCATGTCTTATGTTATGGATGGATTGCCAACGTTGTTTATTGAGAAAGAGGGAGGTGTGGGAATATGGAAATTCCAGGAAAGTATGGGAACTCGGGTAAGGGCAACCGGATCTCTCACTCATCGGACGAAACGCAGCCACTAAAGACTACTTCATGCCGATCTTCTGTAAGAGGGTGGTACTTCCCCGATCAAACCAACCCGTGTTCTAGCTGTAATGACTAATCGACTGTCAGCTAAGTTCTACCTCCTTGAAAACCACCTTAATCTTGAGGATGGTTGGCTACATCTATCAAGATTCTAGAAACTATTTCTTCTAAAATAACCTCATAGTTTATTGATCTCATATAATTAAAATATATTTATAAAGTCGCTCAATACAAATCGATATGCGACGTCACATATAAATGCTGTTTGAGTTATTGGAAGCTATCATTATAACGGAATGACTCAACGTGAATCATCCGTAGCTGGAATGAACGACTATTAAGTTCTTTTAAGTATAACAATTAATTGTTACCAGTCCTAACGACTTAAAGACTTATTAAATATTTAATTTACTTATTGATGGAGCTTTGGAAATATTACAATGTAAAGTATAGAAGAATATTTAATATTGTATAATAATATGACATTTAAGATTTAGAGATGACAAATAATGAGACCAACTAACATACATTTTAATTTCGTCATCCCGTGATCACGGTTGCTACAAAGGAACCGAAACGTCCTGATTATCCCTACTATTATTATAAATGCGAAAGTAACTGTGTCTGTCTGTTACGCTTTCACGCCTAAAACACTGAACTGTTTTTAGTGAAATTTGGTACAGAGATAGACTTGACCTTGAGAAAGAACAAAGGATAGTTTTTATCCCAGACTTTTGAAAGGTTCTCTTGGAATCGCGATATAACCGAACTCCATTCGGCGGATAGCTAGTGTTGATATAAAACAAAAAAAGATAATGTATATTATATCCGAAAATCTTAGTTTGGTTCAATAGTATGTTATTATTCCTTATCAGTATACCTACCTTATCAGAGTACTCCGCAACATCCCTCATAGATCTCGGGTAGCCAGAGACCAGGTAGGTGCGAGCTGTGGGAGCCATCTTCATCTCCAGCATCAGAACCTCGGTCACCGTCTTGCTGGACAGGGTGCCGAAGTCTAGCATGTCTGGTGAAGGGTTAACTGAGTTTGTCATCAGTATAGCCTAGCATTTAACATTGAAAAACTTAGACTAGAATATGTATAGTCAGGAAAACGCTAGAAACTTGAAAGTAAATAAGAACTCAAATGATAGTTTACAGGTATTCAATAGGTTGAGACTCAAACGTGATATACTAAGTATATTAAATAGAGTCAGTTAGATTTTATATATTAAAAATACGTCATTAGGGCGTTTCTTTTTATACTCATAAAGTCCACTATTGTCACTTAAATAATTTACAAACAAACAACTTACACCCATTTACTTGTATTGGACTTGTCAATAACACGAGGGAATGACTTCGAAGGTTGACATCAAAGAGCATACTTGAAGAATTGGGGTTTACAAACAATCGATGATATTTCTTTAAATAAGCCGCATTATGTATTACAATTGTAGTACCTACATAATGAGAGGTTGTAACTTCAGACACATCTGAACAGTTCTCACGGTCAGGGTGACGTAATTATAAAGAAAGTCTTCAAAGGAATCAATTTTGTTTATATAAAATATTTTTTGAGGTGTCTCTGAATAGAGAACAAAGTTAATACTTTCTTGATGCTTTCAAAAGTGTACCTGAGGAACGTGTTTTTAATAATTTTATATTTATACCTATTTATTATTAATATTATATATGATATTTAATTCTGTACGATCGAAAGAGGAAAAAAAATCCAATGTCTGGTTATTTACCGCCTCTAGGGCAGAATAGAATTCGCCCGTCAGCTGTACATATATTACTAATTCCGAAATTAACACGGACGAAGTCGCTAGTAAATACTAGTGTTTCATATTAACAATATTCCAATATATGTTTGACCACGGACACACCTCCAAGGCCTGTATCGCCGACGTCACCACAGATGTTTAATCCGGGCCCTGAATAATGCATGACATCGATCGTAAGTGACACTGTTATTGACTGTGACCTCTAAAATATTACGTGATTACACTGACTCCAACTTATGGAGGACTCGCCGCTTTATGTTACACTTGCAATTATTAATACTCGGATGGTAATGGAGTTAAAAATGAAGTGGAGCAATAATTAATTCGTTCGTGTAGGTTCATTCTTATGATGTTAAGAGATTAATGATTTACAGTACACAATAAGATGAAGCTAATGTGGTAAACATTCATTCTCAAAAGATAAAAATAAAAATACAAAACATTGTGTACTACGATGAAGCAAATTTTTATAATGAATATGTCTCGACAAAATATTGAGATTAGTGTGAAAAAAATGTATAATAAGACTCTGAAAAGAAAACATGTTGTTTTATATATTCTTTCTGTTTATATATCGCTATCATCATACCGTTGCCGATGGCGTACTGCTGCAGCAGGTCCGTCATGTTGATGTGGACCATGCCTCGCCTCTCCTGCATCAGGTTATCACAGTGTGTCACCTTCCCACTGCCAGGGCCACCTGCGAGTAGACCTGCATAGGTAAATATGTAAACACTGCTCTATATATGTGCAGGCTTATATATATGGACCAGCTAGCAGTGCTTGATTTATTGAGATTTGTTCTACGAGATGAATACGTGGTCTGCAGATTTTGAGACAGACCGTAGAGGAATATGCTCCATGCGTTCTATAAAGTCTTAATCTTGTTCTACGCTGACCTAAGCTAAACAAGTGAGTCACAGTTTTGTACATAACGTACAAGAATACACGTTAAAAGCTTACTTGAGCTTGCTTCGCTCTATGTAACCTTAACCGTTGCAACTGGACACCGTTTAACCATATTATGGATGTAGAATGTTCCTCTTGGTCAACATCACCACGCGTATAACTTACCCAATACAAATATAACGGGCACCGCGGGAGGCTCGAACTTGACGTGGCTGGAGTTCTGCATGGGGAAGGGCACGCCGGACGGAGTCGCGGGCCACGAGCTAGCTCGACCACTGCGCTCTCCCACCGTCTCCAGTTCTTCATTGTTTTGTTCTAGAACACAGAACAGAAGAGTAGCAGATTGACGAATTTGATAAGTCTCTCAATTGAAATATAAATGTGGGTAGTTTTATATGACTATTTATAGGTGAAACTGTTTTTATTAAGTGTCGCTTTTTTAATTACACGCTGAATAAAACTAAAATCTTTAGTAAATTATTAAAGAAACAAACTGGTCACATTGGTAGTTATAACTTATAACAAAGAATTTTTCCAAAAAAAATCTTTAAAGTTATAATAATGAGTACTTTATATCTTTCTGCGATTATCTTATAAGAATTAAAGAAATGTTAAACTAATATTATCAAAATTGTAATATTAATTTATTTCTGACTAGCTTTCCGCCCGCAGCTTCACCGCGTGGAGTTCGGTTATATCGCGTTTCCAAGAGAACCTTTCAAAAGTCTGGGATAAAAACTATCCTATGTTCTTTCTCAAGGTCAACTCTATCTCTGTACTGAATTTCATTAAAATCAGTTCAGTGGTTTAGGCGTGAAAGCGTAGCAGACAGACAGACAGACAGACAGACAGAGTTACTTTCGCATTTATAATATTAGTAGGGATAATCCCTTTACCTACTAAGAATTTAGCCGCAGTTTAACATTTATAACCTTTTCAAGCGATCGAAGAATCTTCGATATAAGTACATATTTATAGTGTAACAAATAATTATATTATAAATAGTTGAACTAAATTTATACTTTAAATTTCGATCGATGTCTTTTTTTGCAGAACAATCTTATAAATTGATTTTTAAAATATCAAGGTGTGGTAATTTTTTAATTTACACATATATTTTAATCCTTGGTACGGGAATACGTATGATTACTATCTATGAGATACCTTGATTGTTTAAACACATTGAAACTATAGTTTAAAACACATTAAAATGAAACAATTTTTTTCGGATTACTATGCGTTATTTGCAGCTTTGTGGTTACTTTGCACTAACCGAAACATCGGGAGTATGTATTTTTAAAATGACAAAGTAACGCGATGTAATCCGAATAATATTAGTTTCATTCGTATTAATCATATTAAAATAAATCAAACTATCTTCTTCAAGCGTCCAAACAAAATGAAATGGATTTCGTTTTAATTTTATTGAATTGAGAATTTCTTTTTTATTCCGTTTGATTGAGCTAAAAGCTTAATTTTCATATTGGTTTAATTAAAAGGAACCACAAGATTACTTAAATTCTATTGCTAAAAAGAAAAAACTTTAATATTAAATACTAATAGATAAGTACCTAATACGCGTCATGCTTTGCCAATATTTGTCTGAATTTAAAAAAGCTCACTTGCATTAACAGTCTAATTTCTAAAGATATATTGTGGATGAAGTTATTAACTATACAATACTCATATGATATTTGTATTCCGTGAATTCGATTTATTTGTTATTTTACTGATTGATTTAAATTTCTGACTGTTTTTAAAAACCTAAAACGTAGGAGTTTCAAAGAACAAAAATTTGACGAATTTTGTAATTTTCTTCAATGATTTCTAAACCACTTATGAATTGCATATATCTATGTAAAACTATAAACAAATTAAGTAAAGAGATTTCATTTTAAGAATGGGGCTGATGTACAATTTTTATAATATTTTTTTACACCTCTAAATTAATCATAAAATTTGTGATTATAAAAACGAGATTGAAAAAATTTATATTCTTTTATTAATATTTAAGATTTTTACCCATACTCATTTAAATGAAGTAAGTTTTTTGAACACTACGCGTTTTTTTATTATTTTATAACAACATAGTCCCGAAAGCGATCAAGACACTTTCATCTCGTCATCATTATCACGGTTGCTATAAAGGAAACGAAACGACTTTCATTTAATCTATAAATATATTTCAAACTATGTTTAAATTTCGGTTCATACATGATACAAGGTGTGACGAATGTTGAAAAGCTTTATTTGATCAATGGAAGGGTTATCAGCTATACAAAATAATGCTGATCATTCTCAAGGACTTGCCTCACACAATTAATGGATTTACGATCGTATTTTAGATGGTACGAGCTATAGCAAGTCATTTTTAGGGATATAGACGTTAAAACTAAAAATTAGTCACTAATAGTGCTTGCTATGGCGCCCAACATGGAACTGTTTTAAAGAGCAGAATAGAATATTCGTTTTATGTGAGAACTATCTTAATTTAAAACAAAATGAGTTAAATGTCAGGTAAGATTTGGTTTATGCAAATGAAACAAGGTTAGCACCATTTTTACATCTTTTTCCATGCCCGTGTAATTTTTTTATATGTATATTTACATAACTATTGGTTTTTTCACGTTTTGAATACTACACTATGCCGTTGAATGATACGTCAATAGTTTCTCAGTCAAGGGAAATAAAACAAGATAAAAAATCATTTATATTTTAATCCATACTTAATGAGTATTAAAATCTAGATCTGATAATGAGTCTTATGTTTTCAAAACTATTAGTGTTTTGTTTTCGGGTACATAAATAAATGTGCCTTTGTGATTTATTGTAATATATTAAATATCAAATTGCATGTATAAATTGCGTTATATAATACATAATGTAACATCGGAATTATGTAAATAAAAAATAACGTTATGGATAACGCCTTGACGTTATAAATTAGGGTATTTTCCTGCTCTTTACAAAATATAATGTAATCTAGATTTAATAAAAGGCACCTGCCAAAGAACGACAACAAAGCAAATTTGAAACTAAATATAAATACATAGTAAATCATAAGTCCCACAGTTGTATACTATGGGACTTATAATTTATGTAGTAAAATAACCTTTACTATTTACGTAATTTAAAAAACTAAATGTTTGTAGTTTTTACTATTGTTAAAATAATAGGTAAATTAGTAGATAGCCGCTATAAGAGAGTCGGCAAAGTTATGCCTCCGAACAGAAAATAATTGTGTGATATATATGTATGTTGTTAATATAATATGTATGTACTCCGGTTTTTCGTATTTTAATGTTCTTTTTCTTAAGTATGAAGCAGTGAATTTAAACAAGAGAGTTGGTATAGATTATGTATTGTTAAGAAGATTCTGGACCATGTATTCGGGTTTAGGGAAGGTATACGATAAATATATTTTTCCTTCCAAATCTTGGAGATGTTAAGATTCGAAGACCCACCCGCCGATATTAGAGTAGCATGATGGGTTCTGACTTTTTATACTTACATCAAGAATTTGAAAACTAGTTTCATTATGTAGTTTATTTCATTTAACTTTATTTTCATGAAAGTACATTAATATAATTTATTAAAAGCCATTTCAAGTGAGTTATAAATGAAGTTGGTCGTAATATAAAAAACTATTAATCATCTTAATGATAAATACGAGTCCTATTTGCGGCTAAGTAAATGAGTGAGCTAGCTATGAGCTGTTTCATATTAAAATGGGGGTAGTCTTAAAAAGTGGCGCCCAGCGTGGGACCGTTACTTACCAGTGTCCAAACAGATGCCCATATTCCATGTACCTAAATGTTTGTGAAAATTTGGTCCTTGTAAACATTAACTTTACGTTGGCACTTATGATAAAAATATATCAAAAACAGTCAGCTACGTGCACTGGACAGTGGACACGTATTTAATTGTTCATCGATTAAAGAACGCGACCTTCGGATCGGTCATCAACTAAACATAAATAATGTCGAGTCGAAATAAAATAAAAAAATAAACATCAAATAACTTTCGTCTCATTTAAATGATAAACTTTTTAGTTTTTCTAAAGTTGTGTCTGCGAGAGAGCATTTCTGCCGGCGATGTGATTCTGGGGCGCATCGCGAGCCGACCGCTCTCGTGCGACTCAAACGCGCGACTAAACATCGTTCTACCTCCCGACTCCCGAGTTCCAACTGTATATCTCCTTCTCTCTCGCACACATTACAAAAGGCGTGCGCGACAAGGACGGCGAATACATTGAATAATTAAATGGCCGCCACCCTCAATGAACGCGTGTAGAATAACGTTGAAAATGCAACACTGCAAGAATGAGTAATGGTATGTACTCAAGAGGTTAACGGGTGACTATTAGGGTCAGATAATTAAATTTTCAGCGCGACTCAGGGTCTTTTGTTATTTATTCAATAGTTACTCAGTATAATTGATACGTTCCAAGTGGACTGACTCCCAGAAGGCCGGCCTCGCGACGGATCCTATGATTACAGACCGATACTTAGACTCCCCAATACGACCACACCAAATAATAAATTAGGACAATTGTTTTATTCATAACAGTTCCAGATACTTCGGCGACACACCGGCTCATACATTAATTAGTCGATGGAATATAAGAAAACCTTTTTCAGTTGAACGAAAAATTATAATCAATATTGTGAAACATAACATAGGTACTAAAAAATAAAAAGGTATTATTATATAAATACAATTATAATATATTTGTTTTATAAATAAAATGATTTATTTAACAACATTTGCGTTACAACCGGTGCGTACGGAGATTCCTTATATACATACAAGTATTATACAGTAAGTACTAACTAAGTACAAAAAAAACAATCACTAACAAACATCATAAATAAACTTAACCTGACCCTTACCACGAGTATACTCACTACATACTGACAGTCTGACGTTTACTACACGTGGAAACTATCAGTATTTAGTCTGATACAAACTTGTGGTAAGGATATCGTAAGAGTGCGGCCGTAACGGATGAGGCCGTATTAAAGCTATATAATATAAAATCTGAAGTCACAGTAATTAATTATATATGTATATATTAGTGAGCAAATGAATTCGATTCTCTCAGTAACTTAAAAGGCAACTGTTAAACAATAAAACATAACATAAATCTTAACAGTTTCTTTCAAGAAAAATTTAGTTAATAATAAATTTAACTATTATATTAAACTATTAACAGTCGGTCGAGGTTAGTTAGATTAAGTTAAATTAACGGCTAACTCTGATATAAATTACTAACTAAATTAGTCCTTGTATATGCTCTTATTGCCTGGTTAAAAATTTGACCGACTTCAAACATGGAAGAACAGTCGATTAGTGCTTATAAATGCATCTAATTAAAATAAAAAACAAATTCACTACTTACATCTAAGTTTTAAGACCGATTTATTAACATATAGGCCGATTTAATGTCAAAATAAGATTTCTGTGAATTCCCTATATAAATATTGTATAACATATATTAAACTGTACGAGTGTCTTAACGGTCATTGTGCGTCTTTATATAATGTCTTTATACGTTAATATGTGAACGAATGTCAGCGATACTCTCATCTCATGGAATGTTCAAGCGATACTCGTCCTTAATACATTATAATAGAGCATCATTTCGGTCGTATTTTCTCGTAGAAGAACACTTGAGGTACACTATTTGCTTCCTTTAGTAGTTTCTTCTTGACGAACTTGAAGTGTTCGGACGCGAACTCATATAATTCGTTCTCCATTTTCCATATAAGTGATTGTTGTATCTTGTCTATGGTTCGTTGTGATGGTTCTATCTTGGCGCTGGTCTGCCGTAAGTGTGAGCGGTTGCTGCTCCGATAGTGATCGGTTGCTCCTTTGAACATTCTCGGTAGGCTCGCTTCTAGTACGCTGATGAAGGCCAGCATATCCTCAGTCAGACCTACGACTAGGTAGTGCTGCACTAGATTGTGCTTCGCTTGCTGCAGCGCCCACGAACTACCCGGACGCCTGGAATATACGACAAACTGTTTATAGTGGCGACATCTGTGATGTACTGATTATAATATATGTACTAATTATAAAATACTATAGACTGGGAACCTACATATAATTAGTTGTCAGAGGAGATCATGATACTCTGTTTCGTTAATAATGCATTGTATTGGAGTTATAGATTAATCGATTGTAGTGTTGAATTTTTTTGTTTGAATTATATTGAGATTTCATTTCACCATTACTTTAACTCATCTCGAATTTATTGTTGAAATTATTGTTGAAAGTTATTATTTTAAAATTTTATTTTAGTTTAGGGTAAATTTAATAAATTAATAGTGAAATCAACTAGTACTTTAAAAAAAGTATTTCAGATCGAGTTTTTATGAATACTATAATCCTTAGAATTATTATCATGACTGATTTATTATAATTAATTACAATACTGAACCATCATAACATTGTTTTAGAAACATTTAACTATCATTTTGTATTTGAGAACTATAAATACTGCCTTCAGATAATTTTTAGAACATTACTGGATGTAATGCTAAACATTAGACGAGAAATCTGAAACTGTACCTTAAACAGTAAAGTTACTTAACTTACAGAAACATAACATTTTTCTTTATATAGATATAAGAAATGTTGTACTCTTACATGATTTTATATAGCTTAGAATATTTTATGTATTAAATTAACATCACATGTTTATTCATTATGTTTATAGAGAAAAGTTTCATGTATAATTCTCACCAGCACTCCGCGGCATGTCCACAGAAGAACGGCACCTGCAGCCACATGTTACTGGGATCACAGTCAGCTTGACCCTTCTCTACACACTCATCAAATGTCTGTGGAAATAATCAGTTAATCTTTACATATATAATTCCTCTGTGAGTGTGTATGTCACTGAACTTCTCTCAAACAACTGGACCGATTTTGATGAAATTTTTTTATGTGTTCACGGGTATCTGGAAATGGTTTAGATTCACAGTTTTGTCTGCTGGACAATGTTTTTTTAATTAATTTTTAATTTATTAGTAGTTGTTGATACAAACTTTTTGATACAAACTTTTAGATTTGACAACTAACTAATATGTCAATCATTCTGTCGCACTTCAAAACACGGAGATTTATAGCTTTAATAGGTAAACTCCAAAAATATAAATAAAAAAAACGTCACAGATATTTCTTGATTATAGGGCGATACGAAGTTCGCCGGGTCTTCTAGTATTATATATAAATATTATCCAATACATATTATGCATGTTTTTATATAAATAATATTGTTTATAAGAAACATTAACAGTAAAATACATAATGATCCTTATTCATGTATCATGAAATATGAATACTTATGTTTGTAGAAGTTTTTGCATTATGTGTGTATGAATTATATGCATATGATGATAATTTTGATTGATTAAACTATGATAGGGATTTCAATCCACAAATACTTCCAAATCATCTTTAAAAATATGTATATATTAATTCTTATTATTATCCTAAATATGATATGTAATAGGCTAGACTGTATATATGTAAATCATTGCTGCGCCATCTCTAGTGGGATGGTAAAGCATTAATAAATACTAATGTAGTTTTTAAGTTTTATATTGTTACTAACAAATTGAGTCTGGTGTTGTTCGAATTTTAAATTAAATAAATTAATTAATTAATTAATTAAAAAACAATAATTAACAGACTTGACAAAAAACCATGACAATATGTTCTGTGTAATTCTAGAGTACATTATATAAATAGGATTTTTCTATAGTAGTAATAGTAATACATTATAATCACCATTTTATCCCCATGTTTCTTCCTCACTAGATGCGGCCTGAAGTTATCACCGTGTCGTAGAAAATAATAATAAGACACAAGCCTGTCCAGCGGCTTCCTGATTAAATTGATGAAGATAGGCCTCGAGTTAGTTCCCAATCTGAAAATTGAGAAACATAGTTATCATATTAAACATCATTCATATTGAGTAAAAATAAACATATTTCTTATGTGTAATTGTTTTATTTTCAGTTATTTATACACCCATCAAATGTCTCATATGTATGTATATTTTACTTTTTCATATTTCTTGTTTAGAAGAGATCTCTCTTGAGTTATAAGGCCACCTAGATTTTATGTTTCCATCTAGTTGTTAATCTAATGGTGTACAATAAAGAATACTATCATTACTACTGTTTACCAGTATTCATGTTGCATACTAATATAATTCAAGTTATATATATTAAAGTTCCTCATGCATTTATTCATATTATTAAATTCAAATTACTTTATGTTATAAAGCATGTTAATGCAATTAAATTATTGTATAAAGGTATGGACATATTAAAAAGCAAACAGGAAAATGGGACATTTATAAATTAAATTACAATAATTTTCTGATTGATGACAGAAGTATTTGGGCATTTATATCAATACTTTTATATCAATAAGAATAAACTATTCTATAAAACTATCAAATCAATCTATTTATAGTGTACAACCAACCTTTCAAAGTTAAGGAATGCCATATGACCATGATATAAGGCGGGCTTCACCTCCTGCCACTTGGTAACATTCTGAGCAAATCTGTACTGATTACTGAGCGACATGACGTGCATGTTGGCCGTTATATTGATGTGCAGCACTTTGAAATGATTCTTCTTACATAAATCATAAGCTACGCCGACGAAACTCGTGGAGCCAGTCTTAGGAACTCTATTATAAATAACTACTAGGTTGTCGTCATCTCTCGGCGGTTCCCTCGTCGTGTATTGACGGGCCTCGGAATGCGACTGCAACACTCTGAACTCTGGAAAAAACGTTACGTTACGCGACGATTTCTAGATATTTATAATAGAAACGGTATTTCCGTACTAACCCAGTTTGCGATACACGTCCTCCAGTCGCGCTATTTCCGACTGGAAATATAGAATGACAACAACAACAACACACATACTCGTAAATAGCCATAATTTGTGCACGTTCAACATATCGTTGATAAACAAACAGCACTACACCGCACTCGTATGAACACTGACATACATTAAATATGATCACATTATAAATATAAACATTCCCACTACATGAGCACACACACTAAAAAATATTGTAGTTACTGTATGCGAGATTAGCTAGGTGGTCGCCATGACCGATGTCACTGATGACAAATGACAATGACAAAGAAATGTCATTTGGAATCATGTTTAGAAATTTATAGAGCAAAATATAAAATAATGTGTTTAGAAATCTAATAAAGTAAACATGATATAATAAAATGACAAAAACTTCAGTAGAACAAAACACAAGTTAGCCTATTAAATCTAATAGCCAGTCGGCGTAACGAAAACTACCAATACTTGAAGTTCATTACTTAAAGATAGCGTAACATTTTTTCAACAAATTTATTTCTCTTTGTAACAATAAATGATTTTTCTTTCGGGGAGCCCTTAAAAGTTATATGCTTGTTCTTTTTGAAAAATACAATCGAATCAAACAAAGTATGTTAAGAGAGAGCATTCAAATAATTAATTATCAAAAAATTATGAAATAAGTGCTATAAAAACTCTTTTATATAATTCTATCACAACAATATAAAAAAACTATGAAAAGAAATAGAAACAGCACCCCTCATGCGACTTCAAGTTTGATAAGTAGAGAGGTTTTGTTACTGCATTGAAAAGATAATATTTATTATACCTACAACGGTGACAAATAATGCTACAATCGTATTTTTAAGAACTATTTATAGAGCTATTAACTGTAGCAACATTATTTCTACAAAACTTCAACTTTACTTAACTTCATTTTAGTTTATTTAAACCATAACGTTTTGTTCTGAATAATTGAAGAGTAAGTACATTATACGAATACTTAGTATTTGCCTATATGGTATAAATATAGATACAATATTACAAACCTTACTAGAAAATGCATATATTTCAATTTTACTTGAATCTGAAGGAGTTTCCTTACTAGCAGTTATGAATGTTCGTAAAAAAGATATTTACTTGAAGCCGATACACACGTATATATGTATTTTTATTGAAGTGGGTACAAACTGTCCAAAAAAGTGTTAATAAATAAGAAACACAGAAAAAAAATTAAATTCAAACAATTAGATGTAATGATACCATAGATTTTCGCAAGATCACGGGCACAGATGAAAGTCTGTCGCGGCTGCTGAAAGTGACCGAATTTTTAGATAAAATATAAAATAATATGTTTAACCCAAATATTCGTAGTAAGTTTATCCGAAAAAAATACATAATTTCATTAAGAATTACATAAAGTATAAACTCATGATGTATAAAACATTTTCGACTACAATACATAGTATATAATACAATTTTAAATTAGTTTATTTTCACGAATAAAAGATCGTGAAGCAGAGTTCCGCATAAATAATAGCGCTCAGTGGAACGATATAATCGATACTTGACGGTGTGGCATAATTAGATTTCAGTGACTATTGTGAAAATTGGATTTTTTATTGTTAATTTCAATTTAAATTTTTGATGATTCCTATACTCTCAAAATCACCTACATAAGAGAATTAAGAAACGTCCTTACAAATAACGAAATACATTAATTTTCCCAGTTTTCAAATTCTGATGATTTTTCATCATATTCACAACATATTTAATGTTTTTCAAACCTATTCCTATTAAATATTTTGTAGCGTATATGTTTTTAATGATGTGTGTTATTAATAATTATTTCTGCTGTTAATGTACTCACGTGAACGTAATTCGCTCGTTGAATGAAACATTTTCAAGGTGATAGTTCATTGCGGGCTCTAATAACTTTAGTGCTAGTCGTGTTTTCAAGCCGTTTAGACGCGAAAAGCGCTCACTGTAATAGAAAATACTGTTGCAACTTCAGTGACATAATATTTCGCGCCTAAACATGCGTCAAAGCTCTGTGTAACCGTCGAGAAACTGAATTGAATTCTACCTTTAATAGGATGTCCTTTCTTTGGTAAATGCTAAATATTTTTTCATTTATTTTCTTTTTTATTTTTATTGTTAATAAATTTGTTATTGCTTAGATAATTTTTTTTATTTCATATAAGTTCTTTACATTTGATTAATTATAAGTACCTATGTTATATTCGTTTTTCTTAGCTATGTTTAAATGTTGATATGTTTAAAAATATCAATATTATTTGTAAGAATTTTCTAATATTATAAATTTTATGAAAAGTTTTGAGTGTAATCATTATTCTTTCTTAGGATAAATTGAGTATTCTTATAGTTAAGAACTTAAACTTTAGGGGTGACACCGGAAACAAATCTAAGTAGCGTATGTCACCCCACGTTACCTAAACTAGTTGAGAGATACAAATAGAACTCATAATAATTTAAACAAAGTTCAATAATCGATCACATCTTCCGTGAGGTGTCATGATTATTATACTTTACACTCAAAACATGTAGTTTTTTTTAATGACATTCTAAAATTATATGTTTTAATATTAATAGATGAATCTCTGAAAACAATTAAACACGTAACAGTGATCTGTAGTGAGTCAGTCGACCTTACGCATCCGTTACGACAGCACGTTTATTTTTAAAAACTCGCGCGTCCTCTCGTTGATAATCATAAATTATATTTGATTGCTATATTACACGAAATTAATATGTATGATATAGAAAGTAAAATTAGTAGGAAGTAGATAATGGAAGTAGACCTTATTTTTTATATTTTCGGAAGCTTCTCCAGGAAGAAGAGGGAAAGGAGGAAATCCCTCGAGCCATCGTCGATCAGCGCTGGGAATAGTCCGTTGAAAAGTAACTCCAAGTCCAAATTGTCTCGGCCATCGAGTCAGAACGGTATCGCGCCAAGAACTTCTGCGTATGAGGAGAGACGGAAGGCGAAACTGAAGGAATGGGAGTGTGGTATATGTAAGAGCGAGCTGGTGGAGCCGAGACTGCTCGCGTGTCTTCATAGCTTCTGTACAGACTGTCTCTTGGGGCTACACTGTGACGGGGATGATCTGTGGGAGGATAACGAAGGTAAGGTTTTATGATCACTGCAGTCCCTTAAATAAAGTCACTATGTACCTACTTATAGTTAAAAGATGTGACTTCTGGACACTTTTATAAGTTTAACATGTGTGTTACATGTTTAAGAAAACTTTAGTACCCAGTTACAACTTTTTGAAAAATAACGGAAAATTGATATATTACTTTAAGAAAGTTTTGTAGTCTTTCTTAAAAAATTAAAAAGAACTTAAATTTTCATGTGACATACAATTAAAATTTAGAATCAGGACATCATAACTTAATTGGTAAAAAGGTGATATTCCGCACGAGGCAAAAAATATTATGAGTCAAATTACTCAAACTTTTTTTTAAAATATATTATCAGAAAGATTTAATAACACAAATATATAATCTATAAACGAGTACATATATAATTATAAATACTTTGTATATAACTATAGTCGAGGAATATGCACCAAAGTGAATAAAATTTTTACGTTTTTATGTCACGTATTTATTAAAATATCTGCCAAGGACCACAATAAACACGTGATTACAAAGATATTGAACACAAATTAACTTTTGATAATTATCGTAGAGTAAAAAATAATAGCTGTGGTCTGATATCAGGCGTCTTTCCGTCTAGTGGCTTGTTAACTATTGCCCTGAAGCTAGGAGATCTCATTACACAAACATCGCTACTAACTTTGCAAAAAAAAAAAACTCCCAATTCAGGACAAAAAAAGTTGAATAATCAGCACATATTTTATTGAATTTCCATACATATAAAACTGTAATTTATAACAATACTACGATATAAAAATGAGGTAATTTAAGTAGAAAATATATCCAAGCAACCCATACTTCAACTCGTCAAAGTTCATATAAAAGACAAGACATTCGTTATCGAGCTATTAACAGCCACTTAACTATATTCTTTCTACCGCGGACGCCAGCCGCCAGATGCTATAGTTTCATGGAGGTTTTATTGCTATATACCTTTTTTATAGCCATCACTTATAGAAGAGATCTTTGTTTTCATAAACTCTAATGTGTCGGCCTAATTTCGATTTTAAATAAAAAAAAATTGAAAATTGAAAAGTTACCGGTAAATAGGAAGTAAACATATTATTATAAATACTTTTTAATGTCCGAAGAAGTACTCAATTTGTTTAATCTGTGTAAAAATGTCAAAGTTCGTAAAAAAAATATAAGTACTAGAAAAATTTAGTTTCATCTAAAGTCGTGTTAAAATATAATGTATTTATATGGAAAATACACGTTTTTTTATGTTGAAGAATAATATTTTTGTTAATTCTTGACCCACATTAGTAAAAACATAAAAATAGGCATCAACATCGCTTTTCTGTTAGCTTTTTAAGTTCTTAAATTCTAGGGCACATTATTTTTAAGTGTACTTTAGAGTTGTACAAGAACTCTCAAACTATAAAACGTTCAGAAACTAGGATACTGAATAATTAACATTAATGAGCCAGGAATATTATACAAATAAAAAAAAAAACAAATTTGTAACGGTATTAAATTTACATATATAGACATAAGTTTTGAAAATAAAAAAGTAGAATAGCAAAAATATTTATATTATCCATAAAGTAGAGTGAATAGTGATTATTATTCATAATCAGATATACAAGGATTTTTTTGACACATTCGAGACATCGGCTGTTTAAAAATAAAAAGGTCACTTAAGTAAATTCCTTCTTGTAACTTTGTATAAATCGACCAGTCTTGTAAAACGAATGACAATTAGCATTATTGGCTCTATGCTTCAACTAATATCAATTATAGAAAATCAAGCAGAAGGAATAAAGAAACCTCACAGCACCAAGGCTGCGGCCCGCTTCTCTAAACGGATTATTTAATTTGTAACCCTCGTTACACTTCACATACTACGGATTTCCGATGCTTTATTTAAAGAAGCCTAAATATTTCATTATATATAATTAAAAATACTTTTTAAATTAATTTTTTTTTTCAAATAAAATACTTCAATTGTAACTATAACTTTAGTCTTTAGATAAGATCGCCATTTGCATTTTTTTTTCTATTATATAAAATAAGTAACGTTGTATTTCTTGACCTAATTTGTTTAACAAAAAAAATAAGTTACCATTAATAAATAGTACAGGTCAGTTAAAAATAAAAAAAAAACAGTGGTAGGTAAACAGAACAACTGTCAGATTGTTTGAATCGCGGCGCGCCGGGTGGCGGTTTTATTATTAGAACACATTAGAACATCGACACATCAATGGCGTATGAAAACATGATTAACAGACATAAGAAAACTCAAACGAATTTATCGATTTCAAAACAGATTATACGTTTTTTTTTCTTTCCTTGTTTAAACATTCAAATTTTATAAATTACAGCTTAAAACATTTCGAAGTTTAGATTATACAGCCAATGTGCTTTAATTTCTTCAGATAAAATAAGAAACATTAAATTTCGTTTATGTGATAAAAGAAAATTAACTTTGATGGAGCACGAGATGTTAATATTAATCAACAGATCAAAAGTATAACAATAACAATGTGAGTTAAAACAGACCACCTTATAATGAAGTTCATGTTTATTCGTGGAAAGAATATTGTTATTTGAAACACTTCGGAACTAAGATTACTGGTATAAGTTCTTTTGATTTTCCAACTTTATGTATCGTTTAACTGAGGTTCAAATAAAACTTAGTTTTTGTTAGAAATGTATGGTCAATATTGTACATTGATTTATCATATAAATGTTTTAAAAGTAATAATATAAATGTGCAATGAATCAGCTAGCCGGAGGTCGACTTATTTAAAGAGTGTCCGTACTCAGTAGCGGATGTAATGAAAGAAACACTTGGTCTTTCCGCTAACGGATATAATATTCAAAGTCGGACTTTATTAGCGAGTTTGCAAAATAAGATTGTATTATTTGAATTCAATTGAAATATCAGGATTAGAGTACAGAAAAATATCGTAATTAATGTTGTTAAAGTAATAGTCAAAGTTACAAATACACCTGTACTATAAGTAATATCCATAAACACTATTAAAGAAAACAAAATATAGTCGTTAAATTAGTGACAGCTACTGTCATTAATTGCAGAATGCTAGTGACAGTTTACAATCGTTCAGAATTTGAGTTTTCTAGATATAAGTTTACAAGTTCCTAAACGTTTTGTTTTAGGATGTCCGGAACACGACGCTGGTTTTGGCTCTGCATCAGCTGGAGGCTCCGGAGGTTCAGGCTATGAGACACTGAGACATTCCGTCTCTGAAAGTAGTCTGGAGAAAATTAAATATGGGATCGTTTCTAGGAAGGTTCATACTTGTTTATAGTTATATTAAAATACTTTAGTGTGTTTGTATATAATTTTTCAGTGCACTTCAATCCGCTTCCATCTTTTATTTAGTCCATAGCCAAAGTTATCCTGAATGAAATCGCTCAGAATCGTTAAATCCCATTATATTATTCTACTTACTTTAATTAAGTACTATCGTTATATTTGCTTATACAAAACGAAATCCTTTACAATATTTTTCATTAAAAACGTTGATCTCAGACATGTTGTTCATTGCTAATCTTCGTCTTAAACATTTACGGTGTAATTGGAAAGTGAAGAAAGAGAACTTAAATAAATTTATTAAATTAATGAAGTAAAACTCCAGAAATTCATTTTTAATAGTTAAAAAACGTTTATATGACACAAATAATTTATGTATCATCTTATTTTACCAAACCTACAGGTATCCGGTAAGAGCTATCATTTCGTGGTGTGTCCACTGTGCGGGTCAGAGAGCCAGCTGCCTCTGGGCGGTGTGTCAGCACTGCCGCTGAACTACGTGCTGCTGAGGAGGATGAACGGCAGAGATGGAGACAGCGCTGTGCTCTGTGACCTCTGCTGTGCTGATAATAAGGTGGGCTATAGCTGATAAGACGTAGCTTGTGATTGTAATAAAGCTTGGCGATTTACAGTCTATACTTGTACACATACCTAATGAAATCTAAGACTTTCGCGAGTGTTCATATAAAATAAAGCTTATTAGTTATTACAAATTTGAAAGAGTCCTAATACGAGTATATTACACAATGGTAATTTTTTGTAAACTTTTCATTATATTTATATAGGTACGTATTTTTTTATAACTTTGTATACCTATCAGATGTTTTGGCTTATTTTATATTTTACCTAAAGAAATTATATTGTTAGAGAATCGGAAATTCAAACATATTTAAATTTAAGTTTCGGAAGCCCAGGTATATATTCTTTCCAAGGTTATCTACCTCAGCCAGGAACGTCATTGATCTAGATGATATACCTACCGCAACATATTTTAAATGGATAGGAAGAAAGAACAAACAAAACGCTATTGAGATATTTTGACACTACGGAAAAAATAGTTTGTAAAGGGAATAATCGATATAAAATATAAATAGCCAACCGAGATGGAAATAAAGTTCCACACGTGTTCGCAACTCACGCGCATCGCATCGGCTACGGAAACAAATGATTTAAGAAAAACGTCATTTACTATGTAACGCCACATTCATATAAACATTTCTACCCTTCAAAGAATCTGACAGGTGCATTATCACTGGAATTTACTTCAAATTACTTTGTCTATTACCTACCAAAGTAATCTGGATAATTGCTGCACAGATATTTTAATTAAAAATTCCTATTTAATATTATAAATGCGAAAGTAACTCTGTCTGTCTGTTACGCTTTCACACCTAAACCACTGAAATGATTTTAACGAAATTTGGTACAGAGATAGAGTTGACCTTGAGAAAGAACATAACATAGTTTTTATCCCAGACTTTTGAAATGTTCTCTCGGAAATGTGCGCGGGCGAAGCTGCGGGCGGAAAGCTAGTATTATATATATTGTAGATGACGTAAAATATAATTACATATATCACCACACCCTGGTCGAATACGAAACAGGATCAACTTTATTTATTCAAGTTATATGAAAAGAACCAAAACCTAAAAAAGATTATGTAATTAACTTATTAGGTGTAGGATATTTTGTTGTAGAGCACACTTGACATAAGTTTGTATCGTCGATTCACTCAGAGTTCATATTTTTTTTATTCATAAACCTATGATACCATCCGTATGTAGAGTGTGACTGTACCTACAAAATAGTATTAAGGATGCTGAAAACCTTACGAGACTATTCAATAACTTAAATCAATTGGTAAACGATAATTCAGCCTCAAAAATTAATCGTTAAACATTTTGATTCTAATTAAATTGAACCATTGACTTCGACTACTTGCCATGTAATCTTTACCGTATTTAAACATTAACATGTAAGATTAAAATGCGTTTTAACATTAATATTAATAAAGGCGACTTTATGGTTCACTCTGATCAAAATGACAAAATAGAAAATTTTTTTTCAAGACTTTGATAATGGAACCCCAACTGTTAAAGTCCGAAACTCGAATATAATATAAAAATATATTTTGTTACAATAATACAATATATTAAAATGTACCGTCAGGCTGAAAGTCGCTGCAGTCAGTGTCTTGTGAGCGTGTGTACATCTTGTGGTGACTCGCACACCATGAAGAAGGGGAACGCGACACATCTCCTGGAGCCCCTCGCACCATTCCTCAGGTTCTGCGGACAACATCCGAAGGTCGAGCTGACCGTGTACTGCGCTACTTGCCAGCAGGTAAAGTAGTGCGATAATCTATATATACATAAAAGAGATTTCCACCTATATATTGACTCATCACGATATCTCTGGAACCATAAGGCGTAGCGACTAGAGATATGGTAGGATTATTCCTTTCGCCGAGTAGAGGTCAGCTAAGAACGGATTTAACAAAATTCCACCCACAAAGGGGGGGGCGCGTTAACAATGGAAAATACGCTTTCACGCCTAAACCACTGAACGGATTTTAATGAAATTTGGTACAGAGATAGAGTAGACCTTCAGAAAGAACATAAGACAGTTTGTATTCCAGACTTTTGAAAGGTTCTCTTTTAAACGCGATATAAACGAGCTTAATGGGCGAAGCTGCGGGCGGAAGTTTAGTTTTATACATATAAAACCATATACAATATGTTTTGCTTAGCATTTTTTTATATGATAATCTATGTATTATGGTTTTTCGATAAATAAAGATATCCAGTGATTTAATGACTATAATTCTGGCTGCAGTGAAAGAACAGTTGAGTAGAACTTTTTCGGCTTTAGGAAAGGAATTAATTGAGAAAGTTGAAATTTAAAGCGCGTTGTGCAAATGGAGCTTACGGTTCTACTAAAAGACTTGGTCTGTTTAGAACTAGCATCAGTTCATTATTGGAACTTGCATCGAAGGCAGCCCGAGTAGGTTAGGTAGAGGTGGAGGTGAGCGTTTAATTCGTGTTAAATATGGGCCCCTTAAACCTAAACCTGGGCTCAAGTCCCAGGCACTGTTGAAGTTCCTCTCCTTGTAACGAGATGGATCCGACACCCGCACGGTGATTCAATGGAATGCTGAGAGGTTTCATCTATTCCTAGGTGATCTGTCGCGACTGTAGTCTGATCTCCCACGGGGGTCATGCTCTGGAGGGCGCGGGCAGGGCTGCGGCGGGGAAGGTGGCGGCCCTCAAGGACGCCATGCAGAGAGCTGGACTTGTACCTGACCATGTGCAACGAGCTAACAGGATATTAGACGTACACGCCAAGGAAATTGATGTGAGTGATAAGTGTGGACGAAACTCACCTCTCTTTATATCTGTGGATGATGGTTTCATATAGTGGTGTCTTGATTAAATAGATTAAGTGATTCTACTATCACTCAGGCTATGTTAATGAAGATTTAACTGCCTAATTATAGTAGGACTCAGTCATAATATGTTTATTCTTAATTAAATTATAGACGAAAATTAGTTACAAAATAATTTTTTTATCTAGACAGGATATCTAAACATATAATCTAAACTGTTACTTAAGTTCAAACCAAAAAAGGTTCGTCATTCCTCACGCTCCTACCCTTCAACTTTTGGGTTGAGTTAGCTGTGAGAGTTGGGAACAAGTGACTGACTTATCCTTATTTAATGAACACGGGATATTTAAGGACGTAGGACCAATACGACCAAACTGACCCAAAAATTAATCACACCTCACTAAAAAACTTTATTGATAGCTTTATATATGCAAGTCACATACTCGTACATAGAGGTCACTAGTATTAGTACGATATCGAATATTCTTCTTCTTCCTGGCAATTTCCCAGCTTTAGTCAGGGTCTGCCTTTAACGATGATGAATATTATAGCTTATTTTTGTATGAACAGGAGCAAGCTTCCCGCGTGGAGTCCGAGATCCGCTTGTGGTCGGAGGAGTATCGCAGGTCGTTAGAGACACACGCGAGGGCGCTGTGTGCGGGCGCGGTGAGGGCGCGCGCTCGGTACAGAGCCAGGGCCGCGAGACAACTGGTTCAACTGGAGCAGAGAGCGGAACACGCGCGGGAGGCGGTCAGGTTCGCGGAGGAGGTGAGAGATAGGACGAAGAGGTAGTGTTATAATAATTTGATATAATAGATAAAATCAATTTAAGTATTGTTTCGATGTTCTTTTAAATTTTAAAGTATTATAGCTGAAATTGAATGAAGATGTATGGATTCATGAATAAAAACTGCACTGGATTTCCTTATTTTGTACGATTGTTTGGGAAACTTTGTTGGACGAAAATTAACGACTTAAATTTTCATGTTTAGCTTTTAAGCGAGGGCAAGGAAGACGAGATCCTTTCCCTCAGCGGGCCGGTGCTGAAACGTCTCCAGAACCTCACAGAACTGCAGCCTCTGTGCGAGGCGGCGCGCTGTGAGCTCCGGTTCGCTCCTAACGCGCCGGCCGCCCACAACCCCTCACTCGTCGGCAGATTGTACACTATGGGACCAGATCCGCAGCAATGCGTGCTTGACACTGACGGTGAGCTTTAATAAACACTTCACAATAAATCATCAGATACTTGAATAATGTTGATATTACGTACTATCTCATCCGACCAGGTCTACAAGATCTCCGGGTGGACTGCCAACACACAGCTATATTAGAGTTACGAGACAGCAACGGAGAACGTATCTGGTGCGGCGGTGAGACGGTCAGTGAGAACATGGAATATACTTTAATACCAACGACTCCAATTACAACGAGAAACATTTACTTGAGTTATCTTGCCTCAGTAGGATTACAATTTTTGATGATTCAATAGAAAATTCCATACAATATCTTTGGTTCAAGATATTTCTAAATCCATATTCCAGCCAAATACTATAAAACTCCTGATGTATCCAATCTAAGTTGATCTCCAGGTTTGTGGATATTTCCGTCGCCGGGACAGTTCGTCCCGGCCCGCCGCGGCTCGCGTGAGGCCTCGTGTCGATGGTTCATACGCGCTGCATGTAGCACCTCGAACACCTGGACACTACCTGTTGGCCGTCACTGTCGACAACCAGCCCATAAAGGTAAATAAGTTTGTATGTGCCATGTCAATAGTGCCAGTGTTAGCTAATCGACCGATATCCAGTAAAATTATTAATCACCACTCTAAAATAATGAACTAGACAAAGAATTACGCATCAGATCTACTGTTAATGTAAGTAGGTATCTAACAGACTTTAGCGGCAAAAGTATGTTAGTAATACCTAGTAGGTTTGTTTCAAATTTGGTTAGGTAAGGAGAGGAGCTTCGACAATGAACGTTTAACGCGCATTAGATAGGCTTAAACCTATACCTGGGTCGCAAGTTGGCACTGTTGAAGCTCCTCTCCCCGTAAGGATGGACCTGGCACCCGCGGTGAATCCATTGAATGATAAAGGGGTTTCCTCTCTGTCTACTTATAAAACCGATTGATATCTGGAAAATTTATAATAATGAAACCAACATTTGCAGCAAACGATGGTGTCTTCTAAAGCCTCTCTCCGTTCACAAAACTTAATATTATATATGAACCGTGTTTACATATATTCTCCTTATCATCTACCAGGGCAGTCCGTTCTCGTGTTCAGCTCGCCTGTCCAAGTCCCACTCGGGTCAGTTCCACTGCTGTTCGTTCTGTTCGTCGGGAGGTCGCCGGGACGCCACCTGCGGCTGTGGATCCACTATGGGGGGAGGTTATAAAGGTGAAGTGACCATACATTACTATTCGATTGGTACTTTTAATGTCTGCTAGAAATTAATCGATGTCCACGATACAGGCCTAGCCTAGTGTGGACGTCAACGTTCACTATAAATTTAATTGTTAAGTGATTTGTTAAAAAAATTAATATAATTTTTGTAATATTGACATTGGCGAAATATTCCACTGTTCAGGAGCTTAAAATGTATGTACTTATATAAATAAATGTAAAAAATAACTGTAATATATTATAACTTTAAGTAAAGGTAAAATAACACTACAATTTTTGAAAAATCCAGTTTCTTTGATCAATATTACTGAAAAAGTAACTTCACTCGCCTTATATCAATTCAAATTTGTAGGTATAGCTTCGTTAGTAATATCCAAGCAGGATCTTGGACCATTGTAAAGTATTCCATTATTTGACCCCCCAGGCTGTGGTCACGGCCACGCGGGCTGGCCAGGGACAAGGCACTGGTCCTGCTGCGGAGGGACCTCCCGTCATGGACCTTGTACCACACTCACCACAAACACACCACACACATACCACGTGTCACTATGAACGAATGATGGTATGGAAATATGTGTTCATTTACCCTAAAATTGGGGTAAATAATGTTAAGAGTATTTTAAGTTTATATTTATATAAATTATTTTCCCAAATTGTGTGATTTCATTTCTGAACACTTCGATTCGGATTTGCAATATCATTATAATTTCTCAATAAATATTTTCTTTATATAGTCTATGTACATTATACTTACCTTTCTGGTGATTGAAAACGTGGTGTACCCAGTTTTATATTTATGATAATTTCAAATACGAATTATTATTTTTTAATGATACGAGGTTTGTAAATAAAATAATATATTTAATACTATATTTATTTTAATTTGCTGTCATTTTCATATAACAATGTAAGAAAGACTGTCGATTCATATCAGTTCAAAAACATTATGTAACAAATTTGTTGTCATTAGTTTCATTAAGTGTAAAATGTATTGTATAATAAAATAATTATATTTCAAACAGCTTATTATTGATTCTTATAATTACTGTTCCTCGGACGTAATGTCAGATAATAACATTAGTTCAGCTCTCGATATGTGCTTTAATATTCAACATATGTAGCCTCTTATTATCTTATATATAAATTATTTACTTCATTTACTACTACAATATAACAAAAAGATTATACTAACTCATTAACCATGGTATGTCTGTTAAATTAAACCGTTGAACAACCCAACTTAATTATAAGGAATTTAACTTAAAAATAAGTATCTTAAGTTATATGTCGAGTAATAATTATATATTAAATTTATTCTCTATTAACTGATATATCTAAAACAATATTTATTTAGAGATTTAATAAATAAAAAAATCAAATTGGACTATATTTTAGTAGCGTCTTTGTAAAAAAAAAACTTCATGATTAAATTTTCAGTTCAAGATTCATAATGCATTTAACTACAGTGATATAAGGGTCACTTCACATAAGGTGTTTTGATAGATTTCATAACTAGATTCAACCTGATGTGAAATCGCCCTAACACTGTACATAAAGACTTTTCATATCTATCAATATTCCTAACTTGTTGGCGCTAATTTGTTGTTGTTTTTCATAAACTTATCACAGTTAAATATCACAATCTGCAAAACAATTTTCATATAATGTTGATGCTTAAAATTGTTTGCTGTCACTCAGTATATATATCAATTCGGGCTTAAAGGTGGCACTTCATTTTTCGTTTATTTGTTGCGTTCGGCCAAATAAGGCCATGTGTGGAGGTTTTATTCGTCTCCATTTGACATATTTGCACAAATAAGACACATACACAAATAAGCGAAAACGCATAAAGACGTGTTGTTGGCATGCCAAGTGTGGATGTCGTATTTGCGCCATTTGGACTACGTACAAATATTTGGACATATGTGGCGAATACGCTACGCCAAGTGAAGTGCCACCTTTACATATACATTAATATATTGTGATTTACATATAATGCTATATAGATTATTGCTATGAATTATCATTATATTAATTTAAACATCTATATAACCTATATTGTTCATGGGACCCAAGTATAAACCACACAACAATGAGAATCGAGAAATAAATGAATAACATAGAACAGAACGGAGATATGACAAAATGATTATTTAAACATTCAGATTCTGAGCAATATTTAAGAACAGACTCACAAAGAAATAATGCATACAAGATATTCTGTATCAAATAATAGTTGAGTATTTCATATTCTATGAGCATTTTCTTGATAATCATTTTATAGTCCTAGAGCCGGTACAGCGTTGTAAGCCTGGGGGTTCGGAGCACAAGCTTGTCTGACACTCATCTCCCATGCGTCTAGTAACTGACCCACCGAACAGCTTTTTGGTAATCTGGAAGATTTAAAAATATTATTAGTGTTAGCAGATATGTGCATATAACATATAGAATATTTTTATGAACATCATTGAATACTCTATCTACGCTGATGATATTAAACTATATAGACGTATAGAAACTATGGATGATGTAACTCTTTTGCAGCATGATCTTGATTCTGTGCAACAGTGGTGCAATACTAATGGAATGCTACTTAATCCTGCAAAGTGTTAATTCCTTAAAATAACTAAAAACAGAAACACAGTGCCATCTGTTTATTATATAGCTAATCATAGGCTAGCTGAAGTCGAGGAAATACGGGATTTGGGCATTACTATCGATAAGAAATTACTACTTACAAAACACATAGACAGGACTATTAAAAAAGCATGGCAGATAATTGGTTTCATTAAAAGAACTTGTCGCCATTTTAAAAATATTCGTGCTATCGTGGTTTTATATTTCGCATTAGTTAGTAGCATTATCGAGTATGTATCACCAGTGTGGAACCCAAGATGTAAAACTCATATTAACAGAGTAGAAAGGCTGCAGAAAAACTTCACCAAATTTTTAGCGTATAAGGATAGCCTTTGTCCATATCGTGCGGATTACATAAGACGTCTGAAGCATTTTAAAATGGATTCATTGCAGAAGCGCCGCTCCATAAACGACATATTATTTCTGCATAAACTAATAAACGATAAAATACAATCGCCAGAGCTTATATCTCATTTAATCTGTATGACCCACGTAATATAACTCGACACCCCATCAAAAATACGTTCGCTATACCAAGACACCGTACGAATACAGGAAAATTTTCACCTATTACTCGATGCATCAGAACTTACAATTCTATAAACAGATTTGACATCGATATCCACCACCAAAATTTATTTAGCTTTAAGGAATCCTTATTATGTGCTATAAGTGAGTAGTACATTCGTATGTTGTTATTGTACTTTTATTTTTAAAAATTATTTTTATTGGCTTATAATTATTTATTTTGTTTTTATTGCCTGTATTGTATTTATGGCCTTAAACCTTATTAGTTTATGTTTGTTCTAGCTTAAGTATTTAAGTTTTTCATATTACTTGAGAGTGTATAACTTTGTTTTTAATTTAACAGTGCTGTAAATGCCTGTAGTGGTGTATCACACTGCACTGGTCCGTGTACTGTTATTACATAAGTGTTATTGTGAATATGCCGTTGGTCTTTCAAATAATAAAAAATAAAAATAAAAAAAACATCAGCATTTTTCTAATTATGATAATTCAGTAGTCTGCTAAGATTTTAATGAGATGATTGATGTATTAGAATTATGCTGTTATAAAATATAGTCTTTGTATGAAACCATTTCTATCGGATTTATTTGCTATATTTTGCCAGATGTTTGTACTATATTTTAGAAATTGAGTGCAGGCAATGAAGCATTATTTGAGGTACAGTTTCAGATTTTTTATAAATGTTCAGGATTACTTTTAGATATATATTACAAATGGCTGAAGCCAGTATTTATAGTTATCAAATACTTAAATATTGTCAGTAATAAATCACAATAGTTCAGTTTTATAATTAATTATACTATCATAATTATGATTCTAGGGATTACAGTTTATTATAGGCAGGGCATAGATGGAGCTACTTGTCACAGCATTTATATAGAATATTATAGTACAGAAAGTCAGTGGTGGCCTAGTGGTTAGAGGGCCCGCCTCTCGTTGCCGAGGACACGGGTTCGATCCTGGCCCGGGCAAGTACCAATGTGAGTACCAATTTTTCCGAGTCATATGTATTCTTTAAGATTATTTAGACATTACTGATTAATGCATTCCCAAAGAGGATTGATGTCAGGCAGGCGGCCGGTCGTAAAAAACAATTAGTCAAAAACTACTCACAACATATAAAGGCAGACCCTGGCTATAGCCGGGAAATGCCAGGTAGAAGAAGTTTATATATAAAATTAAATATAAAGAACATAGTATTATCTAAGTGTGTACCTGGCGCATCTCGCGTCCATGGCCCTCTCGACCCTCGCTAAGAAGCAGTCCTCGTTATTCCTCTTGGTGGTCTTTGGTCGGAGTCGCGCGGGCGAGGCGGCCGGGTAGTCCCTCGGCACGGACACGTGAACCGCGGGCACACACGGCAGACGTACGTCGTCTAGTTGGGCGATCAGAGATATGGCACCCTCACCGCCTGATAGCTGCATTGTTTCCAGGGACACCTGTATACCATGGATAGATAATACCTTTTAATTATTTTTTTATATGACCCAAAAGGGTAAACGGGCAGACGGTCTTCCTGATGGAAAGTAGTCACCCTCACCAACCAAAAAAGCGATGAAACATTGTTTATTGTCTATGAGATGATTGACGAGTTTACCTAAAGGAATACCGATATCTAATTTAAACGTATACTAATAGTATTACGAAGCTTTATTCTCTCACTGTTACAAATGGCAACCGAAATTGACAGAAACAATAGAGAACAGTGGCGCCACAAGCGAAAAATCTATTTTAATTGCGTTCCAATATACTATCTATCTATACTATATATATCTTAGAAATATGTCTAACTATGAATGCCTCACCTTAAACCTGGAGTCCAACCTCGCGATCTCTCCCTGCAGTACGTCTGGTATTTCCATCGTCGGTTCATCCACTTTAGCTATCTTCGGAGGCGGCGGTGGAAGATTCCTGTAACAAAATAAAATACTGATTACATTACATCTAACTTATGTATATTGAAAAGAATTTAGAAACCAAATAAATCCAAACCGGCAATAGAGCTCAGGCTGCAAATAATAATTTTATAATTAACTAGCTCACCGCCCGCAGCTTCGCCCGCTTATATCGTTTGCAAAAGAACCTTTCAAAAGTCTGGGCTAAAAACTATTCTATGTTCTTTCTCATGGTCAAATCTATGTCTGTACCAAATTTCATTAAAATCAGTTCAGTGGTTTAGGTGTGAAAGCGTAACAGACAAACAGAGTTTCTTTCGCATTTATAATATTAGTAGGGATATGGTCAGTATTACTTGATCTCTGGTCCATTGAGGGCATCGAGAGTTGAACCAAATGTTCTCTTGAGGGTGTGGTTGGCCAACGGAGACTGGAGACAGTTGTTCACTACCTCTAGTAGGGGATTGAAGATCTGCTCCTGGGGTATCATGATAAAAATATTAATGTAACATACATGATTAAATGTGATTATTAGATAATATTATATGCTCAGGTTAGTACAAGGTATATTGAAAAATTGAAAAGGAGTTGAAAAATTGGATGGCATCATAGATGTAGCAACTGATGCTGAAATAGAGCCCTTTTTAATAAACGTCTAAGGTGACACTTCAGGAAGCGATGATTGATTCTGAATAAAACCATGTATAATATGTATCTATATATATAAAAATGGATTGCTGTTCCTTAGTCTCGCTAAAACTCGAGAGCGGCTGAACGGATTTATTTTATCTTAGTCTTGAAATGTTCGTGGAGGTTCAGGGAAGGTATAAAAGCTGAAAAAAAAAATTCCGGGAAAACCCTAAAAACAGCGCTTTTCTATTTCCCATACAAACGGGTTTTTTGACATTAGATTTGACAACTAACTAATATGTTTTTCTCATTCTCTCGCACTTTTGAACACAGAGATTTATGGCTTAAAGGTAAACTCCAAAAAAAATAATTAAGAAATAATTTATTTCTTGATTGAGGCAGTACGAAGTCTGCCGGGTCAGCTAGTATCAATATAATAATCAAGATTGAAGTATGTTAAGAGTGCTCACATCACTAGTGGCATAGACAAGTCTTTGTCAATATCGGCTGATCATGTTTGTTTACAAGATTGTCAATTTCTATTGAAATTAACGGTGTATATTCATTTCTAACCTTCCCAGCGGACGGCAGCCCCAGCCCGACCCCCTCACTCCGTTTGAAGTCCAACTTCTCCAACACAACCTCACACTTGATCAATGTCTCCAGCGGCATACGTTTATTAGGATTCGATAATATATCCAGAAGATTCTTCATCTTAGTCAGCTTCTCAACATCTGGAAACAAAACATCATTAATAATAATAATAATTTTATTTATTTTTGCATCTTTGACCCATCGTTTTTAGTACACATTTTCCTTATACCTATGTTAAAAACAACTTAATTTATTATTAATTAACTATGTTATTACATTTACAATCAAACTATTATTTAATTAATAAATAATTCAATTTAATTAGTATTATTCAATTTAATTACTTTACAGTTCAAATATAAATAAATTTTAAGCTTTAATTTTTAATAATATTATAAAGCTGAAGAGTTTGTTTGTTTGTTTGAAAGCGCTAATCTCCGAAACTACTGGTTTGAATTGAATAATTCTTTTTGTGTTGGATAGTCCAGTTATCGAGGAAGGCTGTAGGCTATATAACATTACGCTACTACCAATAGGAGCAAAGATATAGTGATAAATGTGTAAAAAACGGGAGAAATTATTTCATCTTTGAAGCCTTCCGCTGGGTGAGCCGTGAAAACGGTTCAAGATACACAAAAAACATGTATTAAAGAATAATAGCTCTTTTAATGATCTAAAAAACAGTACGCGACAGTAAATGTCTATCTTTTAAGATTAACTCACAAAAACCGTTTTTATGGTACCTAATTTCTCGAAATAATTTGTTTAAGTATATCAACATAATAATATTAATCTTTATTCAAATAAACAAATAAATATGTTGTTGGTTAAGAGTACTTCATTGTGAATTTAAAAAAAAACGTAGGTTTTATAGAATAGAACTATGTGGGAGGAACCAAAAATCTGCCGGAAGTCACTATTCCACGCGGACGGAGTCGCGGCAAAAGCTAGTTTATAATACATATTTATTAATTTCATAGTTCAATCCAATTACTTTAATATAATTCACCAATTTATAAATCAATTTATGCTGTGAACAAAATATTACAATCACCTCAGCATTTATTAATGTCATTGGCTGTAATGAAGACAGCATTTGTTGAAATAGCAACAGTACAATACCATAGGTGTGTACATGTGTGTGTGTGTTAATCTGTATGTGGTATATATATAGTGTATGTCCTCACTCTCTCCCTCGCTGACCATCCTGAGCACCATCCGTCTCAGCGGCTCTATGTACTTGGACAGCTGGCGGACCTTCTCCCTGTAGGCGGCCTCCTCCCCCCCGGGAGACGCGACCCCCCCTCCCACCGGCGTGTTCAGAGATGATGACGGTGATGCTGCCATACCCATGTTCACGCTGATACAAACAGATATACATTATATCATCTAGTAAATCAACAAAGTTTGTAAATAAATATATATAGAGTATGTAACTAGTTGTGTAAATTTTAAGATAATTAGTGACATCTAGGACTTCCGAGTTAACTTAAATGAAACTAAATTTTTCGCATAATACTATTTAAAATTCCGTTATATCGTATGGCTGTGATCACGATTATTGTAGAGGAACCGAAACAAAAGTTATGCAATTATGTTTAATTCTTAAAACTAACGTTGCTGTACTAATTTTTACCTATACATAAATATCTATACAAAAAAGCAGTAACACTTAATTTTAAGTTGCATCAAGTTCTATGGACAACTAAACCAAATCGTCGGCCGTCGGAGATAGTGCAAATCCACGAAAATAGCTTTGGATAATTTCGCGTCTGCGTCATCTGCTTTTGAATTAGTTCTACAGGGGAAAATAAAAACTAAATTATGTTCTGAATTTATTGAAGTTTAAGGTATTTTTGACAGTGAATATTTATTTAGTCTTTAATTTATTACTCCTTGTGAAAAAAAAAACTTTAAGTGGTTTATTTAAAAATATTTCAGTTTAAACCTTCTTCTGTCGATCTGCTTCTAATGAAGATACGCGGAATTATCCAAAGCTAGGTTTTCGGATTTGCACAATCCCAACGAAATGTAAGTAATATTTCATATATCTTTATATATATAAAAATTTAGTGTCACGTGTTTGTCCGCGATCGACACTGAAACTGCTATACCGATTTTAAATTTGATTTGCATTCCGTGTGCATTTTGATCCAACTTGAAAGATAGGATAGCTTACATCTCCATTTATAGACACAATATTATTTTATTGCTAATTATTTGTCTATTAAAGAAAATTATTTGTCATTATTACAATTATCTGTTGACTGAGTTAAGTATTCAATAGATGGCGCTATGAAAAAAATACAAACTTTATTTATTAAAAAAACGTAACAGATATTTCTTGATTATAGCCTATAGGGCGATACGAAGTTCGCCGGGTCTTCTAGTATAATATATGTATATATATTTTCATACCGTTGTTGTGGTGGGTGGTGTGTCATGTGATGGTTGCCGCTAGGGTTGGGTGAGCCTCCCGAACACGCGCCGAGCCCGCCTAGACCCATGGGAGAAGATAGAGCTCCACTGAGAACTCCACCGCCTAAACACATGTTATAATTCAGTTAGTAATTTCAATTATTTATATTAATATTAATAATATCAATAATAAAAGTACTCTACATCATTGTTTAGTACATCGAGACTGTCTATAAGAGGAAATCCCTTCAAAATAACATTGACTGTGTCCGAGATGCCTTTACAAACAGACATGAAGCAGATATTGTATAAAGTAGCATTTCTTTGATACATATTGTGTACATCTATTTGTATAACACATATTAATATTACAACTTGTTTACAGATACAGTTACAACAATTATATACTTGTTTTTTATTTAAGACAAGTTTAGTTATAATAGTTATGCCATAAAAAATAATTAGTTTACCCATAGATACTGGACTAGGTCCTGGCATGTTCGGAGATGATGCAGATGGTGAGGGGCTCTGTCTTAAGAACTGGTTGTGTGGTGGAGCTCGCTGGGTGTACCCGGCACCCATCACCACCTCTTTACCCTGACTACGATGCATTTGCAGCATATTGATGTTAACCAACTGATTGTTACCCATGTTGCCAACTGAGAAAGGTGCAAAATTAATGTATAATGTGTTAAAACTTGGAGATTGTAACAATTGGCAGTGATTTAGACTTTATGTGTCATGTAACTACAATGTTCATCTATTTAAATGAAACTAATACTTTTCGGATATACTACACAGTTTATTTTTGTAAAAACTACATACTCCCGACTTTTTGGGTACTTGTCAACAACCGTGATCACATCTCGTCTGCTCATGATAGTGGTTGTATGCAAAATATATTAGTTAAAACTCGTGAAAGTCTTAGATCTCATTACACATCTATATTAATGTGCAATCTCACAACAAGCTTGAATTTCAAGATAAATTAAAGCCCTTTACAATGCTTTACTTTATTATTCAATGGTCCTCATATTAATTTTATCAAGATTTAAGTCATTTATATAGAAATGAAATAAAGATCCTAGCAAAACTTCTCCATTTCTAATATTAGAAAGATTGCATAATTGTATGGATAAAAATTATTGAACTACAAAACTGTAACTCACCCATTTGATTAGGCATCTGTCCCTGCATAGTGTTCTGTGTCATCTGACCGCCCATGCCACCTACAACCTGGTTGCATTGCATTTGCCCTACTATAGTACTCGATCCCGACATTGGCACTTGCATGGTGTTTGACATGGACATGTTAGGCATCATCTGCCCCTGCATTCCCGGTGCTGCTAAGTGATTTTGCAGCTGACTACCCATATTACCCATACCCATACCTCCCACCATATTGTTACCCATCTGTCCCTGGTTCGGTGCCATGCCTATTGGCCCATTCAATTTGTTCTGAAGCTGCATATTTAATTGAGGTCTCTGGTTTAATGTTTGGAGCAGATTTGTAGCTGTCTGAGCTTGGGGGCCTTGTGATACAAGAGGTCCTTGCTGTCCCATTTGTGTCTGCATTCCTCCCATTCCAGGATTAGGTCCAAGAACTCCTTGTTGCATCTGACCAGGTCCCATGTTCATCATTTGGTTCCTAGAGCCCTGTGAGGTCATATTCTGTAAGGCATTTATAGGGTCGGTTGCCATCCCCGATTGGTTAGAAGAACCTTGTTGAGGTTGTCCCTGCTGGGTTTGAGCTTGGTTTGGTTGACCTCCTTGATTTTGATTGGGCCCTTGCATGTTTTGACCTTGATTTTGTTTTGGTTGCGCTTAAATTAAAATGATCAAAATAAATATGGATAAAATAAATAGATTGACTCTTGTATATTATAATCAATACTTACACATCTCTCTCACATGTAAAATCAATTTTGCAACCATATTTAAATATTCCTCTCTAGTCTTAGCTTTCATGAAGACATGATTTTCCATTTCACTGCTGTTGCGAGCAACTTGCATCCCAGACTTCTGAATAACCTCCTCACTATAAATAAGTATTAAATAATATTAATCTTATATAAGTACTTTAGTTAATTTTGTAAAAGCTGTGTATTTTTCTTCAAGGAAATATTTTTTAATTTTTGTTGTTTTAATATTTCTTGCAATAAAGTAAAATGTTCATGTAAAATTATATATAAACTTAGTCACTTACATTTTGGTCACAACATTCTGTCGAAAATTCTGCGTTCGCCAATTATCATCAGAACCCATTATGGTGAACTGCTTTAAGTTGTCCATTATGGTATATAATTATTTACAGTTAAGTATATTTATCTTTATATAGAATTATTGCTATCTATTCTGACCTGTGAATAAATAAATCAGATAAAGATTTACGATTTGATCTCAATTAACAGTCACAAACACTCATAACTTGTTAGCTATTAAGACTGAAGACGCGCAATTCAGAATTCTAAGTGTCAGTGGTTATTGGGAAAACGTCAATGTCGTCGTCCGTCTGGTAATATTTAACTCATATAAAAATTAAAAGCTTTTACCACAAAATAATTCAGTGTATCGTGGTTTTAATTCGAAATGTTTTTTAATATACATGGATAAATGTTAGAATCTCACACTGACCAAATTTTTTGATAAAAATATAATAATGTTGTAATGTATCGATTACAATATATATTATTATGTACTTATATATCATAAAAATTAAATAAGATCTCATTTAATTATCAATTCCAAATTAAAAATCATATAATTTTAAATGTTATACCTAACCTATGCCACAGACGGGTTATTTACTGTCAATTGTCAGATTAAAACCATCAACTGTTTGCTATCGGCAGTTCTATGTTTTGAATGCATTTCTCTTATTGAATATCTCAAATAAATAAACTAGTTTAATTTTGTGTTTAAGCTTATAGTGTTGTCTGATTATTGTAAATAAGTAAAATGTCAACGTCTACTATTTTGCGTGTAAAACGCCGGCTTGATGAAAACCCGCAAGATGCTTTAGTACTTGTTTGTAAACGAATGAAAACGGATAAGGACGAAATATCCCCCTCACTGTTTGTATTCAGAGGAAGCGTTGAAAACCAGGTTAATAATTAAATAAAAACCCTCACTAACAACTAAATTTGATTTTGTTTATTTTTAAATTGAACAAAATGATATTTGTTCTTTTATAGGTTAATAGTTAGAAATATACTTCTGTATTAAAGTTTCATGATTAAGATAAAATTTTGAAAGAATTTGGTTGCTACTTAGTAGGAATATTTAGTTGTAATGCAATAAAACCTTATTTAGTGAATTGAAAGCTCATATTGCGATTTCAGGAAAATACACATGTAAAGAATATAGTACCGCAAAACATCCCATTAAAGCATTCAACGAGTGTGAGCAACATCATTCAGAAGATACGCAAGGAAAGAAAAGATGTTGCCAATGAGAGTCGTTATGAAATCGTGAATTGTAGCCGCGGCCTGACCCAGTGTAATTCTGAGAACTATGATCTGGTTGATTTGGAGAAGAAAGATGGGAAACAAGATGCAGAGTATACTTACGACCTGTATACACCGGCCAAAGAGGACTTTGACATATCCATGTTGGATAATCTTGTCAGGTAAAATAGAATTTATTTATTGACTGAATGTATCTATATATAAAAGAATGTTGTGTTAGTTGCATTATTTATAACTCAAGAATGGCTGTATGGTTTTGGGTGAGAAGGTCATAGAATACTTTTGATCCATTTGGAAAGGAAAAAAAGAAGTTAATCAAACCCAAAATATTATCTAATGACTTTAAGGAGGAACAGAGTTAGCCCGGTCATTTATGCTTTTCTAATTCTGATTAACGCATATGAAGTCGCGGACAAAAACTAGTGTACCTATAAAAAATATTTGACCTGTATTATGAAGTAATAGTTGTGTATTGAAATCTACCACTATATTAGCCACCATATTAGCTACCACAAGTTAGTATTACAAAACTATGTACCAAGAGTGTTCAGGTTTTCATACCTAAACATAAGTTGATAGCATTATATCAGATAATATAGATTATCAGACTTAACATCAGGGAAGTCATAAGTTTGAGAGTATTTGTTTCAATGAAACGAATATTTTTTGTAGGCGTATTTTATTATTTTTAAAAACTATATACTCCCGAAGTTTGCACGAACACCTCATTTGCCCGTGATCATGGTTACTCTGTTGTTTGAACTGTAAAGCTTTTCAGGAAAATACATTACCACCTATTGTTTTAGTATCATTATTGAAAGCTCTTTATTTAAAAAAAAAAAAAATTGTGTGTGGAGCCCCTCTGCGGCAAAGAAGTGTAACTTTGTTATGTTGGAATGAAAACAGGAAGGGGTAGAAATGATTTTTAAGGTTTTTTTTGTGTTTTCATTAGGACAACCTTAATTAATATACCTTACAAGTCACAATTTAATGCCCGCATCAGTTCGAGCGCCACCAATTCCCTCTCACACTGTCTTTTTTATCTTCCCCCCAACGACTGGTAAATGTTTAACCGATCGTTAAATGCTGTTTGGAAGTCACATAACAAGTTTCACTTCAAAAAATATTATTTGGTACTGACAGCTTTCTAAAATATATAAGCAAATGTTTCTATTTGTATGTATGTGTTATGGTTATCCAAATATTTTTAAACTAGTTGACTAATTGAGATGAGGTTTTGCATTTAGATAACAAACAGTATAGTGGTGTCATGACATTCACCTCTAATCTTTGATACTACAAGTGAACCTTACCCTTTATTGAAGTAAACTATTTACATTCTAAAAAGACATTTTACAGTTATTCTATTTTCAAATATATTATTCTATTTTAGTATAGAGGATTACAAAACGGATCTCGTATTTGGTACATATCGGGATGGTGATAACGCGGACTCAGATGAAGACAGCGAAGACTCCAACGCTGAGAATGACTGGAGGAATGAATACCCTGACTCAGACCCCAGCAGCATTGATGAAGAGGACATGATAAAGGCTGTGGAGAACTGTCATATAGGTAATGTGGTGTTTGTATATATACTATAGATATATAATACACTGTTTCACGTACCCCACTAGAGGGGGTGGCATGCGCTCGGCAGTCTCACGACTAGCGCGGAGCGGAAAGAGACAGTGACTAGTTATTTTTACATAGAGGTCTAGGGAGTCCTACAGGTAACAACTGATTCATTGCTCATATTAAATTCTCAATAGTAATTAATGAAAAATTAAAAATAGATTGTTATGAACTCTTTGTCGAATGGATTACTGTTTTAGACAATTTAAATAGAGGTTTCGTGATTTTGTATACAGGGTGACTGGTGAATTACTATCAACATTTGAGGAGAGTACTCGGTACATGATTCTCATTCGAATTATGTAAAAACAATAGGTACTTAATTTTTGACCAAATTTCCGTATAAATAAATAAAGTGTTGACACGTTCCAAGTGTTCCAAGTGTGGACGCGTGCGGCGGCGTGCTGATACAACACTACGCCGTGGCACGCGTATGTGTGTGTGTGTGTGTATACCTAATCTGTAGGGTGTTCACATGATGCGTAATTAATTACATAACTTTTGGTTAACTTTACTTAGAAGTTTATTAATATTTATGTTATATTAATTTTTATTCTGTCATATATGATCGTCAAATATCACGTCCTCAAGTATCGATAGTAATTCACCAGTCACCCTGTATATGTTCATGGTGAATTCTCTCCGTTATGAACTGAAATAGGTTGGTATTTTTTCAAATCGTAGATAATTCGGAAAATTTCATCGGCTTAGTTAGGACCAATTAGTTATTAGACATATGACGTCTAAGACTTTCCTCGGGTTCTGTATGAATCTGAGCAGCTATCTTGATATTAGTGGTAAATGTTAGATACATGAAATAATTAGTTTTTAGGTTTACTTTATTATTTATTTTAATCTTATAAGTTATAATTACATATTGTTTAACATGTTTGATAACTATCCCTTTATTTATTTGAGTTTTATATAATATTTCTGGGGTTTAACTAGTAATATAAACACGGTATTAAAAAACAAATATTCACGTTATTATGATATCGCAGATAGAATTTCTACTTATTTATAAACATTAGTTTGTCCACTCGTTACGAGATGGCGCTGCCGCTGATTGTCGAGACTATTCTATAATATTTACTTAGCCGCTTTAAACCAGCGCCATAACAGTAAGTTTTCTTTAGTCTGATTTATGGGAGATAGTGTTCTACGATAAGTTGTTAATGGCTGCTCGTATGAGACATCGCAGTCAACGCAGGATTTTTTTAGGTTCTGACATAAATGGAACTCTCTCTTTACTGCACCTCAAGTACCTGCTATTATTAAGTTTTATTAGGTAGGTACATGGCAGAATAATTACGGATTGATATTGATTTAGTTCTCAGGCTACCTGGGATGAGATTGATTGGAAAGGGAAGTCATAATAGATTAGATCGTGTTAATTTCATCATTCAGGTAGTCAGTGTTTGATCATTTTAACTCTAATTTTTCCGAATGTGTCTTTAGAATACACCTACCGTCTGCAGTTATTGGCTTTCGCAGAATTTACAAATATTAAATTTGGACTATTCATTGAGTCTTAGTTACAAGAGAACTTTCTGTCCATGCCAAAATACGGCAACACTTTACTCTGAGATAGCTTCTTTTGTTTATACATATTACTGGTCCGGTTGTGTGTGAAAACTTGCTGTCACGTTTGGGAAAGCGCTGGCAAATATTGAACTCATACGTATAATAGCCGGCCTCTCGTTTATATGATGTTTATAATTGTGTTTATAAAGTCTACATGTTACAGTTGTAGATCTTCCCAAACGGACAAAGTGATACTAGTCCGGTCAAATTAGACCAAATAATAACAGTAAGGTTACATAAATTCCCACCAAGCTGAAAATCGGTAAGATTGTTTGAAATATCATTAAAAACAAAATTTGAAAGTTCCCCATCTTTCCCCTGTAAGGAAAATTTTTTATTCAAGGTCAAAGGTAAACAAAGTGAGTTTTTCGGGATTTTCAGCAAAACGGTAAGTTTATCATAAAAATATCTCAGACAAAAATTGTTGATCATAAAATTTTCTACAAAGAATTTATTAATACTTTTTTTCTACTAGCCACCGTTTTTGAGATATAACGATTGAAAAAGTTGTAAAAGTTGTAATCGTCATAATATGCACACGTTTCCTCGCCACCTATGAGGTAGTGTACTTAGCTTTTTTTTGTATCTTCCCCAGTAGGTCTATGCCACGGGTCAGTTTTGATCTTGTTTAATTTGAAACTATTGATAAATAATGGATATTAGCAGAGATTGAAAAGATAAAATCAATTTAAATTAAAAAAAAAAGTAGTTGAATTTTATCGTCCGATGTCGTAATTTTCAAAATCTTCTTCTTCTTCATCTTCATCCTGAGTGGATGTAAACTGCCTCATATATTATATAATATTATGTACATATATATAATAGCGATGCATGCATGAAACTGCATGTTTGAATTAAACGGATATCGTTGGAATTAAACGGATCCTCTACTCTTTGTGTTGGTGATTCAATGTTAGAGTACAACCGGCCTTGACGATGTGTACATGCCGGAGAATAGTACAGTCCGACTTTTTTGCAACCACATTTAGCACTGCAGTTTTTGCAGTTGCAAAAAATCGAGTTCAGTTTTTCAGGCGCAGGTGGAAGTAAAGTGTAAAAATATTTTAACATATATTACAACTATAGAGATGTACGAGTATATATACGAGGCGTACTCATGCATATTATGACGATTACAACTTTTTGAATCGTTATATCTCAAAAACGGTGGCTCGTAGAACAAAAAGTATTAATTAATTCTTTGTAGAAAATTTTATGATCTACAATTTTTGTCTGAGATATTTTTATGATAAAACTTACCGTTTTGCTGATAATCGCGAAAAACTCATTTTGTTTACCTTTGACCTTGAATAAAAAATTTTCCTTACAGGGGAAAGATGAAGAACTTTCAAATTTTGTTTTTAATGATATTTCAAACAATCTTACAGATTTTCAACATGGTGGGAATTTATGTAACCTCGAATGTCTAATTTGACCGGACTATACGTACTACATTCAAATATGTAACGCTATTTTCACATTACACGATTTCGCTCGTGCGGGAAAAAATTGCCCGATTTTTAATCGTGGTTTTGCTACTTTCACATTGAACGATAAAAATCGTACATTTTTGTCAGTTCATTGGAACATTTGGTCTGGGCTGGATGAAAACTATGGATCGCGAACAAGTAATTGCGTTATGGATACTGTATCGGCGTCGGAAAAGACAAAGGCGCAATCGCCTTCACTGGATTCACCCAATTGATCAGAGACGAGAGGAAGTCGGGATGTTCCACACATTATTTGAAGATCTTAGAAACGATGGCCAAAAGTTTTTCAACTACTTTCGTATGTCAGTTCGCTCCTTTGATGAGTTACATGGGAAACTGAAGAGTGTTCTACAATTCCCGTACGACTAAAGACCGTCTAGTGTGAAAGCGTGCATTTGGTCACATAGGCCACTAGGCTAGAGGGCGATACGGTAGCCGTGCGGTTCTAGTGGCACTGGACGGCTGCAACACGAGTACAAAACGTGCCCGTGTTCAAATCGTGCAATGTGAAAGGTCTCGTACTCTTCAATAGTCGATCAAGAAAAATTGCCCGGGCGATTTTTTCCCGCACGAGCGAAATCGTGTAATGTGAAAATAGCGTAAGGGTATTGGCTTATCGTATCTCCTATTACACGTTAAATTTTTTGACTCTTTTCATTTACTTTCCCAAGATGTTTTATTTTAAATGTTTATGTATGACAGATAAAATAGTTTTATTTAATTATATTCAGAAAATAAACGGACTATATATTAATCTTTAATATTTCAGAAGATGATCTGTCGAGTGATGAGGAGGAGGCACAAATCTACGACGAACAGCCAGATCTGTTCAAGGAGGATGTAAAACGTTACGGAGCGGCGTACGCCAAGTACAAGGCGAAGGTTTTAGCTGAGGGAGATATTAGTGACAGTCGGAGCTACGTGCATTGTACTGTTAAAGAGATAGACGATGATTATAAAGATGGTAGCGATGATGGGTTCTACTACGGCCAGGAAGAAGACTCGGAACAGTTCAGGGAACAGTACGATGAGGATTCTGATGAAAAGGAGGATCACGAAGTAGATTTGGACGAATATAACCCTGATTGAAGCCATCATTTTATTTCCTAAGTGTATTTACTCTGTTATGTCCATATCAAATGATTAGTTTTATAACTGTTTATTGATCTTAATAAAATCTATATTTTAAATGTTGTGTGTCTTTTATTTGTAAGTAAGGGTATTAAATAAATAGTCGTTATTAATATGTGATAAATAATAATTTATTGTCTGGCGTATTTTTACAATATCAATGTACTTGGGTTAACGCCTCAACACCTACCCGAATACACGTCGAGAATTATTGATACTAATCTTTTTGGCCGAGATGATTACATGAAATACTTTCAACGGCCATTATATGTTTCTTTATAGCCATAAATTTTTATTCGAGAATATAACCTTATACTATTTTTAACACCGAATATGGCACGTCACGTCAGATGCTATTTTAGTGAAGATTTTACAATGTCATGATTGTTTGTTGTAAGTCTTTGACAAATTGCGTATAATTACATGTATTCGATATCAAATGTGAAATTAATAACTTTAATACTTTAGAGTATTCTATTAAGTATATTAAAATGTGAGGTTTCAAATGAAGCAAGAGATTGTTTGTACAATCTGTCAATGACTTAACGATACATTAGGTCACAGTTAAAAGATCAATGCGGCCGTTTACCCGAAAATTGAAACAATTCGAGACTTATTCCAAAGTTTATAGACAAACACAATAAATACACATGCACATGTATATCTAGGGAATAAGTCTTGTAGTCACTTACAGCTAGGATTATAATTAGTGAGATACCTATAAATGCAAATTACAATAATCTAGCGATGCTTTGGCATTGACAAAACATGGTATTTTGTGTTTACGTGAACTTTCTTGTATCTTTCAATTTGATTAATATTACATAAAGTATTTTATATGTCAATCTGTTACATCGAATCTTACTTATTGTTAATCCAAAAATATTTGGGTAATATTTTTATTAATTACAGCTTTTAGCTTACAAAAAAGCCTCGCCTAAAGCAGACTCCGATTATAATTTACTGACCCAAGGGGTTATTACAATATGTATAAGGATTTTGTAGTGTTTAAATATGATAACATTACCTTAGCATTTACTCCTTTTAAGATAGTACTAAAGACACACAGTTCAAGATATTGTGTACGTACAACATCTATCGTATCGTATTACGGAAGATTCACAAATATAAAGATACAATTCCTCTCAAGTTACAATGTCCACTTTAGAAACAGTTTACAATACAGAGACAACTGGTTAGTAAAATGGAATGAGCATTTAATTGATTATCTAGAATTGCAAAGTTCATCTAAAAGTTATTCTAATAGTAAACAAAAATTAACAACAAAGAAAGAACAATCACTTAAAACGAATGGTAATAAAATTTAGTTATATAGCGATAATATCTTTACAATATTTTACAATTTGGTATTTTAACGTATACTAATACAATTACGAAAAGGTTAACTTTAACTATCAAACAATTTACATAACAACGTTTAACAAAACAGGCCATGACATACTCGTATGTACACCAGCCACAAGCCGACATCTGTCACTCATCACTGTTCACGCACATTTACTTCCATCTACGTTTTGGTTTTAAACATGTAGTACGAGTGTTATATTATACAATATACATATTTTTAAATTTTAATTATTGCACGTAATTTAATAATTCCGAAAATGTAGATATACACTTTATAAGTTAGGCTTCAAAGCAAATAAAGCTAAGAATTAAGATATATTTAAGGTATTTTATAGATTTGGAAGCGTAAAAAGAAACGCGATTTCATCAAGGTCGTTATTGTGACTTAACAACGGACACGTCGTGTACACGAGCGGGGACGTTGTTGTTGGCGGCCGCGTCCTGATTGGCCGCGGTGCAGTAGAACTGTTTGTGTGCTTTGTATGTGTTGACGTATTTAAAGGATATGTTGCAGGATTTGCAGAAGTTGGGCGTGTCCTCGTCTACGTCGGGTTCCTTCTTAATGTCGGGCGGCGGTGATGTTCTATCGGGTTCAGGTTCGTCCGCGTGTACAAGCCGCGCGTGTCGGACAACATTCCCGCGGTATGTGGATGTGTACGCGCACGAGCTGCAGCGATGTACGCGCTCGCCCGCCGCGGGGGCCGGCGACGTGCTCTCGCGACTTTCCTCTTCCAGCACGCAGGATATGTAGCTCTCTTCCTGGAATTGACAAATATGTCTGTTAATAAACAGTTTGGTTTTAAAATTTAAATCTCAATGAAATTTTTGCTATCATTATAATACTTTTTATTATATTGTTATGTAAATTGTTATGTAAATGTAATTACCTGTAAATCAGAGGGCTTTTCACGGAAGTGAACTCGGATGTGTGTCCTCATACCACGCAGAGTGTTTCCCCTGTATTTGCAAATGGTGCAACGGAATGCTTTCACTCCCGCGTGCGCCTCCATGTGTCTCTGGGCGGCGGCGGCTGTTGGAGACACAACATCACAGCAGGGACACTTCCAACCGCCGTCTGACCCCGACGAAGGTCTCGATGTTTCCAGAACAGCTCGCGGGGAGCGCGTCTCTCTTTTCGTGCAGTAGTAGGATTGATGAGTCGTCAAGTTATCGTAGGAACTGAAATGTATCCCGCACGCCATGCAGATGAGCTGTCTGTACTGAGGCGGAGGTCCGGGTTCAGGGGGCGCCGGGCTGGCTCGCTCGTCTCCACCACCAGCGGAACAGTAATGCCGTTTGTGTATACGGTAATTATCAAATTTGCAAAAAACTATATTGCACTCCTGGCACTTTGAAACTCCCTGCTTTACTAGTACTTGTGGAGAAACAGTCGTTATTGGGTCTGTAGTCAGCCGCAGAGCTAAGGAAGGTGGGAATGCCGGGGGAGGTATGACGGGGGAAATTTTATCTTCTGAGGGTGAAGGTACGCTGGGCGGCTTAGGAGTTGGATCTCTTGAATTCTTTCTCCGTCGTTTCGGTGAACTCTCTCCACTAGGTGACGATGACCGTCTCGAAGGCGATGGAGTAGCGGGGGAGGCGGGTAGGGACGGAGCACATACTATTTGTTCTGGTGTCGTAGAACGCATTCTGTTCTCCTTTTCGTGCTCATCCGTGGTTACCGACTCGGGCGTACGGCGAACACTCAGATCTAAAGGTGTAGCACCATCTCTTGACGGTTCTCGGGGTCTGTTTGCCGATTTTAAAACCTCGGGTTCCTTCACCTCCGTATTTACATTTGGTAACGCTCGACTTATAGGTTGAAACGTACCGTTTGGCAACCAGAAGCATGGCGTATCGGGATCAGGCAATGTTGCACCAGGAAGTGTGCTAGCGCTTCTCAAAAGTGAATATGGGACGATTAGTATTGGATTAGTGGGTAATGCTAGCGCATATTGATTTTGAGCTGGTGGGGTCGCGCCGGGGGACGTCGGAGCCGATCCTGATGTAGTGGAGCCCGCCCGGGCTGTGGGTAAAACTTGTTTGACGATCTGTCTCGTATTACAGTAATGAGCTTTATGAGCACGATAAGTCTTAATGGAGCTAAAATGAATATCACAATCGACACAATAACGGTCCTGGGCTGGTTGTCCATCAGTCGCTTCACCGTTGGATGTGGGAGCCGGTACTGGAGTACTACTACTTATAGGTGACGAAGAATGCATACGCATATGGCGATTTAAACTAACTTTCTTATCCGCGCTGTATGAGCAGTAAGTGCAGGCATATTGTTTCCCCTGCGGTCGTGGTGTTTTTGAATCACCACTAGAGTCATCTGCTACTGTTTCTGTCGGCACGTCTGTACCATCAGGTTTCGATCTCCGTTTGGAGCAGTAATGCTCTTGATGCGCTTGTAACGTACTTAACGAAGAATACCGTATCCCACAAGGAATGCATGTATAGGCAGGCGGCGCCGCTACAGCGGGGGCTCCGGGAAAAAGAGCTGGGAAATTCGCCGCTGTGAGATTAAGGAAATCCCTCGCTTGTTGTGCTGGTGAGGGCGCGGGCGGCGACGGGGACGGCGGCTCATGTTTCAGAGTAGTGGCCTGAGGGGCGAGGGCGGGGTCGGTCGCCAGGCGAGTGTTCAGTCGCAGGCGCGGCGGGGAGGTGGCTGCTGAGCCTTCGGACGCCGGCGACGCTCCTCCACTAGACGCCGGTGGCTCGCCGCCCGAGCTTGGTGTGCGAGGTTCTCCGGGCATCGCCTCGCTCTCGTTTCCCCATTCCTCGTCCTCACCTGAAACATTAAAATACATCTCTTAACGTGCACGCTATCATTAATAATATGCAAATGGATTTTAGAGTAGTTCATGCTAATAAAAGAAATCGACCATATCGGCTCCTATTAGCGTTGTTAGTGCGGAGTGATGGAAGCGGTTCTCTCGCGATAGTCGTCACCCGTCACGTTTCAGCCGCTATCGGTCGACGTCAAACAGATCAGGGCTCCGGTCGAGGCATACATTAGCGCTCCTAATTGAGACGTGCTCGCTGTATGTAAATATCGCGGCGTGGGTGGGGTTTGGGAATTTGAGTTACGAGCGATGTTCTACAATAGTTTCCGTGCAATGGGTGAATTAAACGGCCCATCCGTCAGATCGGATCGGTCCCATGAGCGAGACCCTCGTCAGTCAACATCGCGCGTGAGTATGTTTCGACCATCGGACAAACAGAACAAAAAGTTAACGGCCCTTGTTGTAATTGGATCTGATTTCCAGAAAATGCTCGCTCACCTTCCTTTTGGAGCGACAAGGATCTCGGCCGGGCGAAGAATTAACCTATCTTTCGCTGAGCGATCTCAACTCAAAATGCCAATTAATGAGAGGCTCAACTTCATTCTCTTCGCCCCTGTGAAGATCATTATATGGGCACGACAACGAGATGAAGGCGACGATTGGCGCGCGCGCCGGCTGCCATCTCGCGGTAACGAATGCCATTTGGATCGGATTGCGTTCGGGTCACGCTATCCTAGTCACAGCGCGTTACGATTGGCTGTTAGGACCCGGCGGTGACGTGCGATTGGTTCGGTTAGCCGTCGATGTATCAGCCAGCGTAATGTCGCGTCATAGCGAACGCGGTTTATCGCGCTTCGTTAGTTGCGTTCGAGCTCCCGTTTTTCCTTAAGTAAGTTATAAGTTGTGATCGTTGGCAGAGGTTGAATGCTCCATCAGATAGATGGCGTGACTTGGTGTCGTTTAAACGACTCTCGCGAAACCGAATGTCGATTCGTTAAATGATATTCATCAGTATCCTTTTGTCTTTATAAACATGTCAAATAATGTTGCTAAAACGGTGTCCATGTGAGAGGGCGACGCAAAGCATGAAGCCGGCGTATTATGTTTGAGACGTGAAGAGCCCGCATCGCTTTGGTGCAGCGGCGATCGGAATGACTGAAGTGCTTGAAAGCAAAGGCTTTAGAGAAACTCAAAGACTCAAAGCTCTGTTGATTATGTTACTGAGTAACTTAAACAAATACATATATGATTATATTCATATAAAACCTTTTTACAACTTAATTGAAACGTATAACAATTTCCTCTTTTTTTTGTTAAGTGTAACTCAGTCATTCAAACGTCCGATGGTACCATTAGAGAGCATTCAGAATTGTACAAGTCGTACAAACATGGGACACGTGCCTACATGTTTATAAAAAACAAAAGCCGCCATCTTGTCCTTAGGTTTATCTGATCGGAGATCGGAGTCCAATTAAAATAGTCGTGCATCGGCCCGGTCAGAATCGACGCGATACACATCTGATGCTGTGACGCTGGTGACCGATCACCTATAATATATCTGATAGTCATTAAATTTAATTTTTTACTTACATTTGTCTCATACGAATTTAACTGTGTCGCAATTAAGTATTATTTGAATGTCAAATTGAGATGACTCAATATAATTATAAAAAATTGCTATAGCGAGATATCTTAAGCAAAAGACTGTCTAACTCAATTGTAAAAACAATATTTGAAGATAATCTGTTTCTCTATCGGATAAGAAAATATAATGTCAATGTCATTTTTTTTCGTTTTATAAAAATTATTTTTACTTTGTTATAGTTTATATGTATGTTTGCTTAAGAGAAATAAATCGACGTATCTACTTACAGAGCCCCTCGGGAAATGGATCGTGTGAATTAAATTAAAATTTATATTATAAGACTTTTTATTCACCCATTATGTTGCACCTCAGAATTCTAATCAACAAATGATTTATTTTAAACAAATTGATGGCGGAAATCGATATTCGAGACTTTAAATGCCAATATTGATTGACGATAAACGAATATCTCATTAAATTAACGTAAAATCTTAGAACTTAATTTATTTTTCATTAATTTCAGTTTTCTTGTCTTATCCGTTCGTCAATATTGAATATATATTAAGTTTATACTTATCATACAGTTTAGAAAACTTTTGTTTATTAATTTGTGAAATATTACCCTAAAATTTAGCTTATAAAAACTATAATTGGAAACCATATATACCATACGTTTCTTAATCAATATATATAGTCAAATATAAAAAAAGTTATTCAACCATAAATATTATAAAGAACAAAGAACTATAAGTTTTATTTAAAAAAACAAAGGTAATAAATCATTCATCAATCCGTCATTACCATATGAAACCTCATTACAAACGAGGTTAGACTAACAAGGGAGCATTAGTATTAATTTAATGTAACACTAAAGACAGTAGTGAGTGTCACAGCGCACAGTACAGATTAAAGGAACCGTTGAGTTGTCTATCAGAGATCTGAGGCAAGTGTCTGGTGAAGGCTGGACGTCGTGCGTCACGATCGGACGTGGATTTACATATCGCCGGAGCGATTCCGCTATCCTGCACTGCTATTTGTAAATATATTTCAATGGTCTCCACACAAATGCTGCTTATTTTAAACGTCGATTCCTTATGTTATTGTGACGGACTCTAATCCTTCGACGCCTTGCTATGCCTACCAATTTTATTACAAAAGTATTTTTATATGTAACAAAAAGTAATATATTCCGTCGTAGTGCACAGGGAAATAGATTGCGCTTATCAGTGTATAAGAAGCGTGGAACAAAAACTAGAGGGGGCAGGGGGGGGGGGCTTCCTTGACGTACTCCATCCAGTATATCCAGATGTCGTCAGCGATAAATCGCCACAGAACAGAGTACTGTATTTTAAAACATACGTATGTTTGTAGTTAGTGAATCTTAGAGATACATTTACAAATAATTACGTCTACCTAACTAGAGCTTGACATATGTAAGAAAATTAAAGACATCAATTAATTTATCATTATCATTCGTTCTGTTTTTAATATATATATGTATTTTCAAATACTCGTGAACATATTATGACTCGAGTACAGGTTAAACAAATAAGTTACCACGTATGTATTATTTCGCTGGATTAATTAATTCAACACAAAAATGACATTGATAGAAAAGGTATTTTTTCTTCATTAAAATATACAATCACACGGCTAAGTAAAGTTTTAACGTCACAGGAGTCACATATAAAGAAAAGTGTAACACACTGAATCAAAGCAACCCTTTTAGCGAGGGCCGTATCACGCGCGGGATCGTAACAATGATTGATGTAACCAGCTTTATATTCATAAGGTGTTGTGATTTTACATTAACGTGCTAAATATCGGATATGTTAATACAAGGTGATCACTAATTCAGAACTCCGCGGACCGTGAGGGTTCGTTTCAGCTTAGAAACGTGAAATAAATACGTTCTTTATTCTATTTAATTACCATATCCATTTTAGGTTTCTTCATTATAACGACGGTACCATTGTACGTAATAAGAAACAAAAATTCTCGACACACACGAGATCCAAGATAACAAGGAAATTAAAGAGTTTTCTGGTAATGACTCGCGTACAGACACGAACACTACCACATGACATTAACATATATATTGTTTGTAATTAATACTTAAACACAGCCGCGGGCCGCAGCTATAGTGACGTATGACATGCCACATCTGATATATCGATAATCGATAGAGACTCATACACACTTACCTGTACGAGAGGAATTCGAATTACTATAATTTACTTCTTATTCATGATTATTAACGCGATATATACAGTAAAAATAACTGAGGTAACAATCTCCGGTTAATAATTTAGTTTAATGAGTAACGCGTAATGAATAAATTAAAAGACTGACATGAAAGCACAATTACTAGCCATATTCTGAATGTAGGTGCACTAACTCAGAAGCAAGCAAACACGGCAGTCGGTCATTTGCATTACTATCGACTTTTTAAATCTATGCAAAACGAAACGATACGAGCTCGGGCTCACGAGACATGGCGGAAAAAAAGGCAATGTACGGTTGATTAATAACTGGAGTTATGATTGTGTTACACGTACAGCGAGAACACTTCACAGTACGGACGGGGCATGTAGGAACAATGAGGTTACATGAGATGGACTATGAGTATGGAGGAACCGAGTCGAACTTATTAAACTGCCAAAAAGAACTAGTTCATTAATTTAAAGATATCGAGGGCGATAAGAACGGTAACAGTTGCGTGGACGCAACGCTGGAGGCGGCGAAAGAGGGCGGAGCCCTGGCACCGGCGACGTGACGGAATCCGAGCCCCCATCGGATCGGATCTTGATTGTAATTATACGAATCGATACATCGACATTGTATCGAATATTAATATGTCGATTGCGAGCGCGGCGATAGCTTTGATACCTTCGTACGAAATTCGCGTGCGTTAAATGCATAATTCTATATGACATTCCGAGAAAATGATCCCAGATAAAGTTCCGCAAATGATCGGAGATATTTAAATGAAACGACACATTAGATATTCCTGGTGACGGCCGCCGCTGACTGTTATTAGTCTGGCATATTGTAATATCTCAATGTTATAGTATAGTCTTCCAGAAGGCTAGAATCTCCTATGTCTATTACTTAGAAGTATAAAAATAATTATTGATATCTAATTTCTAATTTATAAATATCAATTTAATCGATCTCAAGGTACGTAACAAATAACAATTTTCACTTCAGCATTAGTATGCTCGATATCAGATACAGATAGAGGCGCTAGACAAACTCAATATGTAATAACAATAAGCCTACAACACGAAACAAGAGTAACATCGAATCGTTACATCACTATCTCGATAAAGGATATCGACACGCCTACGACACAGAAATAATTAACTCGGTTCGGTTAACAGCTTGTCCGACAACCGCTACCATACCAATTACTACCGACTATCGATACAAAACAGCCCAACACTATTTATAAAAAATAAACTTGAACAAGTCTTTGATGGATCGCTGCACGATCTATTACCGACTCCGGTGTTTTGTTACACTGCTTAATGTCATTTCAGATTTTAACACTCAAAAGAAATATAGTGTTACAGAAAATTTATGTATATTACGTCACCATAGTGTTTTTATATGTGTAATTAATAATAGTTTATGTATTTCATGTATGGTAGGTAATACAACAGAATTGGTTTTAATACGCCCTGTATATATTATATTGGCTCAATCCTACACAATAGAATATAATTTCATATTGATATTTATTAGTCGACACTCGTCTTTCGTTGCGTAAGTAACATTACCGATCGACCGATATCTACAACAAGAGACGTCTGATAAATCGGTACTGACATTTAACGAGTCAACGTTATATGAAAACGATTTTAATTGCCATCAGTACCAGAACTGGATAACAGATGGCGCGGATAACGGACGTAATTTGTATAATTAAAGTAAATCGCAGAGATCGGTATCAGTTGCGATACAGTAAATGTTGGAATAAACGTCAGGCGGGCGTGGTGATAATGTAAGGTACGGAGAGGGGACGGTGTGGCCATAATCACTTGAACTTATACAGGACTTTGAACTTTGAAATTTATTATTTACTAGCTTTCCGCCCGCAGCTTCGCCCGCGTGGAGTTCGGTTATATCGCGTTTCCAAGAGAACCTTTCAAAAGTCTAGGATAAAAACTATCCTATGGTCTTTCTCAAGGTCAACTCTATCTCTGTACCAAATTTCATTAAAATCAGTTCAGTGGTTTAGGCGTGAAAGCGTAACAGACAGACAGAGTTACTTTCGTATTTATAATATTAGTAGGGCTAATTACGTCATTACTCTCGTCTTACAAACATTTTCTTATCTTGATGTTGTAGATTTAATTCAAAAACATGTTTCGATAAGTAATTGCATTATTAGGAAGCATATAATATAGTGATGTGCTGGATGAGTATCGATTGTTGAAAAAGTCCCGTTCCGATTGTGGCAACAGTAAAGTTGGAGATTTGAAAATTAGCATTTTTGTCGTATAACTCTGGCGGTGTCTCGGTAAGCGCCCGATACCGACCAGCCGACGTTTTTTTAACGTTTTTTAAACGGATTGGAGTTTAAAATATTTCTCTATTCGCTGCCAAAGTCTTTTAGTGTTCAGAAAAAGAAATATGAACGTTTAACTTCATTGCTAGCCATTGTTCTTGGTTCAATTAACATATTGTTTAACTAGATGTCACTACTTAATAACATATGTATATTATTCCCATACAGTACACTGCAAAAAACTTTCCTAGTTACCTCTTTACCAACAAAGTTTCAACTAATTGACTATAAATTGGAAATCAATCAAAATGTAGCAAAAAAGCTTCTAAAACCGTTGACCCTTTATCTCCTGCGGCAGCTCATTGGGCCAGAGCCGAATTTATGTCGTCGAGTAATCCAGCCCATTTGTATAGATAATTTTTATTATTGCCATCTCTCCGAAGCCGGCCCTGACGATAAAGGAAAGAGTTTGTAATGACGATTTAAGTAAAGATGTATGCCTTTCCGCTGATAACTCAAGAATTCGGTGGAATTTTATAAAAAAAAAAATACTTAGGGTTGTACCGTCCTTTATAATTTATAGAACTTTAACGATCTCAACGTTTTTTTGGTTACATTTTAATGTTATTCGTTTAGTATCGACTCATAAGAACGTCCATTATACATTTTATTATCCTACAAGGCATGCAAAACAAATTAAAAACTGGCGAATTTTTAATTTTTACGATATTGAGTCTTCACCGAGATAAGACTGTACCCAAATAAAGATACGTCTCAATGGTATTTAATCATTGCGATAAATCCAGCAAATGGACTTCATATCAGCTGAACTTGGATATTAATGGCACTTGGAAGTGATACGCGCTGTTTGGTTACACGTCAGGGCTCTCCGCTCATACGTAACTATACAAACATCGTCTTAATGAAACTTCTATTTGAAGGTAATTAGTATTTATTAAATTAGAAATATATTATGATTGATTATATAATAATGACGTTAAATAGTGTTTCAGTAGTAACGAGTCCCAAGTAGCAGCCCTAACGCGGACAATAAAGTATGCGTGTAAACTATTTCGACCAGGGCCACACTGGGTTTATCTGCAGCCGCTCTTATGCGCTATCAGTAGGAGTGCATTAGTCGTCGATAACACAACGATAAAACAGATTGACCGGCGCCACGCTCGATGCCGATTATACTCCATACAAAAAAAGAATCGATTCCAGCCGATAATGATGTCACGTCCCGCCGCGGCCGTCTCATTGTGAATACCTCTGTTGTGTAGCCACGATAATGTTTAATTGTTGTTCATAAAAACGATTAACACATTAGTCGACACATCTAATTATTTTCTTTTTCTTTAAACAAATATTACATTATTAATTTCAAAGTTGCCAGTATTTGAAACGTGTCTAAACTGTCATCGCTGTTGATGGTAAACGCTCGCTATATTTCCCGCTGTAATGGGAGCCCGCATCATACATCGTTTTTCACGGAGCTCATTCTGTGGCTTATTTATCAAGTTTCCCTTCAAATAACCTTTATTTATTCATTAAGCTATGAAAGACCCAATTTTGTTTATTCGACAAAATAGTAACGCTAATGATCAGTCGCCATTTTGGAAGGTTTTGTCCGCGACGTGTAACGTCAAAGGCGGGTTGGGTTATATTGCTAATGTATGCGCCATTTGTTTAGTTTTTGTGTTAGTGGTTAGGATGCGGCGTACCTAATGACTGGTGAGAGATAATATTGTTTAACCTAACCAACTGACCATATTAAACACGCATATCTATAAGTATTCAAAAGATAAACGCGGGAATGTTTTTATTGCATTCCATTTCACGTGAAATATTCCGTCTACACTTTATCGAAACAAATAAAAGCTATGTTATCAGATGAGATCGGAACGCTATTCAAATAAATTTAAAAGAACTCGCGAACTTATGACACATGAAAAGAGAATGAATGTATTGGTACATCAAAAAAAGTCGAGAGATCAGAGGGACTGTGCCGTCCGCCGTCTGCCGAAGTCGGGGCGAACAATCGTCCAGGTCGATCCCGAGCCAGCCTGTTCGTATCGGGACCGCAGCCTGTTCTCACATCATTACCCGCGCCGACGACTACAAATTTACATCCAACACAATGGACTATCCGCCATCGAGGCATCATTAAGGTGATTCCGATAGCGCCACGGACCGCCGCTGCCGAATCGATCTAACCGCACCGAAGACACACGCGATAATAGACCTTAACACTGTAACACAGGATGTCGTTCAGCTTGGAAGAAATCCGCTCCCAGCCTAACACTGAAATATAACATTATGAGGGAACGCCATAAGAGATGTTGTCGTGTTTCCAGTTATGAATTTTATATACTTCGAGATAAAGTTTAAAACGCCTTGCGGTTCACGATGTTTGTGAAGGATCAGTGTTAGGCTCGCGGACCATCGAGCTCACAATGGAACTTATAATAGGCGATCGTGGATTTTTGATGAAGAAATTGTACGCCAGTCAGTTATGACATTATACAAATTTTTGGTTTAAAAAATAATTTAACCAGTCACAATGAAAAATAGTAAAAATTAAGTAAGCTGAGATATATTATGATAAAATATAAATATTTTTAATTATATGAATCATGTGTCAACTTCTTAAAATTTGTTAAAATCATTGAGCCGCGATAAAAATAATGTACTATGTATAAAAACATCTATTATATTTTATAAATAATAAACGTATGCATCACGTAAGTTTGAATACAATGCCCATCGTTAGGAGGAGATGTAACATAAGTTCAGATTTTAACGGATCCACACATCAAACAACTAAATTCTTGGAAGAAATTTCGCAAGCAATAAAACCAATTGTAACATTATCGATAATCTACAAGGTACATGACGAAAACCGAAACAATTGGCCCCATATGAGGCCAGATAAGGTGAAACAAGGGAAAAATACGAGATAATGAGATCGATCTGTAAACAATGGTACTTGGATCACGGGCTCATTAGGTAGCTCGTGTTACACAGACTGTACGATACAGTAGACCAAGTAGTGGTGTCATACACTAACTATTGACATCAATTAATATTTAAAAAATACATTTAATATATATATAATAACAAGAATCCCTTTATATTTCATCATGTCGGTATCGATTAGTTAGCTCACAACTAACCATTACAGTTTATTTTTAGATGATACCACCGATAAAAAAATAATTTGCATATCGTAAGCGATAAAATACCATCCGCTATCAAAATTGGAATCTGTAATAGTATAATGGGAGATGAAAACGATTTTAATCACGCTGTTAAACTTATCTTTATATATATCACTAATACTTTACTCGTCTCACGAAACATCTGCGACGTAATTGGATGTTATATGTCTATGGGTATACCGATGTTGTTACTCTGTGTACCTGCATGTGCCGATCCGATTGTGAAAATTTTGTTCAAATCTATAGATGCAAGTAATTTGTTATCGATAAACTTAGCCCTATGCCACATAATTGGATGCTTGTTTGTTCAAAACAAAGGGATTCGTGGGAGCATATTTTACTTTGCTTTTATATATAAAAAAAATGTTTTCGTTATAAGCAATTTTATTTAAATTTTTATTGTTGATATGACAACACTTTTTTTTATTTATAAAGTATAAAGAATGAATATGTAGAGTCAATATTTAAATCTTTGATATTTTACATTTATCAGAGCCGTATCAAAGACACAGACAGAACATATTAACATAGAGCTATTTTTATATTTGTCAAATTAATTAAATTACATAGTACTGTACTTATTCATCATTAACGATACGACATCTAACCTGAGAACATTAATTTGTAATCCACTAATCGATTAAAGTAATCGATCTATTTCAGAAAATTAAATCACTACATAGAATTCTAAAACTTGATCCGTGAAACGGCTCAAGTAACTTGTCTGCTTGCAAACCAGTACGAGTTAACAAATCGGCTACAAATCTCCGGCTAGGCTTTCGCGTAAATATCTCAGCAGGTTAGCACGCGTCCGCGCCGCTACAGAACAACAACTCGGAACCTTCCTACAAATGTTTCTTTGAACTTTGACAGCAAAAACTATTCTCATCCAAGAAGGTCTCTTTCAGCTTTGACAGTTAAAAGTATTTTGCATCCAAGAAGGTTCTATAGTTTGATGTGCTATTAAAAAAGTCAGTTTTAATTTGTAAACGGAACGTCATAGGATAGATAAATGTGACAGATGGCATTAGTGTACTAGCTGTCCTCGCATTCGATTCGCGAGGCGCGATCGGTTTGGAGATAGGCCGCGAATGACAATAAGCCGCCAGGGCCCGATGTCGCCGCGATACTAACGTGTGGTCACTTACTTTTTACTCGATTATAGATTGTATTGTGTTATGAATCGATATTTATTTTGAATGTCCCTTGAGTTATATAAGAACCCTTGCTATACGTGCTGATGTTTGGGATGGCTCGTGAATTTTATTCGAGTTTTCTGTACGTATCGGCGCCGCTTTGTATGGACGTTTTAAAGGCTATTGAGAATTTAAAATGCGTTTTGCGCTCGTTAAGGATGTGTGTTCCGGATGTGTGAAGCGACTTAAGAATGCTGCGGAGATTCACTGCGCACTTACCTAAAAAGAGTATAGCATTAAACGACATATATGTAGTGTGGAAAATATGGTAGGAGACACTGTCTAACATCACAGACGAGGATACAAATGTTATTTTGAAACACTAATGTCTGAAACACAGTGTACGCCCTTGCCCTAAATCGTGGCTGACACGATTTCACTTAATAACCCAAAACACACATGTAGGTGTGTGAGATCACTATCACACGCACACACGCACACACGCACACTACACCATGACTATGCGGCTTGGGGTTTTAATTTTTTATCTACTTGAGGGTGAAATTTGACATTGTTTTTTAATCTCATTTTAACGTCATTTAATTAACCTGTACAATTTTTATCAACAAAATTAAGATATATATATATGTATTGTTTATATATGAAATGAGAGTTGCATTGCCGAATATTGCATATAATGTGATGCACAATACATTCTGTGATAATACATCAAGTCAGTTATCAGTTTCATAATCTGTGGCCGCCCCATACGTCTATGGCACCGATGACAGGACGCGCTCCGTACGACCGACTTATGGTAATGTCGAATACTTTTACTTCACCATCACGCGATATTTATTTGTTATTTCCGCATTCCCAGTTTTGACAGATGATAAAACTGTTATGGAACACAATGTTAAAATAATATTATATCTATGGAGTCTTTGTTCTCTTTGTTATATTAAAGAAGAAATTACGCTCGATTGTTTTAAAATGTGTATGGTGGTTATTTAAATATATTTTTGATGGACAAAATGTATTTTCTTACAAGAAGCTATGTGAAGTTTCTTCAGGTTTTCCAACAACAGATTACTTATACGATATTCTGTTGAGATAAAAACTTGTCTGGTGGTTACGAACAGGGACCACCTTCTATGGTAATATGCTTATCGGATATCATTTTGGTTAGAAAAAGAATTTATATTTAATATTATACAACATAATAAATATCAAATGTTATTTTTGAATATCCTTGTGATGTTTATATGAGGGGCTGCTTGTATTACATTACCCTTCTGGACCTCTACCTGTGGTCCACGAAATATACTGTTTAAAAAAATCACCATAGGCAAGATACGTTAAAAAAAACTTAAATCATTTAATTCAAAAATAGAATTTTCATAGTAGAAAGTGCTTCTAGCTGTTACCAAAACTTTGTTTGTTTAGCAAATATGGAAGTATTGTTGTACTTTTCATTGTTTGTTGTTAATAAATTCTTAAAAGGTGCCTCCAAAAGTGCGTATGGACACGCCACGATAGCGTGACACATTTCTATAAACACTGTGTCACGCTAATTTGACGTAAGGGATCACTTTGACATCTGTAATATAGATTATGCTAACATCTGAATTTATTGTTTCTTTTTTATCTGTGGTGTATGGTCGCAGTTTAATTATATAGATAGCTAACTAGTGCTAAAATAAATTGTCAATGATTTTTCATAATTAATATAATATTTTAAAGTATTTATAAGTTTAATTTCTAGATGGTGAAAAATAAAATTATGTAAGAGACTTTGTTGTCAAAAGTAGTTTTTTTTTAAATTAGAATAAGAAGCTAAGGTTGATATTCAGTTGGACATAAGAGCGCTCCCAAACCGCGCCTAAAAATGTCGTGTGATTACGACTTGCATGCTACATGAGATACGCTAATGAAAATATTATAACCTATTTTAATATCGCTAAGGGTCTGAGCAGATGATTTATAACTTCATGTCTGTTACTGTGAATGACACAAAATAAATTTTGGATATCTAATATGTTTAAAATAAAAAGCGTCTTATATAAATAATGAACGTAGTAACTAAACAAAGAGTATTCGTACAACAATTCAAATTTTAACCGAACATTGTAAACGTGGGTGCGAGCGATAATAATCTGTATTGTCAACGCTAGGCTGGACGTTGTGGACTCAGTTAATAGATTCCGCATCGAACCTTGTACCTTGTAGCTTGTCTTGTAAGGATTTATTGTGAGCGAATCGATCTGCCCATCTCAAAGAAACCACCTCGTTATACGGACGTCTCGTCTCCACCTTAAAAATTACCTCCAGGTCCGCGGTAAACTGACAATTTAAAATACTCGTTTTATTGTCATTTTAAATGATATTTATTAAATAATATTATACAAATGTTTCAATGTATACAATGCATACAATTAAATGAAACTGATTAACTGATCAGTTGTGTATTTCGTATGGAGCATCGTTTGTAAGGTGCTTGTCGTGTTTGCTGAGGATTTATTGCCAGAGTATAATCTGACCATCTTAAAGTATTTCATTATTGAAATAATCTTAATTTATTACCTTATTTTATATTAATTGTCTGACCGACATGTAGATATGATACAACTGAAACTAACATTTTCGACAATATTATAACGTTTTATTTGTTTTATCATAATTGCGTTCTACAAAACGAGCTATGAGAGCCAGTGAAGTAGCTGATGCAGCATGTGTACGTAATTAATCGGATAAGTAGCGAATGGAAGCAGCTGTGCTGTGAGATGAGCGATCGATTGACTTGTGGACCAGTCGGAGCGATGGTAATGGAGCGTGTTTATGACCAGACCGTCACGGGAACGTGGAACATCTTCAGGTTGGGATTCAACTATCCAGGTAAACGTAATACTGAAAACTGAGTTTATTTATTCTTTCCATTATCGTTGGACTTAAAACATCACAACGACTATCTACATCACATTATTTCATTAAAGAACATTTAAATTTAGCATCTAACATCTTTTAATAAGGCTCGGTTTAGAATAATAACAAATTGTATTCAAAAACTTTAAAGTTAAACTAACAAAACATTAGCAAAACACATGATTAAAAACGAATGAATTTTCCTATCATTTTCCACGGTTCCCTCTCGATAACATCTTGTAATACAAAATAGGTATCGGTGCCTCGATCCGATCCTCTATTGAGAGATAGACACGATTTATGCGTTCTGTCTGAACTCGTCTTAATTTACTGCTTAGGCCACCGCCACACGGCTGGCTCTCTGCCCAGCACACTACCTACTCTTCTTTGTAAACGCAGTTCACACCACTTAAACCTTTAATTAAACGTGATATTTAATATAGGTATATAAAATATTATGAATTCTATGTAATGTATCCATTATAGGTATATGCCTGTCAAAGATATCTTAGTTAAATAAAAATACATGCTCGAGAAGCAATCCATTCTGCGTAGCGTTATCAGAGCACGTGGAGCCAGATGCCGAGATAAGAGCTTTTAGCTGCACACACACACACACAACCTTGAGGTGTATGTACATGTACATGTGGCATATTTATTTGATTCGTCTGCATGTGTGAGTAATATGTATGATACATCGAATACTGTACAGACGAGAGAATTTTGTTTATTTTACCGTAAATTGTATGATAACTTAATCAGTTAAATTCCAATATTATAACACGTACGCTGCAATAAATAATGAGTTTTCTTGTTCGCAAGTGCTTATAACAAAAGCTTTATATATTTAATATTAATGTAAGTACTTCACAATCTCAAACATATGTCATAATAATGATTCACTTTCAATTTCTCCATTTCACAAGAGTACAGGACGCGGCGTGGGTTTATCCATCCATCGTGCGGTGATACCCGCGTTATCTGAGACTTGGGTGGGCGGGTGTACAATGCTATCTTGATGATGGAAGGGCCCCTAAGGTCAGGACACGCGTGTAAATTTGCAAGTCCTGATGTTTGGATATGATGTGTCGTCTGAGGCGAGCTTTTAGATATAACTGGGATTTAATGTTTATTGAAAAATATATACATACACATTCTTAACTCTCAAACCTTTACGGAATGTATAATTATAATAATCCTGCAAAACTTCTTTAGGATTTTTTTTTATTTATATATTATATTTTATACGGATTTAGAGAATGAATTAGAAGATTATATTAAAATGAATATAAATAAGGTAACCTTGATACATGAATGCAGACATCAAAGCGTCTCGCTAATATCTCGAGAGAATCGATTAATCACATACAATAAAATAAAAATTATCTTATTAATGTTATTAGAATCGATTGTGGATATAGTTTGATATCGTTGAATTTCAAACCGTTCATTACAGATGTTAATGTAGTACTATTTATATATATCATTAAGATAAATTTATAATATTTCCTTGTATGTAAATTTTGGTATAGAAATAGTAGTTCTATTTTGTGTGTTATGTATGTATAGACTATCTCACTCATGGTAAATGTTTATGATCGCCTGCGGACTGCTAATACTACTATAGTAGTGTCTTTAGGGGATATGATTTAGGTAAAGGTTTTATAATAGTCAGCTTTGAAGGCTGGATTTATGTTTTGAAGCCTCTCTCTAGTCCGAGGATATCTAGCTATGATATGATTATGATATGATACGACGAGGGTATCTCTATTCGGATGAAGCAGACCGTATGCAACTCAGCTGTTAACTTCATGAATATTTTATCATTTATATCTTTATTATCTTTCCATATAAACTTGATTTATTGATATTTTTTTTATGAGACTTCATTATATGTATATTAATATTCTAAGTTCATTTTCTTTATCTTGTATATTGAGGAATATATATCAGATGTATAAGTGGAGATAATACAGATCCGTATGTAATGTATGTTGTATATATATAAATGCTACTTGTATTTTTATCATTAAGATAAAGTTAGCCAATAAAAATAGACGACCTTCGTTCTATCGTCGTCGTAATTTGTCTATTTTTATATATGTTAATATAAACATCTGAAAGTGCTATGACTTTTATGTGTATGAATAATGTGATTAGAATTAGCTATAGTAAAACGTTTTATACATATATTTGAATTTAAATGTGAACGGATCGGTTAATATCCTTCACAGTTCTGTAACGGCTTTATACAGGGTGCTATAAAACGTGCAGCGCGACGATAACTCTCAGCTGATGGATGCTGCGGCGAGATAACGCACACCAATACACCAGAGGAGAGAAGTGTAATCAAAACGGACACCACCGATATAATTATATCGAAAAAATATACATATATATGATTTTCATTACAGTATCAAACGATATACACTTCTGAGCTTCGATTTTTAAATTTTTCTATATAAAGGTATTTATTTGATCAGCGCTAAGGTCCAAAGTGTAGTTTAAACCGTTTTAAATCTAGTGTGGTGTCATAGTTCACCCTAAGCGGGCGGGGTGGTACGTGCGCCGTCCAGATAAACCCTGATGGATGCTGCAGCCCGATAACGCTTTGACTTACGCCACCAAAAGGTAAACACTCCGCAATTATGGCCGCTCTTCATATTTGCTTTTCACTGTATTTATGATGATGTTTTCATAAGGATTTTTCAGTAGCGTTTATACAATGTGTTTTGTTTGATACGACGTATTAGGAGTTTGAAGAGAATTATACGAGCGGTTTGTTAAAAAAAAAACGTCAATTATACGACTTTTTGATAGATGGACATTTATTTAAAGGTATTTAAGAAATTATAAAACGTCTAACACAATTTAAGATTGTGGATAAATGTTACAATTGTATTATCATATCATATCACAGCAAAATTATCTGTTAATTTTGTCGTTGGAAGTTTAAACTTTTTAAAAATATTTAATTGTTGAATATGTAAGATATATTAAAATATAGATCTGACAGATCTGTCAACGTCATTAAGCAAGTGTCACAGATTATTAAATATGAGTAATAAGAGCAACAAACAAATCGTATTCAGCCGGTGTACAGAGTTTCTTAACATGGCTAACAAGATAACACATCCGTGCAATTTGAATCACACACCGATTTTGTCCAGCGTCCTTATCTCTGAAAGCACTCCGGCGTATCTCGTGCGACGTAATCTGTGTTAGGCCGCCCGCGGACCGCGCGATGCATTCAATTGATACTTCAACTCGATACCATTTAGCCAGCGATGACACGACAGAGGTTAATATTCGGAACAGGTTACAATCACACCGAGACGGACAAGAAAAACCAGCCGGGTCTCACTGTATCCGAACATTCTATATGAACAGATTAATTCAGAGATTTAATAACGAGATAAGATGTTGCTAAAACATGAATAATACACCGACTCTGTCCGAGCGCTGCTATCTCGGAAAGCACTCTAGCTTATCTCCACCGACGTAATCTTTAATGTAAGGCCGCCGTTTACTCGGACATCGGACAAATAATCATATAATTTATCAAACACTAAAATAAAAATATGTTCTTAATATATACACGAAACCTATTCTAGTCCAGATAAGACGTCCGTACCTGAGGAGGTTTAAACGTCGCGTCGAGCCGGTCCAATGTAGAGGGATGAGTGCATTACGTCTCATCGTGTGCAGCCGACCTAACTTCATAATGGCAAAGTGATTCATTTGTCTCACGGCTATCCAAATGTTTTAAGCTTATCCAACGATAGCGAGGGGAATAAATGTCCCAGTGTTACCAGCAATCGACAGATATCACCCCATTAGGTGCTATACGGAAATATTATGAGGATAATTAATAAAGAAACTATGCAGGCTTGTAAATATGTACCGAGATTGTGGGGGTATTAGTGAAGCGGTCTATCTAAATAAGATTATTGGTACTTACTCCGGCTGCGTGTGGCGCTGCGAGCCCGAGATACGGACTATCGATGGAAATTATGTTTGCTTAAAACAGAATCAAAATAAAAATGCGAATAAACGATATGTACATTAATCTCCTCAACTCATTCGTAAATACTTCTTTAATTTAAATCGTTACGAAGTTGAAGTAGGTCAAGTGACGTTACGAATCATGAATTTAATACACGCGTATTAAAGCGTAGAAATACCTACTCATTGTGTACTGAAATTACATTTATATGAGAAATGGGAGATAGATCGACATGTTCATGTCTTTAATGAGATACAACAGCGCAGTCATCGGGACACTATTGTATCTATATGTATATTGTATCCGAGACAATGCACAACTTGACACATATTTCAGTTAAGTTTATCAAACATTAGCAGCTATTTAGGTATGCACGAACACAGCGCAATCTTATCGCGCACTCGCGACGTAGCCACGACACAGACGCAGCAGCATAACAGTTTAATTACAACAACATATAAAGGGTATTAGTTGCATTACACGACGGCTCAAGTATACGACGGGTGCACTAGAAGAATTTAATAATTATATATATACATCTGGTTATAGATAAAAATTAAATTAAATTAAAAAATATATTTATATGTATTATCTATGGTTGTCATTTATTATCTGTGTTTATTTAAATGTCAATAAAATATTTTAAAGATTTATATTTAGTTCATAAGAATAAATAGAACGTCATAATAATTGTCATTTAAATTAACGTAAGTGTAAGTATATTAGGTATGTAATTCGTTTAGCTTGCACCAAGCGCGGTACAAGTTCGGTAGTATTGGATCTGTGGAAGTTTCTGTTATCTCACGTATCGTCTTTGGGCGTATATTAGTTGCGAATGTAACGAACACTACACTTTAATGTTACCACGTACTACCCGGTATTGAGGACTCGAACTAAACACTTATAATTACACCACAAATACCATTTACATTACAATAATGACAGTTAATCCTAAACTGTCAATGTGACATAAAAAATGGCGGTTAGAAACGTGATTTTGAAAATAAATTCACCATTAGCATTGTAAAGTAATATTTATTTTAAAACGTTGAAAACAATCGCGGGACGGCTAAGTTCTGAACTATCTACCCCGAATATATCACGCGGTATCGCACAAAGTAGAAGTTTGTTGCATCCAGATACCCCTATCGGAGTGAAATTTTAAACTACAACTGACTATGTACTGAACATTTTTGGGAGATAGCTTATACTTTTACGTTGTTTATTGATTTATATATAATAATGTGTTATAGTGCAGCTCTTTATGATGACGAATTACTAATATTAAAATGAATTGTATTGTTTAGAATATTTTTATAATTTGACAAAAAAATGAGTATTCTTTTTTCAATTAAATTATCGAACTCAATTCTACCTAATTAATATTTATTGTATGATTTCAATATGAACTGGTCTTCAGTTTTTTTTGTCTTTTTCAGCTACATTTCAGATCTTAGACGAATGGTTAATATCCTTTTATTTAATATTTAAAAATTACTTCGCTTATTTTGATAAGCACAAATTAAAATGACAATAATACATTAAAAACAATAACGCCATTAGAGTAACCGGTCAAAATGGCGGAAGCGGCCATTTTTTTAAACACATCGATGGCGATCAGGAAACATATAGGTGGGGAATAAATATGTGCGGATGCATTAAGATGGGCCAGAGACCCGCAGGTGGCCTTCCGCCCGCCCGCCCGCCCTGCATCACGATAACAGCCGTTAACAGCCGTTAGCGGGAGTTAGCGGCCGTAACGACGCCGTTAGGGGCGGCCGCTTCCCGCCTTTTGTGATAGCGCAGATCGGATCGTAAATTTGTTGTTCATTTATTGGGAATTCAATTACTTCAGATAAAACTATTCGGACACTGCGATATTTTAAAATTATTTTTAAAAAAATCTTAATTTTTTTGTATTAAAGTAACGATAAAAATTAAAAGCATCTTTTAATTGTACCAAGAATTACAAAAAAAGTTATACTGCCGTGCATATTGTCACTTAATTTTTATTATATTTGTAATAATTCCCATCTAATTCGATCATAATTTCATTTGATCCACTTCATTTAAATGACTGTAGCCATCTGAGTATCATTGTAGGACGCATTATACAAGCGTATCCTGGTCGTGATACGTGAGCGTTTAATGTAACAAAGTGTGTACAAAGAGTGTATCTATCGTTTATCAGTGTGATAAAAGCTCGAGTGACGTGGCTGGTGTGTTGGTGCAAACGTTACCAGCTCGCTAAATAAATCGTTGGCCGGGTGAGATAGAGCACGCCGACACAGAAATACATGTACTGGATACAGCTACATACTATGTTCTACCAGCATCTAAAGGATTGTAATCATTACATATTGAATCGGATTTTATTCTAGATTACATTATTTGTGGGTTAATCTATGTATAATGAGATCTAAGTTTCGCGAGTATTCATTTTTAGACGAGATGTGATCATTGTTGCTGAAAAGTAAAAACGTCGGGAGTATGTAGTATTTTATAAAATAAAGCACAATAGTATTCATTTAAAAATGTGCAGCTTAATCACTATATGTCTTATACTGTTAATGAAAATATATGAAAATTATTATTAAATCTAATATCTACATATATTATTAAGAAAGGTTTTGTTTTATGTGGTTTGCGAGTAAGTGTAACGTTTCCAGTAGACTTTAAGTCCTTGTACCGTGTCGCCCAAACAAACTAATACAAAGAATTATTAGTGATTTCGTATGAAATGGGAGTATGTAGCCGCACAGATAAGGAACAAATGCTGTTTGAAAAATATTATGTGGAATTAAAAAAAACTGTACAACTGCGCTCGTAATTGGTGTTTGTAAGAACTTGATACTGACACTTAAATTGTAAGAGGAGAACCATTTAGATTTGATAGTTTATAATATAATTGATAGTTTATTTATTTCTGGCAGTTTTTTTATTTTAATCTGAAAACATTTGTTTTAAAAATGTTCACTGCTTGTTCCGTTATCTTCGTAATTGGTGCACACTAACACCAGGCTCCCAGGAGAGGCGAGCTGTTCTCGGTTCAGCTTGAGGAAACTCTTTGTGTTTCATAACTTACATTATACAGAGCATTTAAGCTGTAAGAATATCAGCTATCTTCACAAGCTACATAATTAAATCATCTTTGAGAACTGAATATATGTATTATCTATATTATGGCGATCATAATCATAAAGAGCCGCTAACGTTTTGATTAAATATATATTCATATTGGATCAGTGTGTGTGTGTGTGTGAGCGGGGAGGCCACACAATGGCAGGCCCAAAGGCGTTTGCACGTATTTAGTTAACCTCGTATCGATAGTATCTGGTGCATTCAGACCGAGCTGTGGAGGCGTTATACCACCCTTAACCTAATAAATAACCTCTGCCACCGCTCAGGCGATCCTCATTTGTATTGCCCCAACATAAAGTTCGATTTTAATTGTCGAAAAATTCGCGATTGCGATTTTTTGAACGCTCTGTGTGGGTACGATGCAAGGATTACGGAATATCCTTTTGGACTCAAGGCCGGTGTAGTTAGAGTCGTATTTCGATTGAAGCGATGGGAGTAAGTTTCATTCGGACAGATAACATTGTTTTACAATTGAGATGTAAGCGCAGATTCGCAGCGGCCATAATAAGCATTTCATGACTTCGCTCCATCTACGATCTAAGTCCGGTTTTCAGTTTTACATTCACGGGCTCCGTCGTGTGGGCGTTGTCTATATTTCGACAAATGTCAGAATTATGAAATTTAATATCAACCCAAACAAACAATAGTTGTATAAGGAAATCCATCATCATCATCGGTCGTGGTTCACAAAAAGAAAGTTAGAATTGTATATGAAAAAATACAGAAAGAAATTGATACGTGAATTCTACAGAAGTTGCATAAAAATGCATAAATCACAAGTGGTGATATGAATGCGCTTGCGTGATGGTGATAGCTGCGCGGGCGTGATAGCGGGTACCGTGATAGCGGGTACCGTGATAGCGGACGGCCAGCGTGATGGCGGACCTTATCGCTCGAGAACACTCCTATCGTCCCGTTCTCCCGGGACTCGATAAATGTCTTTACATCAACGCTGTGTGTTCAAACTAGACTGTTTTAATCGCTGCAAAGGATTCGGCCTCACTTATACTACTATACATGTCCCTCATACTAAGAGATTTTAATTTGCATGCATTCTGATAACTTTGAACATCAATTAAACAAGATGTCAAACATTAAACTTTTCGTATGAGTTTTTTCAACGGAATTATTCTATTAAATGGTAGAAGAGGCTTATGCTGGTCTTATATCGCAGCGAGATTTAAGTCCTGGAGATAAATTAACTGAACTGTTTAAAGAAATATATAGGATACTATTATGGCGTGTTGCCAGTCGTGTTATTTATTAATAAGGGATGCTGTTATATAACAGTTTTAGCCTATGAGAGAAAACTTCGAATACATGGGATTAAAGGCGAATAAAATGTAAAATAACTTCCACAATGAAGGCGATGGACCGTACAAAGTTTATTATCATTGTGATAGTCCGTCTGTGCATAGTTTTTGTACAGTATCTGTCTTCGCATGTATATTTTTATGAAGGTATTGTAACTGTGTCTGCGGCGGTGCGATAAGACGCCGCACCAACTGTGATGCAGCCGCTGTACCATTGATCCGTGCTTTTATTTCCTTTAGTATTAGCCTTTTAAATATGCTCAGGTGTTTATATCT